ATCCGTCGAAGATATCGTGGTCATCATACATGTTGACCATAGGAATCTGCGATGCTGCCAAGCTGAAAAGCCCTTGAGAGAACCACATGCAATAGCGCTGTAGATAGAACTCTTCCATCTCATCCTGCATGCTGGCAGTAAATGCAGCCGCATGTTTGTGCTGGGGATGTCGGATACCAAGCCATTCATCAAACAGGCTACATTCATGAGCAACGGAGTCATTGTAAATTTGGTCACCACCTCCAATCATTACATGGAATGGCTGCGACTGGTGTGTGTTCAGAACATCACGCCACATGGGATCAGGGCCGCTCAGATCGTCGGGGTTGGCGCTGGCACTGAATCCATTGCAGCTATGGAACATGATATTCATAGCCTGTCCTCGAGGAGGAACCCAGAATGCCATAGAAGGACCTCGGTTGATACGATAAGCGATGCGTTGTTGCTTCTCACGCAATTCAACTTCGATGTTGAACCTCCAGAAGGTGTAGCCTCTCTCTGCATGAAGACGAAATCCTCTCACATCCTTGTACTTTTGCAGCTTCTCGCCGTCAGTCAGAATGCGCTTCTGGCGGCCGGCGAAGGATTGAGGCAGCTCGGTTGTGCCATTTGGAGGGGGGATATCTGGCGGACTCCGTGACTTTTCGTACAGGCCTTCATCTGTTTCAGTACGAGACAGGTCTCTGGCTTCTTCCAGATGCTCCACCGGGCGTACATAGATAGTTTCGCCTCGACGACCAAGCTTGGGATGTCCTGCAATCGGATCGACGTATTCAGGTGGTAAATCCCCATTCACTTGAAGTGGTGGAGGAGGTAGAAGCTGAATGTCCTGTACAAAGAGGCGAAGCATAGGTGCAATATCGTAGGACGATTCTAAATCGTGCGTTACAATCATGACGCTTCCTCTCCATATCTCACGATTTGACAGGGCACTATTTTGAGATCGCGTGGGTACCTTCTCCTGACGAATTCCACAGTATCTCAAGAGTGGACCGCATTTAAGATACAAGGATGGCTTGAACCGTGTTGGAGCTAAAGCACGATTAACATACGTTGTGAGTAAGGGTCTACTTTTTGAGACGTTGCTCCTACCGTTTGTGTCATCATACTCGCCATCGAAAGCTTCAGCTTTCCGTGGCCTGGATGAGTAAGTACTATTTTTTCGTCCCCCGGTGGTCTCCCACCAAGCCTTATTCTTGTCACTGATTGCTTGATGATTTTCTGTGAGGTCCAATAGGGTCCCACCAAGAAACCCAACAGTTGCATTCTGAAATTCATTCAGCCAAACTGGCGGCTGATACAACCCTTCACCGGGACGCAAGTTTTCCGGGTCTTTAAATATCATGTTTGAAACTCGATGCTGAGGGAGATCCTCAACGGAATGGATGCTTTCCTGGCGTTCAGGGCGTCTTCCGACGACGGCTAGGTCTCGCTGCTCGGTGCCTGGGCTTTGAATTGAACTGGTATTGGCGTTACTACTAGTTGCAGGAGGAATATACTCTTCATCAGGTCTGAGCTCCTTTCTATAAATAGGTTCAGTTGCTCGACGTTGTATTCCTTGGGCAAGTTCTTGTGCTGTCGGGACGGGAGGCAGTTCTTTGTCTCTAATCGCACGGGGGAGCCTACCGGCGGCTCCATGGGCTCGAGTAGCTGATAGTGGCTCAGGGATAGCAGCACCAGGCACTTTCCTCTCCATATTTGGCTTTGTCGAGGTCCATTGATCTGTGGGAGGTTCCTTACGTAACTTGTTGCTTCCATTCCGTGCAATATTCGTTCCACCACTAGGACCACCGCTGAAGAAGGCCGTTGGTTGGTCTACCGGGCTTGCTTGCTTTAGAATGTGTTCTTTCTCATTCCTCGCTGCGCGTTCTCTGAAACTTAAGTTTCGTCTTGGTAGCCCAGACCTTGACTCTCCATGCTCCTCTCGTTGCTCCGGCACGTGGAGTGGCGGTGGCGGACCAGCGACATGGCCATGATCTGCGGCTTCGGCACGATAGCGACTAGGAATTGGATGTTGATGTTGTACGGGTTGGTGTTGCAGGTATGGATGCCCTCGGTTTCCAGTTTCAGCGAGATTCATCTGAGGCTCGTCTACCGGAACAGTTGGTACAATGGCTTCTGGGTGATATCTTGGCGGTTCAATGGGTATTCGGCGACCTTGGGATTCACCCGACTGGGCTGTGGAAGCTTCAGCAGCTCGTTTTGCGGCACGTTCTCTAGCTCGCTGCTCGGCGGCCTGGACTCTAGCCCTCTTTTCCTCCTTGGTCATGCTATCGAGCGTCAGCTCAAGCCGTTGGAGGGGCGAACGGTCGTTTGCAAACTTCTTGCGGCGCTCTGATGGCAGAGTGACGGATGGCCTTCGGGTTCCTCCAGCAGCAATATCTTGCGGCATCATGGGTGGCGCAACGACGCCTTTGCCGCAAGTGACATCATGTATCTGACTTCTTGGAAAGTCTGGATAGTCTTCGCGACGAGTTGTATAGTATCCTTCGGGCTCCATGCCGTCGTCCACGGCAAACCGGCCGGGTGGCAAAGATAGCGACTGAAAAGAAGTCGGCGAGACGTTGTTTGAGTTGGAGTTGAGTCTGGTGTAAGGTGGTTCTGAAGTTTCATACGGTTGATGATAGCTTACAGGTGGACCTCGAGGAACCTTTGGCGTATTGGGAAGAGCTTGAAGAGCCTGACGAGTTGACTCAGAGAGTGAATCCTGGAATTGCTCCGAGGACCGTCGATGGGGTCCGCGAGACGTTTCTTCAGGCATGTGCGAGACATGTTCTTGTGGAATATTAGAAACAGCAACACCAACATTTACATTGGCGCCAACATTGCCCATGCCCGCACCCATGCCCGCGCCCACATCTGGGGCAGCATTAGCTACAAAAACTGGGCGCTGGTAAGAAGGCGGTCTGGGAGCTAGGCCTTGGGCCGCTCCCGCAAAGCTCGAGGCCGTGGGCGAGTGGGGGCTGAAGGTGGACTCTGTAAGAGCATCGGTGTTTGCTGTCTGGACTGAAGCACGATTCGACTTGGACCTGCGTGGAGGCTGGGCATCAAGCGAGCGGCGGTGCTCATGCGTCGGGTACGTGTAGTCATCGTACTCGTCCCTCAACCCCTGCGAACCCTGCGAATCCGGGAAATGGCCCCAGCGTTGCTGCTGTGCTGCCATGAGAGTGACGACCAGGTGGCCGTGATGGGGTGACTGTGACGGAGGTGACTGGGCGTTCAGAAACAGTAACACCGCGGCAACGGCCTCAATCTCGGTTTCGGTGAGGTCAACCGCTAGTAAAAGAGAGAAGAAAACCGGCCTAGGACCTAAAAAAAAGGAGTGATGAGAATAATATGGGAAGAAAATATTAGCAAACCCAGCTACCGCGCAGTTATGAAATTACGACTAGAGAGAGGTACGGAGTATAACAAGACCCAAGACCAGACGATGGCACTGGCGTCAGGATCACCCGCCTCGTGTCGGTGCCAACCAGGAACCCGAACTAATATGTCTCCGTATTCCAATGTTGGGCTGAGTGTGGCTCACACCATGGGTCCCATGCAGGCCATCATTAGTACGATATGGAATGGAAAGGCCCGGGTGAGAGGGGGTGAATGCGTGGTGATGGTGCAGATTACGGCAGGTAGGACTCCGTGGTTGCCCAATTAACGAACATCTGTGGACGAAAAAACAAAAGCAAGGAATTGGAGAGACTCTGTTCCGTAACTCATCCCTCTATGCGACGAAAGTCGACCGTAGATGGGAAAGAGGCATCGGCCAATTCAATATTGGGTGAGAAGCTGTGTGGCTGAATATCTGGTCAGAGGGACCACGGAGAGCAACAAAGAGAAGCAGGTGGGTTTAGCAAATATGACAGATGATAATCTCAGATGGCAGGCAGCACTTTGCGACTCCGGCCGCGCACTCTGTACTCCGTACAGTAAGGTTGAGCGCAATTGCGCTCTTGGTGCGTTGACTGGTATATGCTGGCGCTTATGAGACAAGGAGCTAAAGACTTGGAAGAGATGAAGGAGAAAAAGCGCCTTGGGGCCATGGAGCCTGCATGCGCGGGCCGGATCCGTGGTCAGATTGACTGGCTGGGGGACATGAGAGGTCCTGTGGAGCCTCCTGCCACTGCTGTCTGCTGTAGAGTGACGAATGATATGGGGAGCACCAATGGGAGGAGTTGGTACAGAGCACTCTGTACCCCGTCAACGTCTTCTTACCGAGGAAGGAGTGCCTCTCCAATGCTGCCAGACACTTCAATCGCGTCCATGTCAGAGACGAACTTTCAACTCAGTCACCAGAGTTCGACGAGAGAGTGCCGAGCACGCCGAGGACCAAAATAAAGAGGCGGGTGACAGCACGCCATAACCAACGAAGACCAGCTGAAGATACCCTGCACCATGCAAGGATACGGAGTATGCCGGGTGGCTTGCAGCACTACTTCGGTACAGAGCCGCATTGATTAAAAAAAAACTAGGTGGCTGGCGAAGGCCTGAGCGTTGCAAACATCTTCAATGCCTCCCAACTGGTGCAACACAGGCTTGGACACTCGGCTGGGCTCGTGAGGGACCGTCACAGGGCAAGGAAACCGACCGATGGCAACACCAGGGCGAGCCGAGTTGAGCAAGATAATGATGAAGCTCGTTGCAGAGCCGATGCCCTCGGCAACATTTATTCCCTTCACTCCGTAAGGAGTGGTCATGGATCGTATTAATGTCTACTACCTACCTACGTAGGTAAGTAGACGACACGAGAAAGCAACTATGCCCCCCATGCGGAACAACAGGCAAACTCCCGCTCTTGACCAACTCCTGGGCCTCCGAGATACATATAGCTACTCCAGCCCTCCATGCCTGACTGGAATCTAGGCTCAATCAAATACCGAGCAGGATCGTCTGCGTGGACAAAGCCGCTCCAATCATGCTCCTGGCCATTGGTGTTAATCCATTTCATCCTCCTCATCGACGCGACATATTTCCAACCCTCGCTGGCATGACGCCCAGTCCCCATATCAGTGGTTGTAAACCGCTCGCCGCTGTTGCAGACCTCCCCATACAGCAAAATATTGGTTGCCGCAGTAGCCAGAGTGTTTTTGGGATTCACTCCTTCGGGTGCGAATAGCGAGGTAGGATATCAGCCGACGTATCGACCCATTAGTGTAGAGCCACCAGCAGTTGTCGTGGAGATTGAATATGATTTCGTCTCCTCCTGTTTGCCTCCTTCGACGGAGAGGGCAGAAATAGGCGTGCCCGGGTAGATGCGCCTGTCTTGTTAGAACCAGCCCTTCGCCCGGAAATTGTAGCCACCCACATAGTCGCTCTGGCTCCGATACCCATTGGTGGTGTAGAAGGCGAACAGAATGGGATGTCCTTTGTGAAGCACAGGATAGTGCGTCCAGCCAGCTTCGACGGTCTGATCTGGCTTAGCGACGCCGTTAGGTCGGTCAGCTCTGTCATGGACAACAGCAACCTGCAAAAGGGAGAAGTCCTCATCTCGCTCGAAGAACGATCTGTGGGTGGGTAGAGATGAAGCCGCCGCCGCCGAGAGTCTCATTATTTTGATAGGCAGTCGCATACCAATGCTCGTTTGTCATTCTGGCAAGAACGTGAAGCTCCGTGGCGTTGGAGGAGTCTTCTATGTGAAGAGGGGCGGGTTGCTTCATTGGAATATCATTACCAGCTTGTGCAATTGGGATGGTTCCCTCGGAGCCCTGGGCTAGAGGACGAACTGCTAGTTTTCGTCCAAATGCCTCTATCTGCTCCCGCTGGTGGTGCTGAGGGAGGAGTGAACTTTTCACCCTGTGATTCGCGAGTTAGCCAGTCCACAGTGATTCCATCTTCGGTGGTGGTTTTGACAATTATCAGCTTGACCTCCTTATGGGTTGACGGTGCGGCGGACACTGACTGAACCAGAGCAGCGAGGGTTGCTACCTTGAAAAGTTCCCAACGTATCTTGAAGCTGTATAAAAGGACGCCCTTGACATTGATTAGATGTCATTCTTACGAGGCGAGTGGAACAAGCCAAGCCAAGCACCGCAGTGGCTAGTAAGCGCCATGCCTTGAAATAACTATCCCTCTTGGTTTGGGTTATAATTGTGCGGCATGATTGAACTGGTAAGGGTCCGGTCGACCGTACCAGCACTTCGTTGTGTTTACTAGTAGAGTGCTCTCTGGGTTCATGCAATAAACTTTCCGTGACTCGTTTTCTTGTATTGCGACTTGACTGGCCCTCATCTACCAAAAATCTCTCCCTTCTCCGGAACGTCGCGAGGTGCTTCTGCCAGACTTCAGGGTTCTTCCCTCCACAATAGGCTAAGCAAACTTGGCAACCGTCATGAGTTGTTTGAAACTGGGGTGCATCAGCTTCGTCTCACGTGTTTCTAATTCTGCGGGTGCTACATGCCGATGCAGGGCGAAAATTGTGTAATATCGAAGTCTTGGCTGCGATCAGAGCGCCGCCGCACCTGGACCCGAGCCAGAGAAACGACGAAATTAAAATACCGGTATGCAAGCAGTGTCACCTTGTGAAGGAAGGGATGAGCTATTTTTGGAATCTTGAATCATTACGTTGGTTTTTGTTTTTGACTTTTATTTTCATCGCGGTAAATGATGCCAGGTATAAGTCGAGCAAATTGCGGAACATGCAAATTACAAAACCGAGGGAGTTCCGTATGTCACTATTGTCAATTTACGTTGAGTCTTGAATTGATCGATGATCGGCCTATACTAATGATTTGTAGATCTAGTCACGGGGTATAAAAAAATTATAGGTAAAGTAGTTGGCTGCTTCATCCAGAATAAAAGGGTTTGGAACTAACTACAAGGACGCACCAGATCCATACTCGTCGGCGACGGGTGGAGAAGACGCTTCAATTCAACTTGACATCTTTTGCCGACGCCACAGACTCCGCCGGCCTGTCGGAAGCACGCAAACTTGGAATACCACCGAGTACAGCATCATTGAGCGAAGCGACCTTGATTAGTCCATCTGCGGAAGCGCAGCAAAGTCACAATGGCCAACCCCGTACCCGAACCCCCCGGCCGTCTCATTTCCCACTTCACAGACCGGTACGTCGCCAGGACAAATCCAATGCCACTGCCATGGTAATAAGATATGTAGGTCCCGGGCTGAACAAAGTGGTGGGTGGGACTCGCTTTGGGAGTCTGATGAAGCCGATCTCTGGGACCGGCGGATGCCGTCTCCTGCACTCATCGACTTCATTGAATCCAAGCAGGACCTCCTTCAGGCTCCTTCGGGAAGACGACTTTGTGCCCTTGTACCTGTACGAAATCCCCCCCTCCAATGCTAAGGAACTATTCAATATCGGTCTTGACGCGTAACACAGGGCTGTGGGAAAGGGTACGATGTGGCCATGCTAGCCTTGCACGGCTTCGACGTATACGGACTCGAAGTCTCTGCAAAAGGTGCACAGATAGCCAGGGACTATGCTACCAGGGAACTGGTCGAACCGCAGGATTACAACTTTGGGAGCAACGGCCAGCCGAGTGGTCAGCCTGGCCGGGTGAGAATCATCGCTGGGGACTTCTTTGTCCGCGACTGGGAACAGACTCTCGCCCAGGACGGGGTTGAGGGCTTTGACCTCATTTACGACTACACGGTACGTTGCCAGCGGGTTCGCATGAGCGGTGAATTGTAATTGCGTGTTGACTTGGGTTTGCGAACCAGTTCCTCTGTGCACTGTTGCCGGAAATGCGAAGAGACTGGGGTCGCCGTATGAGAGAGCTCGTTGCCCCAACCGGTATACTGGTGTGTCTCGAGTTTCCCATGTATAAAGACCTCAAAGCTGTAGGTCCCCCTTGGGGCCTGAATGGCGTTCATTGGAACATTCTGGCGGAGGGTAAAGATGGAGTTATTGAGGAGTCTGGAGAGGAGACTGGGACACAGAATGGCCCATTCAAGCGGATTCTGTATTTCAAACCGCCTAGAACTTATGAGGTCGGCAGAGGCACTGACATGGTCAGTGTTTGGAGGCCTCAGTAGCAATGCGTAATAAATAACACTTCAAAAATATGTTTTGTAAAACCGATCCGGCCAGCCCGGAGTCTTGATGCCGGTAGTTACTGACCTCCTCCAGGCGAACTGCCCGGAAGGCGGGCTGACACGACGCGAAGGAGTAGTGCAAACATGCAGGCACAATGATAAACTTAATCACACACCAATGCAACAAAGAACGGGGGGTGAAAAATTGCGTAGGTATCAATGAGTCAAGATACAACGACGGCAAAAAATTAACGACGAAACGCATCGTGGAACGATTTTGCTCCCGGCAGGGCTTGAACCTGCGGCCTCCGCATCACTAACGTTTATTAGTACGAAGCTCTAACCAACTGAGCTACGGAAGCGTTTCTAGATGTTGGGAGTAGGATGTCCAATTACAAAATATCAATCTCGATGAAAAAAAGTTTTTTCCCAGCCGTCACGTTTGATCCGGTCCTGTAGAAACAGATTTCTATAAACGCAGGGTTTTGTAGGCTCGACACTGTCAAGCATCATATCTTGGGCAAAAAGTCTTCGCAACAGACTTTGTGGGGCGATGCCGTTAAAACCATTATCCTTCGAACCCCCGAGTTTGCTTGCCCAGGACGTATGTCCAGCTCGCTTTCTAATGGGTAACAATCGGTAGTGGGAAATGTTCGTGAAGTGATAGAGCAGATGAACAATCAATCAAAATGGCCACGGATTCCACATACTCGTCGATGTAGGTGGAATAACGATACAGAGAAACAGAAATAAACTAATCGGGAGAAACTGCGCGATCCTCGACCGTTATGTTTTTCAACCCATCTAATTTTGCTGCTTTAATCATAATCAATGGCAAGACATTTATTTGGGTCAGTGCGTTATTGCCGTTTGGTTCGCATTGCCGAGTTCAATAGATGTTTGGGGTGAGCTTTTGCTTATGCCTGAAGCTGATACAGCCTGCTTCAACGCTCATGATTCATGAGACACCGCCGCATGAAAACGTACGTCTCAAAAGTCGCATGCAAGTGTTCGAGTCGCATTTTTGCAGTTACTCGGTGAGCCTTCCAGAACAGCAGGAGGCGATACTCAAGTAGAAGGATAGCAGCCTGCTGTGGTCTAGCCATTGATCCGACGTTGCCGCGGTGATAGTTTATCGGAGTAGTCAGGCAAATATCCTAGTATTCTATGAAAGGAAAAGAAAAGCTATATAGGCTAACATTTAAGGTATATACCTTATGAGACAGATAACCAGTAGAATAAAAAAATAAATTACTGAACTAAAAAATGAATCGATAACAAATATTCACAGGAGAAGTATAGGGTAGGCATGTGAAAGTCAAACCTTGATGCCATATTTATAAGGCAGAAAATTTTGCCAACGCAGTCTCGTCGACCGCTCCTGACACCAAGATTAATTTTTTGCGGGTGGCAGCGAGTCGCGCAGTTCGTCACTTCCACCTTCTGTCCATTGACACCTCACCCTTCATCCCTACAACCCTTTGCAAGAAAGCACGTCTTTGCCTGGCGCAAAGTTGCATCTTGCATCTCTCCCTCAGAGTGAGAAGATAGTCGATCTATTTTCTTCCAACTCCACGACCCAGCTAGACGACAACATCGCAACCGCCACAATCAAACGTCTCGACCGCCACCGTTCATCCTCCACCCCAACTACCCTCTGGCGATTTTGCCGTGGGACAAACCACAGACATCAAACAAAAGCCACAATACACAATGGCCGCTACCTCCGAAGCTCCCAATATGGACCAGCAGGTTGACCTTTCCACAATCCCCATCTCTCCCAATGGCAAGAGTGAGAGCGCCGAGGCCAAGGACGGTGACAAGCCTGTGACTGTTTTCCACGATAAGGATAACTTCAATGTTAAGCACCCGCTTCAGAATAAGTGGACCTTGTGGTTTACCAAACCCCCGAGTGGAAAAGTATGGACGCCAGTGCACTGAATGCTATGAATCGAGCATAGATCTAATTTACCGCTCTTAGGGTGACAATTGGAACGATCTGTTGAAGGAAGTCATCACCTTTGACTCCGTCGAGGAGTTTTGGGGTGTTTACGTAAGCTTCATCCTGGATCGCAAGAGCCAATATAATCATAGCTTCTAACTCAACACAGAACAACGTTGCCCCAGTCTCTGACCTAGCCCTCAAATCTGACTACCACTTGTTCAAGGCTGGAGTGCGACCCGAATGGGAAGATCCTCAGAACAAGCATGGTGGCAAGTGGTCATTCCAGTACAAGGAGAAGCGAAACGTCGATATTGACCGCCTGTGGCTGCAAGTTATGATGGGTGCCATTGGTGAGACTCTGGAGGAGGAGGACGATGGCGAGGTCATGGGTGTCGTTGTCAACGTGCGAAAGGCCTTCTATCGTATCGGTGTCTGGACTCGTACCATTGGCAAAAGCATTCCGGGCCGTGGAGACGGCGATGTTGCTGGTGGCAAGGGCCGTAGCGGAGAAAAGAGTAAGGACATTCTCATGTCTATTGGGAGACGTTTCAAGGAGGTTCTCGAGCTCCCCAATAACGAACAGGTTGAGTTCTCTGGCCACTCTGATAGTGCTCATGCTGGCAGTACGAGAGCCAAGGCCAAATACACTGTATAAATGGAGTAATTGCAGGGAGGGTCTAGGCGTTAGGGGAGAACTGGTGGAAAATGGCATGGAGGATCGGATACACGCTGATGTACTGCTCGATTCCCCTTTGCTCTATCACTGCATCGACACTGGCTTCACGGTTTTGACGACTGACGAGAATAAAATCGGTGGATGGTCCTATCGGAGTGTTTGGCCAGCTCATATGCATCTGGCCAAGATACTGCATTTTTGATTGGTGGCCAAGCTTCAAGTTTGAAGCTCGTGTCGCCGCAGAAAATTCTGTCTCTAATTGTGCGGCGGCGTTTGCTTGGTTTTGCTCAGATGGACAGCTTCGCCGAGGTAGCAGATTTTGAACTTGTAATGGCTGTACCACAAATAGACTTCTGATATTTGGCCATTCCTTTAATACATCTATTTATCAGTGTTTGGACTCTGTATTCTTAATTTATACTGGTTGCTGGTGTTTTTTATTCTTAAAATGGGACTCGGTTCTGTCCCAGTCAAGGGCTATAGATATCAAGTCGCCATACCATGTCTATATCATACATGCCTCTCTATCCACATCTCTCGCCCTCTTCCAAAATCTTACAATATTCACCTGGGCCCCGTTTCATGCTACAGCTCGTCACCGCTGTGTTCATCCGCAAAGATCTCCTTCACCAGCTGTTTCTTATTAATCTTGCCCATGGCGTTCCTCGGAATATGTTCCACAATCTTCATGACCTGCGGAATCTTATAATTCGCTAACCTGCTCTTCAGCGCGCGCCTCATGTCCAAGGGCGACCACTTTTGAACCACGTCCCTGTTGATAATGAGCACAGCGCCGACCTTCTGGCCCCAGTTTCCGCTGGGAACTGCGACGACAGCAGCCTCTGACACCTCTGGCAGACTGAGGAGTTCGCGCTCTACTTCCAGCGCAGAGACCTTTTCGCCACCCGTCTTGATGATGTCAGCCGTGAGGCGGCCCTGGATGAAGTACAGCGGGCCCTTGGTCCACGGCTGGCTGTGCGAGGCGGCGGGGACGGCGCGGCGAATGGCGACGTCACCTGTTTTGAACCAGGAGCCCCGGCCGTCGGAGTCGGGGATGAACTCCTTGGCCGTGGCAGAGGGGTTCCGCCAGTATTCCTTGAATACGGTTGGCCCGCGAAGCTGGATCTCACCAGAGCGTTCCCGGCCTTGGGAATCGACCTCGCCACCGAGGGGGATGATTTCACCCGTGTCCACGTCCATGAGACGTGCTTGGACCGAGGGCAAGGGCCAACCGACAGAGGCGTCGATGCGGTCGGTGAAGGAGAGGCCGCAACTGAGTGCCATGCCGACTTCCGTCATGCCGTAGCGCTCGAGGAGGACATTGCCGTGGCTGAGATCTGACCAGGCAGTCTTGATAGGCGTGGGGAGGGCAGCCGAGCCGGAGATGTTGACGCGCATGTTTGCAGGGGAGATGGCCTCTCGAGCGGCGGCTTGGATGGGATGAGGTAAGAGCTTGTGGCTGGCGAGAAGGCGGCTGTAGACTGTAGGAACGACGGTGAGGAAGGTGACTTTTGAATTGGGAGGTTTTGTCGTGCCGTGGGGGCGGTTGGTGCCGTTTGTGGGGAGGAATGGTGCCGCAAGACGTTTCCATACAGCATCGGCGTTGAAGGGAAACATGAATTCGACGGACGAGCCGGCGAACAAGGGCGTGATGACGGCGTTGACGGTGCCATGGATGTGGTGGAGGGGGAGGACATGGAGGAGGTGGTCTGCTGGGGTGTATTTCCATGCTTCTATGAGGGAGCGTGACTGGGCGGTTAGGGCTGATTGCGGTAAGAGGACGCCTTTCTAGGAGCTGGTAAGTATCCTTTGCTGCGTGGTTTTTGCATACTGAGGCGGGCGAGTTTGGCTTACAGGTCTGTTGGTGGTTCCGGAAGTGTATAGCATCAGCCCGGCACCAGCTGGATCCGAGCCCTCCTCCAACGAAACGACTTCACACATGCCGCCACCCTCATGTTTCTTTAGTTCAAGATGAGCAGGTTTGGTAGTTAGATCCGTGGCTAGGACCTCCGCTGCCTTGGATGCGAACCTGGGCGAGGAGACGAGAAGCGCCGCTTCACTGTGGTCAAGGATATATTGTAGCTCTGGCGCCGGGAACGCAGGAGACATGGGGACTGCGATGGACCGCGCCGCAAGCACAGCGAGCAAGGTGACTGGGAGAGAGAGTTAGTATGACAAGACAATGGCCAATTAGAATATATACATGTATTTATTTACAAAAGAAACGAGGGCAAGAGCAAGAAGCGCCGTGGCAGACCACTCACCAACATAGTCGTAGCTATTCCCGACAAGAAAGGCTATTCTCTCCCCATTCAAGTCCTTCTTCCCACTGGCTTCATAAAATCGCTCCCGCGCCTTCCGTATATCCCCTAGCAATTCGCCGTATGTGAAGGTTCTCCCCGAGGAGGAGTGAATGACTGCGGTTGACTGGGGGTCATGTTTTACAATAGCCTCGAAGATGGGCAACCGCGGCAAGGTGGTCGAATGCATTCTCGAGTTGGAGAGGCATGAACAGCACACAGTCACCCGCGCCAGAGAGAAACGGTGGGAAGACGAAGAGGAATACGGAGGTGAGATGAGGGGAGGAGAGGAAGCTATGCGCCGGAGAACCGGTGGCAGGCTGCGTCGGAGTGTCATGGGCAGAAACTGGTCGGCGCAACAACAGGCGCCGAGGTGGTGTTTATCGCGCCTCGTCGCCTTGTTTCTCACTTGTAGTACTCGGTCCACGACTCCACGGAGGAAGGAGAGGGGGAATGACGCAGCCAAATTGGACGGAAGAAGTGGAACCAGTAGCCTAGGTATGGACGGAATATCTGCACGGCATCCAGGTCAGATCAAGTGTGGTTGGGTCCCCGTGTCCCAATGTTTCCAGCTGAACTGCCTGATGGTGCGATGGAGAATGGTAAGCTCGAGATGATGTGGGCTTGGAGCCTTCGAGGCTGCCTTTGCGGCTCAACGCTGGATGGCGCAACGCTGCGTCTCGGGCCGGTGTATGCTGTGGCTGGCGGGAATATCAGAATTAGTATTAAGCAATGGCAAGACTTGGGATGCTTTCAAGCAAGGACTGGCCTTGTTGATGTCGACGAGTTGAGGCATCCAATGGCTCCATTCTTCTGTGGGACGAATGTACGGAGTACTGTATGTACATGCATACACATTGAAAGAGGCGGAAGCCAGTTTTGGGGGCCGGCATGCGCAACGGCGGAGCCAAGACTGACTGACAAGCGGAGAAGCACTACGGAATAATAAATGTCGGGTCGTTGAGCAGCATTGAGCAGAGAATAAGCCAGACGTTGTTGGTTGATTGTGGCGACTTCAATATTGAAGGTGTCAACTGATGCTATTGTACGGAGTATACACAAACAAGTACCTACGCCCCGAGTCCTGACTAAGTCGTAGGTCGCAATATTGGGCTGACGTTATAAAAACCATGAAGCGAGGCGAGTCACACAACAAGGCAGCCAAGCTCTCCCCCCTGTCACCAGAAATCGGCCAAGATGACAGCTTATTCTGCTCGCCCGAGGGTATTTTTGGTTGAGCAGAATACTCTGACAAGATACCTGATTTAAGCGTTGGCTGTTGGGAGCCAGTGTCAAGCTGCTTCACTGCCGGCATCTGCACCGCGACTTGGGCGGTCGGTTTGCGTCACCACCTTGACACCTTGACCACATCGTCGCTTCCTTCATCGCCGAATTCGATCATGTGCAGAAACACGATGCAAACTGCCTCACTCTGCGCGGGCCGAGCATATGGGTACCTGATTTCTCTCCCACACTCCCTCAAGGAGGTGTTGCACCACGCCCAGCACGCACGATTCATCTTGTGAGCCACGCCATGCCGCAGGCGTGATGCTGCATTTCAGCAGCTCGTGCTTTGAACAGATGCGACAGCCTGGTCACCCATGTTGGTAGCATGAATAGCATGAATGCGTGCATATGGAGTGTCTCGATGCCATGTAAAACTCGTCCTTGGACTGGATGTACATGAGACTGGGCGGCCAGATCGAGAATGCAAGCATTCCTGCCATCTAGATACTAACAGGCACGTCTCAGCTCAGGCGTCCAGTCGTGGTGGTGCCGCATTACTAAATGCGTAGTATTTCTTTTTTCTTTTCCTTTCTTTTTCCCTTCTTTGCCGTCTAGTTCTTTCTCTCTTCTCATGATTCCCATGATTCCTTCTCTTGTCTCTTGTCTCGCACCGCTTGTCGCTACCGCAAGAAGCCTGTCTCAAAAAAAAAAAAAGCTTCTTCATGTACCGCCACGCCGGCTCCAAGTCCCCACGTACCCAGAAAACGTGCCTGATGCTCCACTGCACATGCAGCCCCGTCACCGCTCCATTGCCCCAACGGCCTGTCATTGGGCCCCCGCCCCTCCCAAAACTGCCCTAATGGACAGTGCCCATGCAGCAGCGCAGCCTTTTTGGTGACTGGTCTGCATGCCTGTTGCTCTCTCACCGACTTGACCGACGAGAAGGGGGAAGGGAAAAAAAACAACCATAGCCAAATGAGCCGACATCATTGGCAGTTTTGATCCCGCTTGCAATACGCATTGTAGGTGCATCCGACAAGAAAGCGGAGAGAGCCAGGTGCTTTGTCCTGGGTGTTGTTTTCCTGAAGATTTATTTCTTCTTCTCCTCGTCCTCGCTCCTTCCGTTTTTTTTTTCTCGCCTCTCATACTCGACTCTCTTAAGCCAATTGACTCGCCCAGAAAGTGGCGGACCGAACAACACTGGCCCGAGTACTTCGACGTGGCGACTTCATCATCTTCCCCCCCAGTGATATCGACGCTATACGGAATACTACTGCCCCGAATGTTGCGACGATACGCCCTTGGTTTCTCAAATGTCGGGCGACAGCTCTCCACCATGAGCTCTAATACGCCCATGGAGGATGCCATCCGTGCAAAGGTTGGTGACGGTGCCAGGCTTGGCCGAAGTGGTCAATCGTTTTTCCCCAAACCAATACTCGTCGGAGGCTAACTACCATGGGGCAATTAGATTACTGCTGCTTTCGATCCTCAGACCCTTGAGATCTACAACAACTCCCATCTCCATTCCCACCACAAGGCCATGCAGGGTGTCACTTCCAAGGAGACTCACTTTAGGTACGACCATCCTGGACCTCACACCGCCTCATGTCCCAAGGGACCGCGCGGACTTCTGCCGCACCCACCACGGCACCACGGCTAATGCTAGATTCCTAGACTCGTCATCACGTCGGAAGCCTTCAAATCCAAGGTGCAGCCAGCCCGCCACAGAATGGTCTATGCCCTCCTCCGGGACGAAATGGCCCTCGAGGGCGGCATCCATGCTCTCGAGCTCAGGACCCTGACTCCCGAGGAAGAAGAGCGCCAAAATAAGAAAAAAGCTGCTGAGGCTGCTGCTAAGGAAGAAGAGTCCAAGGAAGCTTGAAAATAAAAGAAAATAAAAAAAAACCCCCACGTCTCGTGGGGATTTAATGACAGGAATGCAACGCGAGAACGACGCCTTTTTTTTTCTCTTTTACCGGAAAAAAAAGTTTAATGCCAAAATAGCAGCAGGCCCTGCCACGCTCGGGAAGTGTTGGATGAGAACGCAACAGCAGCGCCAGGGGAGGGGAAAACAATATCCTTTTGTTTAAACTGGAAATGACGCAACGGAACGCTTTTTAGATACAACGAAAATGAGTCTCCTCAAGGAGACGTTATGAAAAACCTCTACAGAAGTATATTATTGTTTCTATTATCATTGGTAACGCCTAGCTAGATCAAAAAGGGCCCACGCACAATAGACACACGTCTGCCGCATGCATCTTTCAGTAATGACTATGAGAATACCGGGGTATAATAGCTATTTCCTTGTAAGACAGCAACTGTCATATTCATACATTCCAGCATCAATTCGAACTCTCGAAAAGATACATGTCGCGCAGCCGGCACTACGTCGAACCATGCCGACTCCGTGAACTCAGCACACCACTGGCCTTCTTCCTTCTGATGTGTTCTCGTAGCAGGGCCTTCCGTTCTTCAGCGGATCTCTGCTTCCGCGCGTCACTTTTAGTAGCTGATGCTAATCTCTCAAAATACTGGGATGCCTTCGGTGCTTTCGACCTCACGGGTGACGGGGGTGCTGCATCCCGCGGTTCATGCGCATCGGACCCTAATTCCGGCGACGGTGGTGAACGACGTTGCCTCTTGGCAGGTCGAGGGGGCGATATGTCTGGTGTCGGGACATCGGCATTCACAACGTGGTCTCTACTCAGTGGCTTTCCCCGCCCTTCCACCGCCTTCTCGTTCCCAGGTTCCCTGGTCTTGTGGGAAAGATATCGCCTTGTCCTGGCAACCTCATCCGGAAACATGTCCAGCACATGTTGTAAATTTTGCTTCGTAATCACCATCTTGCTGTACTCTGGCTGCCCTTGTAGCATGTTGAACCATTCAACTGCGGGCAAGGGCTCCTGTCCTGCCCGCGCACCGGTCACGTATTTCCGGTATTCTGCAGAATAGGCGCGAATGAAATCGTCGTAGAGGAATTCGCGGAGGGCACGCCCTGATGCGAGGAATTCGAGGCAGATGCAGGCATTGACGAAATTTTTGAGGGTGCCGTTCTGCGAAGGGTAGGACGGGTACGTGGTTGTGAAGAGGATATAGGGGTTTGAAGCGGTGACGGGAGAGATTCGCGGATTGACGGAGTGCGCTTGAGATTCTGTAGGTATACATGTTGTTGTAGGCGCAAGGGAGCGAGGTTCGTGGTCATTGGGGTTTGGGAGAGGGATGGGTGAAGCAAGGGGAGGGGCGGCGGTGGTTGAGTTTTGGGTTGATGCTGTTAAACATGTAGCTGGGATGAGGGAGCTGGATGAGGTAGATAGCGAGCTTTCTACTTCTTTTATGCGTAATGTGTTGGGGAGACGGGTGAATGATGTTGATGCGTTGACGGGCTTGACTGGAGTGGTGTTTATATCGTACATCTTAAATCTCTTACGCCGCTTTTGTGGTGTTCCGGGGTCAATGCGAGCAGAGACCCGGTTTGAATCCACGGTGTAGGGGATGACGTCTTGGTTTGGTTGAGCACAGGGCGGAGTTTCGGTTTCCACGACTTGTGAGGCTATATTCATGGCGGGCGTGGATTTTACTTGCCGCCGGGTGGATTCTAGGTTAATCCTGACGTCAGGTTGCTCGTGAGCTTGTGGGAGTCGCATGTCCATTTCGTCTTCCTCTTCCTCATCTTCTTTCGCGGTTCTCACGGCCAGACGATGGGGTTCTGGCTGGGGAAGCGTATTGAGAAGTCCTGGCCTCGGATTGGGTATTGGGGTTTCCTGGACAGCTTGTGATTGACTCGGTGTTGTTAGGGGGCGTTCTCGAGCACCTCGATCTGGGGAAGTCGACCATGTTAAACGGCTATGGGCTTCCGAGGAGGTTGAGGACTGGCCATCGCTTTGTTCATCATCGCCGGCATCTTGCTGTTCCTTGTTCACCTGATCCTCGACGCTCTCAACTATTCTGTCCACACTGTGACATTGGATAGCATTAGGGAGGTCATCTGCATTGACGGTTCCGTGCTTCTTGGCACTCTCATCGTTTCCCCCGTCACTGCTTAGTTGAAACGACTCGGGTAGTTCATTTATATTCACCAGCTTGCTCTTGCGCTCCTTTCTTCGCAAAAAAGCTTCCGTAATAGTCTCCAGCACATGGTTGGGCACATGAGGTTGACCCTGACGCTGATTACCCTCCACGGCCCATGCGCCGTCTTTGTCCAGAATGTTTTGCTGGTCCTGGGGTACAACCGTGAGACTACGCCGCCTCAACAGCGCTTGGATGTCCTGTTGAGGCGACGATGTGACGGACATGGCGACGAGGCGAATACGAATAGAGGTCTAGGCATGTGAATAACTGCATGAGTGGGTGGCGCCGATAGCACGGTCGAATTTCATCACATCTGAGGTGACGAGACTGTACAGATACATGACCTGCAGTAAATCCTGTAGTGTTTCGAAAGGTTCCACGGGTATTGTCTACTTTATTGGGGGGGGCCTTTGCGCTGTTCAACAGATCTGAATGCTCCGTGAGACTGTAGGATCGGAGATCTCGTGTTAGCTTGGGTTGTGGTGGTGGTGACGGCAAGACGCGCAGGATTCAACGATGGGACGTGACGGCCTGATTGTGTACTCGGTACACATCGCTCCGCGCAGTACTTACCTGGAGCTGCAGAGCTTCGTGGGATCCACTTTTTAGCAGTCGAGAGCCGGTGGCGCATGGAGGGCCTGGAATTTAGCGGGGACTGGCAGCGCCCAGGTGTTTTTGGGCGACCATCTGGAGTCTGGTCTGGTTGATTGGGCCCAAAGACCACTAATGCGCACTGCAGCTTTTGTAGCGGATCAGGGTGTGGGCCAGTAAGAAGCTAATTATTCAAAGATACTTATTTTTCCTAGTAAATAATACAATAGTATAAGTACTAAATATCTTATAAAACACACAAATATATTATTATACTAGATAATAGTAGCTGAGGCTATCGCGAGATAGCCTTGGCTAGCAGCCGCGGCGCGGCACCAATTGCGGTGGTATATCTGACGCGTCACAATACGTAAACAGTTTACTTTTCTAGTTTTTTACTATTTTTAGCCTAGTATAGCCCAATACTATTTTAGATTTTACGCTTATATAATACTTGTATAGTCGCGAGTCACCGTCATTGCGTCTCTGACGTGTAGAGTTTATTCCAGGCTTTCGCCGGCGCGTAAAATCATGAATCACCTTTTAAGCTAGTAGATTTGATATATTATAATATATATACTATTTTTTATATTATGTGTTACTGCTAGTTAAATTAGCAAGGTATAGCTATTAATTGTGTTACTAGTAGGTCCTGGTAATTAGCTAGCCTTTTTTTTAATTTTTTTATATTAATTTAATTTAATGTAATACTTGCATTATACATGTAATTTTATTTAACTACAGAGCAAAACAATTAAAAATTAATACTAGAATTAACCCTAGTAATAATGGTAGTACTTACAATGTATCGTAAAGAAGTGGGTCCACTACATAGCCTGCACCTTCGCACACTCAATGGGACTGCGAGCTATCTCTTTAGCTGCCCAGTGGCTTATGGAGACTCCTCTGGCATACAATTTTCTTAGGTAAGCGAGTCTCCATAAGCCACTGGGCAGCTAAAGAGATAAATCCCAATACGCCTGCCGCCACAAACACCAATAGAACACTGCTGCTATTTTCGCCCTTTGCCTGATCCTCTTGTATTTGAACACATCATGGGCTTGTCAAGTCGCATAACATGCGCAGAGCCTTTGCGAACCTGATCCGAAGTCGACATCGGCCCTTGCAAGATTGCTGGCATGGCAAGCAGCACTACCTCCAAGGCGACGCGCCCAGCCTCGCCGGCAGCTTCTATAGGACTTAGCTCTCCCGTGAGCTTTCGAAAGCGGCGTGGCTCAACCAACTCGATATCCTCCACGATAGATAAAGAACAGCTGGCGCAGGCTCTCGACCAGATTCACACATCGGCTAGTCGATGCGAATCCTTGACTACCTTTAATGACTTTGCCCCTCCTCCAGAAGGAATTCCGGCTTTGGAGAACAGGCCAGGAGCCGGGGAGTTGGTGCAGAACGGTCTCAGTGGCTTGTATAATCGATTCCGAGAGGCGGTAGGTGGTGGCAGCCCGACCAAAACCATCCCAAAGGAGGCAAAGGAGATTAAAGATGGCTCGGGACAGACGTCGGAGGTTGCTTCCAAAAGATCGTCTATAGCGCCTGGCCATAGCTCTCGGCCCTCTGTGTCGTCCCTCACGCGAGTTGACACAAATGCTACCATCACGACAAACTCGATATCAACCATAGCTTTAACTGATGTGTCTTCTCCAACTACCGGGTCTGGGAATGTGGAGACTCGCCCGCAAATACAGTCGACCAAGTCGAACAGCATCAACCTCATGACCGGACCACGATCCAGCTCGACTAGTAGGCAAAGCTTACCGACCAATGCTACGAGTTCCGTCGTTGCTGACCCTACAATTGCACCGCCGGCCCCGCTGAAGCGAGATGCGAGTCGTAGTACCATCCGTACTGAGGACAGTGGAGGGCAGGGTTCTAGCAGGAGAAGCCTTACCATAGCCGAGCTTCAAGCAGAATCTACGAGTCTTTATGATTCCAAGGACGGGAGGCTGCCGCCTCGAGCTGGACGCGATGATGAATCTAGCGCTGATGGCAGCCTCGATGCCCCGTTTAGTCCTATTGCAGGTGCGCCATCGACAACCTCAACTACCAACAGCCGCCACCATGCTCGAAATCCTTCCGTCACGTCTTCTATGCTGCATCCCGATGACATGAGACGGACACCCGCAGTCATCGATAGGATAAGTCGGTCTCGTTCTCCTAGATACCCAGGTTCCAGGGACTCTTCGCTCGACAGAGGTACTGCTGCGGCCAGTGCCATCAACACATCAGCACATGACTCAGTCTACCATGATTCCTTCGGCCAGGAGATTCAATCACAGCATTTACATCCCGATTTTGGACGGATCCCGGGTACCACGAGCGGCCAGGAACGTGCTTCTGACCAGATGAATGCTCAACTTGACAAAATGCGGAGACAAGTATTGAGCAAGGAGTTCTGGATGAAGGACGATACTGTGAAAGAGTGCTTTCTTTGCCAAACGCCGTTTACTGCGTTTCGGAGAAAACACCACTGCCGTACTTGTGGTTGTATTTTCGATTCCAAGTGCACCACTGTGGTTTCCGGTGAGAAGTTCGGCGTTCAGGGGTCTTTGCGAGTATGCAAGAATTGTCTCGAGGTTATTAGCCGTCGATTCGATGGCAGCGGCTCTGATGACTCAGGGGACGAGCGGTCCTTTTTACCCAAAATATTTGGACCAAATAACCCCAAGGAATCTTCTGAAACTACGGAAAGCAAACCCAGGCCCATGTCATCAAGCGTAGCTGTTGGCTCTGAAGGATTGGAGGATTCGCGGCCCCTGACGACACCAATGATGGCGATTCCGGCTACCCGGCGCGTGAGAGAATCTGCCAACAGGGCCTCTGCCGTATTGGAAATAGGAGCTCCTCAACTAAGTCGACCCGGTTCATCCCGCTCTCTGAAATCGTTAACGACGTCTGGACGTCCACAGTCATCTGCCGGTCACAAGCGCCATCATTCCAAACATGGCTTTCTTGGGAGATTCAAGCCAGCCCCAGAACAGCAAGCCCCGTTCCGAAAAGGAATCGATGAGGAAAGCTCGAAGAAACCAAAGTTTCCCGCTTTTCATGATGATAACATTATCGATCCAGATTTGGCGGATTACATGTCGGAAGACTCTAGTGGGGATGAACAGATGGGCATTTTTGCGACCATGGCAGCATCAGATGTCCAATCAACAAGCTATGAACACGATAGATCTGCATTCCCGTCCTACTTGAACCAAACTCGGAAATACCGTCATCGGCCTGGCGAAAAGAGCATCAGCGGCATGAGCTATGTCAGCAGAGGTGTTTTAGATGAAACCAATGGCCCAATCAGTCTATTGAATCACAGGAGGTCAACTCGGCGCCGGAATCTCAGTATTAGTGGAAGCGCTCATCATCACGGCTCTCCACGCCCAAAGTCCGCCATGTACAAGGGACCATCTGCGTCTTCAGAGGCGCTCTTTGGGCTGGAGCACCCCAGCCAATCTGGAACGCAGCTAACCCGGAGTGATTCTTTGCGCAGAAAGAGGATTTCTAAACAAGAACTCAACCGGTCCAGTTTGAAGCATGTTGACAGATTGCTTTATCAGCTTCTCGATGATGCTCAAATTCCGAATCCAGGTGTATGGCAGAAATCTCTCGTACCTATTCTACTTCAGCTCACAGACGATGTCACCCCCGATGTCGCGAAAGGAGAAGACATGGATCTGAGACATTATGTCAAGTTAAAGAAGATTCCTGGCGGACGACCGGGCGACACATCGTATATCTCAGGGGTAGTGTTCACAAAGAACCTCGCATTGAAGAGGATGCCACGGAGGATTACGAATCCTCGCATCGTACTTGTGACTTTCCCTATCGAGTACCAGCGTCACCAACAGCACTTTATGAGCCTGCAACCAGTAATCGAACAGGAGAAGGAGTTTCTACGAGTTGTCGTGCAACGAATCACCAACCTTCGTCCACATGTTTTGCTTGCACAAAAAGGCGTATCAGGAGTTGCTTTGCAATATCTCTCGGAGGCTAATATATCCGTAGCGTATAATGTGAAAGACACGGTCATAGAAGCCGTGGCTCGATGTGCTGAGGCTGAAATTATCGAATCGTTGGACATGCTGGCACTCCCAGTTCGGGTTGGAAGATGTTCTGCATTCGAAGTGCGAACATTTAACAATGATTATCCTGGTAGAAAGAAGTCGTATATTTTCCTCTCGGGGTGCCGTCCTGATTTAGGATGCACAATAGCCTTGCGAGGCGCGTCTGGTGCGTTACTCAGACAGGTAAAGCATATCATGGAGTTTATGGTCTATGTTGTGTACAACCTGAAGCTAGAATCAAGTCTTCTTCGAGACGAGTCGGTCGAACCCCCAGAGGACAGCGAAACCTCGCTATCAAACTCACTTCAAGGCCTGAACGAGAGCTTCCGCTCTATCAGCTCAGCTGGAGAATGCTGCAAACAAGGGCCCACTGTTGTCGTTAATCAGCCGTCCAGCGAGTCTGAGCCGCCATCACAGAACACAGTGGACAGCGTGAGCACAATCCCTGAAGATGCTGAGCTTGTTGGACAGGCCGGTGGGCCAGCCCCCGAACCAGCCAAAATGGTATCTCTGCATGCCTATCATACACACGCCTCTCCCGAGAGCCAAGTACCTGACGATATTCCGATGCCGACTTTTTACAGCGACATGGTAGCAAAATACGAAACCAAGATTCTGTCCGCGTCACCATATGTAAAGTTCAAACAGCCTTATCTTCTGATGAAGGCTCGTGAGCAAGAACGAAGACTTCTTTACCTCCGGCAACTTCGTGATCAAGATGCCGTCGAGGAGGATCCGGAAAAAGCAGGTCGTCACAGGTTCCAGTTGATAAAGCCTGAAATGGTAGAGAAGATTGGGCAGAAGGCACCTCGTCAAGTTATGGAAGTCTTGCATGCAGTCCATGATGCGGAATATGACAAAGCCCTCTTCAACTATCAAACCCAAACGCGCCATTGGGAGGCCTATTATATACAAGGCAATCTTGACTTGTTCGACCCATACTCCCACCAAAACATCGTGGTTCTGTACTCGGTCATCTGCACCGACACGAAGATCCCATGTATAGAGCCAGGATTGCTGGCTATCAACTTCTACGATGAACAACATGTTGATACTGGCATGGATGCTGATTGCACACTTGGCCAGTATATCGAGGATGTGGCATACAGCAAGAACGACATTTGCAACTCCAACGGCTGTGAAAAGAAACTAGTTGATCATCATAGAACCTACGTTCACGATGAATATCGTATCACTGTTTTTGTGGAACACGTTCCAAATCCTTCTTCTCGGCGCCCAGAGCTTGGTAACGGCATTACAATGTGGACATATTGTAAGCTCTGTAAGAAAGACTCTGAAGAAACAGTCATGTCAGATGCAACATTTAAATACTCGTTCGGGAAATATCTGGAGCTTCTGTACTGGGGCCGCGGGTTAAAGCTTAAAAGCATCGAAGACTGTCCTCACGACCAACACCGCGACCATGTTCGCTACTTTAGTCTCCGGGATTCTCGGGTGCGAATTCATTGGGACCCCATCGATCTCCTTGAGATAGTTGTTCCGCGAGCAAGGATAACTTGGAAAGTTGCAAATGACTTGAAGCTGAAGAATGAGATTTATAACAAAATGGAAGAACGATGGAGCAAGTTCATGTCTTCAGTTCGAGCTAGACTGAAGAGCATTCGCACCGAAAGCCTTTTGCCGGAAAAAGCAGAATCGTGCAAGGCTGAGGTGGAAAGACTCATGAAGAAAACCCAAGAGGAACAGCCTGCCATAATCCGACAGATGCAACGTACGTACGTCGAATCTAAGTACTACGAAGTTGTTCCTTTCAACAAAATTATTCGCGAGATGCTAGAGAAAGCTGGAGAATGGGATCAAGCGTTTTCCAAGTTTGAAGCTGATTTCCTTGGCGACAAGGATATGCGCCAGATTACGATGATGCAACTGAAGAAAATCTTCACTGACAATGAATCTAAAGAATCTCTTGCCTCGAACGATGGAACTGGTTCGGTCGGAGACGTTGACGACCGGCCATCTCAAACATCCACTGAGGCCGCGGAAAAGAGTACACAGCCAACCGAGTACACCGATACTACAATGGAAACTAGTGTCGCGTCATCCAAAGCACTGGATGCAAAACATGAATCTGAAGACGAAAAGGTTTATATTCCCGCTGAAGGAGCTATTGAACGAGTAGAAGGACTAGATCTAGCTGCATCTCCTGAAGCAATCGCTACACCTGCTCCAAGTTCTCAAAGCCCAGCTTCTACTGAGATAGCTTCCCGAATTCCTATTGCACAGACACCGGTGACTTCACGGCCCCCAGCTACGCCCACAGGTGCTGGGCGACATCCAACAGACAGCGCCATTTCTAGTCAGTCGCTATCGGAGAGAATTGATCAGATGCGACGCGAACAAGCTATGCAAGGGGGTGAGGGCAACATGGTTGCATCAAAGGCTGTACCAGAACGGGGATCTAGCCGCAAGTCTGGCCCCAACAGCTCACCACCTATAGTCCGTACAACATCTCACCCTGTTCGAACACTGCCGAGACCGCAACCTGCTGCCGCCAAAGCCAATGGGCCAAAGGACAGCAAGTCTAGCACGACGGCTGATTCAGCCACGGAAACACCACCAGAAGGATCTATCAAGGTGGACAAAAAACTTTCAGATCGCCTGGGATTGACTGCCCTGAAGAATCGCAGTAAAACTGCAACATCTGGCATTCCACGCCTCTCCCACAAGAAGAAGGAGTCCAAAGTTTCAACACTGGCTAGACACTTTGAACAGCTAAGCCGAGAGTTTGAAAAGGAACGCATCCGTGATCGCAAAGAAAGAGCCGCGAGTCTTCGACAACCCCGTGCCAGACTCCCGAGAACGTCGACAAAGGCAATCGTACAGGTTTATGGTGATGTTTCTGAAGCATTTGAGGAGCCACTCTCGACGAATGAGCAGATACCGAGTCGGGATGGTGACCAGAATCAGACCAGTGTCCTAGTAAAACCAGAGGCTAGTGTCCCAAAGTCGGAGCCTGCAGGCGAACTGCCCACACAGGTAGAGCCAAACACCACCAAAGTCGATGACCAAACAGGCAAGTCGGAAACCGATCATGCGCCGGACGGAGAAACAAGCCAGGCGACTTCGGATGACGAGGCCATGACCAGTGACATTGATTCCTCTATCGCTGATGAATTTCTCCCTGATCTTCAAGAGTTGGCAGAGGCTCTTGAGCCTAGTACTGACATCCCCGATGAACTTCCCAAGCACCAGAAAACGAGCCTTATGAGGTATTTGGCGAATTTTTGGGCCGAGACATCGGCTAGTGGATGGCCGCCCCTGGAGTACCCGATCAACTCAACTGACCATATTTTTGTGGATTCTGACATTATTGTACGGGAGGACGAGCCAAGTTCTGTCATTGCTCTTGCATTGAACAGTGATGACTATCAAGCCAAACTTGCAGGAATCATGCGCGATAACCAAGACGTCACCGAGCTCGAAGTCGACGGAATCAGCGATGGAGAGCCAAAATCTTCACCCATATCTGAAATAGGTGACGGGATTATGTATGAAGCGGACTTGGAGAAGAGTTTGCATCGAGTGACTGGCACTCATCTCAAGTATCAGTTTAAAGAAGGCGCCGCAATTATGACGTGTAAAATCTTTTATGCGGAACAATTTGACGCTCTGAGGCGAAAATGTGGTGTGGCCGAGAGAATTATTGAGTCTCTCTCGCGTTGCCTTAAATGGGACTCAAGAGGTGGCAAGACTAAGTCCGTGTTTTTGAAGACTCTGGACGATAGACTTGTCTTGAAGGTAAGACGGATTTGGAAATAAATTGTGATCTGTCCTAACGCGTCAATAGAGCCTGTCCCCAATCGAAACGTCCGCGTTCTTGCGTTTTGCTCCTAGTTATTTTAACATTATGGCAGAGGCTCTGTTTCACGAGCTTCCATCTGTAATTGCCAAGATGCTCGGGTTCTTCCAAGTTATCATCAAGAACCCAACGACAGGGACCGATGTTAAGCTTGATCTCTTGATAACAGAAAATCTGTTTTATGATCGGTCACCCACGCGAATTTTCGATCTGAAAGGATCCATGCGGAATCGCAAGATTCAATCAACTGGCGAGCAGAACGAAGTGCTTCTGGATGAAAATATGGTGGAATACATTTACGAATCGCCATTATTTGCGCGAGAACATTCCAAGAAAGTACTTAGAGCATCAGTTTGGAATGACACGCTGTTTTTGGCTAGGCAAAACGTCATGGACTATTCCTTAATGATTGCGGTTGACGAGGAGAGGAAAGAGTTGGTCGTAGGCATTATCGATTGCATCAGGACATATACCTGGGACAAGAAGCTAGAAAGTTGGATCAAGGACCGTGGGTTTGCAGGTGGCGGCCGAAACAGGCCAACCGTTACCAGTCCTAAGGAGTACAAGTCCCGATTTCGAGAGGCTATGGCTAGGTAAGTGGCTCAGAGTACCCCTTGGCAGGTTTTCGTCACTCATACCTCTATTGCAGATATATCCTCCAGGCGCCCAACTGCTGGCACTTGTTCAACAACCCACAGTTATCAACAAACTATGCGCAGGCGAGATTTGAAGAACCCGAAGCAGGGGCGAATTAACGAAGTGACAACAAGTTGACATGATTTGACAAAGTCTTTGGAGTTAATGGATAGGGAACATCACAAGCATCATGCATATGAACATGCGTTTTTCTTTGGGGTTTGTTCAGCGGGTGCTGTTTACTAGATTACCACACGCATGAGATATGCACGCGGTGCCATGTCAAGTTATTGACTATAGCTATCACGAAATAAAGCGTTGTACTTTTCCAATGCTCGTTTCTATTGCTGTAAAAAAAAGTCGTGGATGTGCACTAAGCTATTTTTGCACCTCGCAAACTATATATATGTGCTTCGAATGGCAGGGATTATGTAGGTGCCAGATACTCTGTAGTTTAACACAGAAGCCTGTTCGAAGCTAATGTGGGCTCTGCCACTTAAGGTGTGGGCCTGAACGCTGGTTGGACAGATCAACAACCGCTCATCAATTCATCTCATTTCGAGCACGAACTACCGACATCGCATCTGCCTTTGCTTATTCTCCCCTCCACCACTCATGCCGCCATGTCCATTGACCTGAACTGGGAAACACTAACCAGTGGCCCAGATGGCGACGCCCTCGCCGAACGCATCAGGTCCTTCATCCACGACAAGTTCCAAACAGTCCCACTCCCTCGGTTTATTAGGTCTGTCACCGTCCATGGATTCGACTTTGGCACCATACCACCGGAGCTGGAACTAAAGGACATTACGGACCCGCTTCCTGACTTCTACGAGCAAGAGCTAGGAGAGGACGAAAGTGATGATGATTTTGGAAGCGACGAGGAGGCAGCGGCGCATCTTGCTGCCGAGCGGGCCAGGCATGCTCTCGCCGGGAACAGGAAGCGCCCCAGCGGCATCAGGACCGCGTTGAGGAGCGACTTTGCGGGACACGATTTGGGAAGTCCGTTTCTGGGAACGTCTACCCCGGGTATATTAGGCGGTCCGGGTCTGAACTACCTCCAAGGCCATCTGGGCACGGGCACGCATACACCCCTGGCAGCCGTCGCAGGCGCCCACCTCGGAAACTCATGGATGGCCCCCGGCGCCCTCGACTCCTCCGACTTCGCCCACGCTGCAAGCCATCACAGAAACCCCTCGCAGAGCAGCATATCCGTTGACAACTTCTCCGTCAACCTGGAAGGCACATCGCCGCCGCTACGCGAGAAGTCCAGCGTTTCAACGCTCGCCCCCACTGCAGTGAGCATGTCTCGGCCTCCCACCCGAGACACACATCTCGTTGATTCTGCTGTTGACGAAGGCGATGATGGACGGCACGCGGCACTAGACGCGAGTGCTGTTGATGACGGTTTGGCGGCGCATAGGAGAGAGCCGAGGGTGGAGGATGTTCAGGCTGTGTTTCGGATATGCTACGCAGGGGATATTCGACTGAATCTCACGGCAGAGATATTACTGGATTATCCTATGCCGAGCTTTGTTGGCATCCCGCTGAAGCTGAACATTACGGGGCTGTCATTTGATGGGGTGGGTGTGTCGGCAAAGATTAGGAAGCGCGTGCATTTTTGCTTCTTGAGTCCCGAGGATGCCCTGGCCGCTGTTGGGTCGGTGGACGGGGGCGAGGGTGGTGAAAGCAGTAGAGGGGAGCAAGGCGCGAGGAAGAACACCAGGTTCGGGGGCTTGCTGCAGGAGATCAAAGTTGAGAGTGAGATTGGTGAGAGAGAAGGCGGGAAACAGAGCCTCAAGAACGTCGGCAAGGTGGAGAGATTTGTGTTGGAGCAGGTGAGGCGCATATTTGAGGAAGAGTTTGTATATCCTAGTTTCTGGACGTTCTTAGTATAAGCACCATGGGTTGAAGCCAGGCGTTACGGTGGTTCAGTACGTCATGTGAATACATGCAATGAATCTAAAATATGGAACATGTCCCAGCATCCGATATTTGCATGTCATCAACGTTGCGCCTTAGGGCTTCATGTCAGTGTTCTTCTGAATCCCTGATATGCCTGCTGAATGTCCAATTCCAGCTCCCTGGCTTGCTGCTCGCTCAACTCATCCGAGGCCTTCATCTGATTAAGCGTAATTAACCACTGCACAATTTTGCCTCTATTGTCAAAGTCCTGGTCTGTGACGCGGTTTACAGACTGAATCACATCGGATAATAGGGGATGTAGCTGGTCTTTAGACAGCATGCCCAGCTTGACAGCGTCGAGAAACGTGATGAATTCTTGAGTGGCTTCGAGGATGAGTACACCGCTGGTATTGTTGGCAGCTGAGGAGGCTTGCTGGCTGGGGGCAGAGGACGATGCCGTTACGGTGGTCGAAGGCATGCCTACACGGAGACGTTCGGTGGCACGAGGTGCCTGGAGCTGAGGATCGTCAGTATTGAATAATATGACACCATTTCTCGAAATGTGGTGAAGCCTACATCCCACTTGGCTTTGAATTCTTCTAGGCCCTGGAACTCGGCGGCGATGGTCTCGTCTGCCAAAAGCGCCTTGTACTGGCGCAACGATCGCTCGCAAATCTCGGTGTATTCTGCTTCGGGAATCGCATCCTTCAGAAAAGCCTTTTCGAGCTCGTCAAGCGTCACGATGATGCTGAACAGCTCCGCGAGGGAGTCTTGGAGATCACGCTCAGCTCGAGAGCCTGTCAGCTTGACTTCCTGGGTGGGGTGTTAGGTCAACAGTCGGACGGCCAGACGTTCTAGAGCTGAGATACCTCATCTAGGTTAATTGTGGCTGAGAAGCTGCTATTAGGAACATAGCTATGCGGCGTCGGCGCATAGCCTTGTCGAGGAATCATGGTGGCGGGTTAAGGTGGCACATTGAGCTCACCTTGACGACGCGCAACGGGTTCGAGAAGTCCGCGGCCAAGTTGTCGGCGCTTGGTGAGGGATGACGATGGCCGGCAGATTGTTGGCAGAATGGGTCCCACCGCCTGCTCCTGGCGGCGGGGCTGGTACTATCGATAAGCCAAATCCCGAAAATTTTTGGGAGGTGTTGGCATTGACCAGACGGGTTGGCCTCAAAAAACCCGGCTCATTCATCACTCCATTAACGTACACCTGCGGGCCAATTTATCACCACTCGTCGTGGTGAGATACTGCCAACCATGGGTCCCGTAAAAAAGAACCTCAAGGCGACCAAGAAATTCGAAAAGAACCACCTTAAGGGCGTTTTGGACAAGAGAAAGGCTGTTGCCAAGATCAAGCAACGACAGCAGGTCAAAGATAAAAAACAAACCCGACGAGCAAAGGACGCCGAGTTTTTCAAAGGCACTGACGATGGATCCACTCCGGACAAGAGGTCGAATGGCGGCAAGGGAAAGCAGAGCGGCGAGATGAGCGTCGACGACTTTTTCCAGGGCGGATTCGACGAGATTATTGACAGCAAGGAGAACAAAGCTGGCAAACTTGGCAAGCGCAAGAGAAGCGAGCCCAAGGATGACGAAGAAATGAGCGATGGAAGCGGCTCCGGTGTAGATATCAGTGGACCGCCAGCGGCTAGTGAAAGCGAGGACGGCAGCGAGGATGACGAAGATGGCGGTATGAGCAAAGAGACCATGGATAAGCTAGCCGAGAAGGATCCTGAGTTTTACAAATTCTTGAAAGATAACGATCCGGAAGCATTGGATTTTGACGACGACGCGGACTTAGCAGAGGTTGATGAACTCAGCGCCGGCGAGGATGAACACGAGGACGAGCAACCCAAGAAGAAGCAAAAGAAGGCCAAGGCCGCTGCAGAACAGGACCGAAAAGACGAAGAGCCTTCCCAGAGCAATGAGCTGACTAAATCCACTGTTGCTAGCTGGCGAAAAGCCATGGAGGAAAAGAACTCACTGAGAGCAGCTAGACAAGTGGTCCTTGCATTCCGATGCGCCGCTCACTTGAATGAAGACGAGAATGATGAGGGCGAAACGCAGCAGCGATGGGTGATCAACAGCCCCGAAGTCTACAATGACATTTTGGTCCTGGCATTGAAACAGATTCCTGTGGTCATGAACCACCACCTGCCCATCAAGGAGTCTGCCTCTGGGAGAGCATACGCGCAGATCGAGACCAAGAAGTTCAAAACATTGTCAATTCTGCTCAAGTCCTACACCTCTTCCATCATGTACCTCCTCGGTACACTGTCCGATGACAAGACTCTCAAGCTGACCCTCTCATCCTTGACACCCATTCTTCCGTACCTCCTCTCATTCAAAAAACTTGTCAAGGCCCTATCCAAAGCTGTTGTCAACTTCTGGGCCCAGCCGGCCAGTTCAGAAACCACCCGAATCACAGCTTTCCTGGTCCTCCGCAGGCTCGTCGTAATCGGTGACAAGGGCATTCGTGAAATGGTCCTCAAAGCAACATACCAGGGGCTTGTCCAAGGCAGCCGCGTCACCAATCACAACACCATCGAGGGCATCAATTTGATGAAGAACTCGGCCGCCGAGCTCTGGGGCATCGACCCAGCGGTTGGATACACCACGGCCTTCACATTCATCCGCCAACTCGCCATCCACCTCCGCAACAGCATCGTCAACAACAAGAATGACTCCTTCCGCATGGTGTACAACTGGCAGTTTACGCACTCGCTCGACTTCTGGTCTTGCGTCCTGGCCGAGCACTGCTCGCCGCTCAAGGAAGCCGAGGCCGGCAAGGAAAACCAGCTCAAGCTCCTCATCTACCCCCTCGTCCAGGTCACGCTCGGCGCCATGCGTCTCATCCCCACGGCCATCTACTTCCCGCTCCGCTTCCACCTTATTCGCTCGCTGCTGCGCACCTCCCGCGCAACAGGGACCTACATCCCGCTCGCCTCCCCGATCCTCGAGGTCCTCTCCTCGGCTGAGATGAAAAAGGCGCCCAAGGCAACCACCCTCAAAGCCTTCGACTTTGCCGTCGCCTACAAAGCACCCAAGTCGTATCTCCGCACCCGCATCTACCAAGACAACGTGGGCGAACAGATTGCTGAGCTGCTCAGCGAATTCTTCCTCCTGTGGTCCAAGTCCATTGCCTTCCCGGAACTAGCGCTCCCCGTCATTATCCAGCTGAAGCGGTGGCTGAAGCAGGCCCGCTCAAGGAACCAGGGCAATAAGAACGCAAAGCTTGTTTCCCAACTAGTCACTCTCGTACAGAAGCTGGAGGCGAATGCAAAGTTCATTGAGGAGCGCCGCGCCAAAGTAGACTTTGCGCCCAAGGACCGCGCGCAGGTGGATGCGTTTTTGAAGGATTTGGATGTGGCCAAGACGCCGCTGGGGGCATATGTCGTGAACCAGAGAAAGGCACGCGAGGAGAAGAACAGGATGTTGGAGGAGGCGAGGAAGGAGGAGGACAGAAAGAGGAGAGAGGACGAGAAAGGCGTCGTTGAGGATGAGAGCGACGATGAAATGGAGGTTGATGGTGAAGACGAGACCGACGAGGAAGACGACAATGACGCGGTTGAGCTGGAAGACGACGATGAAGACAGCGAGTAAAGAGCATCATGTAGTATACATTCTAGAACGGATACCTAATTTCCTTTGCTTCACGTTCCGTGACACACAATCATAAGCAAGGGCCATCATTGTTCGCATTCTTGACCTAACAAGCTAGGATACACACCGCATCTTCAAAACAAAACTCATTCTTGGCTTTTACCCAAAACTCCGTGGGGAAAACAAATATATATACCGATTGTCCAACGGGAATTGGAAAAGACTGGCGCCATGAAAATACACAATGCCAACGCCAATAACACTAATCCTTGATAACGGTCCGCAAATCCAACTCCATTTTCCCTGTGAGGTTCCATGAGTCCATTCTAGCAATGCTTTGCTCATAACAGTGCAGAGTTATCCTATGCCATTCCCTAAATCATGCATGTGTGCCGTCTGTTTTCAAGTAGTCTCTTGAATGCCTTCCCATGTCAACTGAGGCTGAGGCTGACCTCCATACCTTGTAATGCGCGTCGTAATATGTTGCTTTGAGCAGTCACATCCCGCGGCGGTGGCTGGACATTAATCTCCCTCATGGAAACGCTGAGTATCGCGTGTATTAACATGATGATAGAGAGATTATTGACTAAGTCTGAAAGGTTTCATTTAGTGCGATTCATTAATCCTTTAAGACACACCCTGACACGGAGTGAGATAGCCGCGTCTTGATTCGTAAAGTCCTCAGATTGCAAGTCACCCGTGATGTCAACGTCTTCGTTGGTAAGATCCAACTCAGTCGTCGAAGGTGCCCTGGCATGTCGCCGCTTGCTGCCCCGGTTCGCTGTATTACCACTGTTTTTGTTTCGGATGACCGACTTCTCTGGGATCGAGAATTCCACAACTTTAGATGATGCGCGGGGCCTACTTTTAGATCGCTGTCGGTTGCTGCTTGTACGTCGGGAAGTATCCCGCGTTTCTTGTTCATTGGTGTAGCCTTGAGTGATCACTTCAGGTAGCGTGGGCGCGTCCTTAGTCGCTGTGGGCTCTGCAGGATGAGACTCACTCGTCTTGACAGGCTGTCGGTTGTTGCTTGTACGCTGTGAAATGTCCCGCGTTTCTAGTTCACTGGTGTAGCCCTGAGTGGTCACTTCAGGCAGGGTGGGCATGTCCTTAGTCGCTGTGGGCTCTGAAGGATGAGACTCATTCGTCTTAACAGTAATATCAGGAAGAAAGTACGCTGATGTCATATTTTCCTCCGTTTCTTCATCCAAACGACCAGAAATCTCGTTCTTGTGTGATGGCCTGCAGTGGTCAAGCTGCTGTTTCAGGAAGTCAACCTCCTCCTTCATCTTGAGATTCTGTTCGTGAAGGTCATGAACACTACGCTCGAAGCCCGAATTCTCTCGTCGAAGAATCTTATTTTCGTTGAAATACTTTTCATTGTGTCGGACCAGACTGTCGTTGTCTCCCTGCAGAGCTGACTTTTCTTGTGTGATTGTCTCTACCGCCATACGGAGAGTGTCAATCTCTTCGCGAGCCACATCCAGCTCATGCTGGGCTGCATCGAGATTCTCGCGAAGGTCGTCATTTTCTTCCGCCAGTCTATGGTTGTTGGTGTGAAGAGACCGATTCTCAGCCAGTATAGAATCATTACGATTGCTCTTCTTGGCGCGAAGTGAATCGATTTCTTCTCGCAGACGCTTCTGCTCCTTTCGCAAATTTTCGTTATCGGTGCGGAGAGATGCATTGTCGAGCTCCATCGCATCGCGGTTATGCTTTAGTGATAAAAGATCTCGGCGAAGAGTGTCATTATCCCGTCGAATGTGATCCGACGTTTCCAGTTGTTCCCGCGAAGTGGAAAGCTCCCTTTCTCGAACGCTGAGCTTACGAGTAAGCTTGCTAATATCTTCACACGCGTCCTGCAGTCGGCTAATAGCCCTATCACGTTCATGAGCGACAGCATCATTTGCAATTTCATTCGTGCTGATTTTTCGTGTAGCACTATCCAAGCGGGCTTGCAAAGTCGCAACCTCTAACTCAAGTTCTATACAAGACCGTGTTAATACTTTTAAAATCTGAAAGCTTAAAGACCAATTGTTAATCTTACTCTTCTTTTGTGCCATAATCTTGTCGCTTTGGTCATAGCCGCTTCCGCTGAATCTGCCGTGCCTGAGCTGAGCTTCCAGTCTTTCAACCTGAAGCTGTAGGCCCTCTGCATATTCCTGAACCTTATCATGGGCGGCTTGCAAAGAAACAATCTCATCGCGGATCATATCCATAGAAACAAATATTTTCTCTTCATCTTTGGGGACTTCAATGCCATCGACTTGTGCATGGGCAGCGGCAGAAGGCCGTTCCTGTCGATCATGGACCTTGCCATGTTTCACGAAAATTGGGACTCCGTTTTTCATGGAGCCGCTAAACTTGAGGGTACCAGTCACGAAGTCTCCAAGGTGAGAGACATCTGGCATAAAGAATGAACGTACGTTAGACGCGTTATGGCTCGGGCTTGCGATGGAAGCTGGTGATGGTGGCACGGCGGTCAAGCTAGATTTGGCCGAGGACACGTTTGGGGAGTCCTGATCCGCATTTCTAGGGCTGAGAGAGGCTCGCTGGAGACGGTTAAAGGCATCTGTGATGGAGGAACGTCGCTGCTCATTTCCGACGGGCTCTGAAGGCGCTCGGGTGTGCGGCTTGGACAATGGGCTAGGGTTTTTCTGGGATTTCGTGGCGCCGTAATTGGAAACAGGTCTGGCGGGTGATTTGTCCAGGATGGAAGAGATGTCGGATTCGTTGTCGACGCGGGGCTGCATTTCGGCACGTGTCTTGGTCGTAGAAGGCCAGATGTCCTGAGTTGAGTCATCAACGGCGAACTTGACGTTGGAGACAGGCGGCTTGTTCTCCTTGGACTGTGGTTTCCAGGGTCGTACATCGTTGGCATCATCAAAGATAGGTGCCTTGTTCGTATCGGGCTTGGAAAAGTATTCTGGCCACTTGCGGTGGGCAGCCTCCCAATTGACGGGAAGTTTTCTCGGGGCGGTAACACGAGCAATGTCCTCGTTGAGTCGCCGCGTAGACTCGCCGTCCGGGTCGGAAAAGAGTGACGACATGGTTACAGTGCCATGAGAGCCCGTGGAAGACGGAGGAGAATTGAAGGGATTGGCGCGGTTGGCATTCATTTCTCTAAGAATGCGTGAGCGATACCGATGTATAGCGTCGGTCTCCATGGCTCCAGTACGCGTTGTACGCGATGCCAGAGCTTAGGAGTCGACGAGTGGTATTGAATAGATGCGAAGAGTGAATGGTGTTTGGGGTTTCCAAGTTGCAGGTCGTAAGGCAGCGCGTGTATGCGACAGGCGCGTATTCAATGGCGTGGGAGAAGGGCTTCGCAAAAGGCAGGAAGGGGCATGCGAGTTGCGGAAGCGCGTGCTGTTAACCTCCGATGCTGTTCATGAGGAGTGCGGATGTCAAGAGTAACTGAGAAACTCTGCAAGTTGGGCGAAGTGCAGAGGCGTTGTCATGGAGCGAGACACTCGAGGTACACCGAAGTTGGTGTGCAAAGTGAAGGATCCAAGGTCAATCGTGGGGGATCTTGTCGTCGCGCGCTCTGGTTGGTGGGCATCGGCCTGTTTTGGGAGAAAGTAAACAAACCAGCTCAGCCAGTGGCGTCGTGTATAGAAAACTCGCAAGTGGGGCGGGGATAAACGGACCAGTTGGCTGCATCTAGTGCCCAAGATAGGAAGGAAAGATGGAACTCTTTCAGCAGATTCAGCCATCAACTTGCCGTTGAACCTACTCCATGCCACTATTGAGATGGTCGTGTGAACCTCAAATGCTCATGTTCCCTTATTTCCAACTCGAGTTTTGCCATCGAGACTTCGGTGCCTCAGCTGGCCTTCGTCGGCATGACAAGCACGGTTGGTCATGTGTGAGCTAACCTGCACGAACCGACATAGTTGCACAGTCACAAGCTAGTAGTACTACTAATACGCGTATCGCCAAGGCCAATGCATGAGCCGCGTGACGGAATTGCTTATTTTCGGTTGTATTGTTTGCATCTCATTTCTTTTTCCCATTTCCACTCTACGTCCATCCGAAGGCTAGTACAGCATCCAGATGCGATGACAAGGGATGACACAAATTCCAAATCTGTTGAAACTCGGCTTCAAACAACGGTTTCGCAAGCCCTGCAGTACCATCGAGACGTAACCAAACACCAGTTAAACGTCCTCACATCCTCCAACATTCTGCTGTAACTAGCATATCCTTCAATTACTGTATAGTATTTGGCAAGTGAAGGTTCTATGGTCAGCTTCTACTGGTTGATGATACGCCCTGCTGGGACTCGATCCCCTCCATTCAAAGCCGACACGCGACCACACCCGCGTCAGTCAACTCCTGCTTACAGAGTACCAACTGACCGGCCGCATCACGACGACGCATGTCAAGTTGAGGGCTACTATTTATTCCTCTCATGACAGCGGCTCGGTATGCGGGACAAATTAAGAATTGCAACTCTCCCTTCAGGCTTAGCAAAAGCGCTGAATGTCTAATTTGCTGTGGGGACAAAATCGAGTTTCAAGGATCAATGTCTCAAGGCGATGCTTTGTCGTTACATGATTAGATGATCGTATTCGTCGGCACGCGGCGCGAGTGCGATCCTACCTCTCGCGGCATATCCTGTCAGCCCTTTATACCCCATGATACCCCTCTTACGATCCTTCGAGGCTATATAAAATAAGGTCTCTCCGGCGACTCGGTAGGAGAAGTCGCCGTGGTTGGTTTCTGTGCTTGCTCGTCTTCTGAGCCGTGGCCTACCTGCAAGAACATACCGGCCGGCCTTCGATTGTCGCTGCATTTGATCGCCTTGGTGCAAAATGACGCGGCTGCTATCCATTGCCAGTCTCGGTGTATTGGTCGCTTCGACGTTGACCACTGCAAACAGTCTTCCTAAGGGAGATGTCGATTACTGTTCAGTATATAACCGGGCACCAACCCCTGGTTGCCAGCCTGTTCCTGAGGGCTTTCTCAGATCTCGGGGTGATTCCCTTAGTACCCCAGAAACTGATCCAAGGGTCCTCGAGGACGCCTTCTCGGCGTTGTCAGTTTTACAAAATGTATACTTTGAACCTGTTAATGGCACTTGGCCAACATCGATTGACTGGACAGGAGCAGTTGTTGAAACTGTAATAGCTGGCATGCTGACAACTCTGACCCAGTCATTGGATTCGACTGAGAGGGGCCGCGACTGGAAGGAAAAGGAAAATCTTATTTCTTCCATCTTTGCTCAGGTCACGCACTCATTCTTTGGACAAAATGCCGTTGCAATACTGGACCAGGTGAGAGCGGACGTTTCACCATCCCATATCCAACCAAGCACTAATGCATCTTGACTCAGGCATATGATGATGTGCTATGGGTAGTCCTTGGCTGGCTTGAAGCAATCAAATTTGTTCGCCTCCATTCAAGCCTCCACTATCCTGGAACAGAACAAACGTGCTTGAATGTGCCTGGTAGACTCAGTGACGCGCTCGGCACCATTTCTTTCCACGGATATAACTGGTACTGCACATTTGCTGAGCGGGCTAGAGCGTTCTGGGATTTTGCTACAAGAGGATGGGATACAAGTCTCTGTCACGGGGGCATGGTCTGGAATCCCAGGCTGCTCCCCTACAAGAATGCTGTCACCAACGAACTGTGGATCTCGGCATCCATCTCCATGTATGAGTATTTCCCCAACGACGAATTCGATGATGCCTGGACAGCAAGTCAGGGCTTCCCGACCAACGACCCTCTGTATCTGGCGGCTGCCATTGTGGGCTACAAGTGGCTGAAGGATGTCAACATGACGAATAGTCAGGGTTTGTATGTCGACGGCTACCACGTGGATATGAGCAAGCCCAACAATGTGGAGTGTGACCAGCGAGATGAGATGGTGTACACCTACAACCAGGGCGTCATTCTGACGGGACAAAGAGGATTGTTCACCGTCACCGGTAGTCCATCTTATCTAGAGGATGGCCACACATTGATCCAAAATGTCATCCAAGCAACGGGCTGGGACCTTGGTGAGAACGCCGCCATAGATAATGTCAACGAGAGACCACGTGGGAAGTTGCCTCCCTGGCGAGGAATTGGTCGCGGCGGAATCCTAGAAGAGCAATGCGACGCAGATGGGACGTGTTCACAGGACAGCCAAACTTTCAAGGGCATCTTCTTTCACCACCTCACCGCATTCTGTGCCCCCATCTCACCAGTGGATATACCTGGAGACGCCAACGTCAACCAAACCGAGTTTAGTAAAGTGCAGTCTGCTCACGACAACGCCTGCCGCGGCTATTTACATTGGGTAAAGTACAACATGGATGCAGCTTTGGCAACTCGAGACAAGGCGGGTCGTTTTGGTATGTGGTGGGGAGCCGACATCTTTGACGCCTTCGATGCCTCCCGGCAAACCGATGGCATCGACCACACAACCCCCAACGCTACTGACTATCGGAATAAGGGAACTCCAATGGACGTCATCTGGGGTCTGAACATGACATGGCACCCTGGTTCGAAGACATCCACTGGCCTGTGCAAAAACCTTTTGCTAAGGCCTGATCCAAAGCTAAGGATTGGCGTTTCACCCGAGTTGAGTGTTGATTCGCAGATTGTTCTTGGCCGGCAAAACAGTCATGGAGATCCAAATGATCGCGGCCGAGGTAGAACAGTAGAAACGCAAGCGGGAGGGCTGGCTTTAATAAGAGCATATTGGGAGTTGTCTCAATCGTAGTTGGCTCTGTATTAGCAATATACTTAATTAGTATTGTCACAGAATAGGGTGGTTTGAATAACTTGGATGTTTTCCATAAGTTACTCCCCCACCAACCTCCCTTTCTACGTCGGACTTTTGCCACCTGAAGTGACTGAGGATTTGTATCAATCTTGACTCAATTTTGGGCTTGCAGTCATGAATCCTTCTAGAATGTGGCTCTCCATAGTGTGCGCGACTCATTCTTCAAACAATCCAGGCTGACGGCCATCTACTTCTCCGAGGTTCTGTGGGTACGGGGCAAAGCGAAAAGTGAGGCTAGAACAAGGTGCCTGGATATCATTCGCTGTTCTATAGCATATTCTTCGTTTTACTCAAGTCAACTTTCCACTTTGGGTCGTTTTCGGGACTGAAAAAGACGCGTGCGATATGACAAGCAGGTTTCATGTCGCCTGAACCCGAGCGGGTTGGGGACTCACGTGGCGTTTCAGCCTATTCCGAGACAGCCCTGCCGGAGAAGAGCGTACTAATGACGTCTTATCTAAGTATTAGCCATGCATTTTGATCGTATTGCCACGACTCGGCGTCGAAGTGCAAATGCAATATTATTCTCGGCATAGAGAGTATGGTAGGCGGTATCGCATGACTGGGCCGCGTTATGCGAGCGCCGGTGCTGTTTCAGCCTCTAGATCGGACTGAGCATGGCGGCGGAATGTAGTCAACAATTCGTACATAATATATCCAGGCCCTCAATGCTCGATTTGGGAATGAATAGCAAGACTCACGACGACCCAACCCCCCCTCTCTTCACCTCACTTACACGGAGAGCAAAGAAAAGGACACACGATGCCAGCAAACGGCTTCAACATGCGGCAGCACTGGATGCTTCCTATTGTCCTCGCTCCAAATGTCCTCTCCCAAGCACCTCCGGCAAAGTTAGCTGTCGCTGCTATCGAACACTTCGAATCTTTCCAGGCGGGGCCGTTCCAGCCGCTCATGCACATTGACCTCGGCGATTCGCGCCAAAATATTAAATGCATCTTCGACACGGGCTCCTCCGACATCATCGTGCCGAAGGCCGGCAGCGCCGTGTGCGAGCTCGCAAACCAGCAATGTCGAAAAGCCCCTGTCGTCATGGGGGACTTTGAGCCTGCCGAGAGCAAAGACGTTACGCAGGTGAATGGTTCGACCTTCAACGCTAGCTTCTCAGGGGGCGACGGTTTCGACGGCCCATATATCAAGACGACGATCAATGTTGGGGGCGCCAAGGTCGATGAGTCGCAGGTTGCGTTGGCGGTGAATGGAAGTCTTCCGGGCGATTTCCCGCAGTTTCCAATCTGTGGGGTCGGACCGGTGGAAGCGGAGCAGACGGACAAGAAGTATGTTAATCTGGTGGCTAAGATGAAGGAGAATGGGGTCATTGAGTCTAATGTTATGGGTGTTGTGTTGAACCGGAATCGTGAGTCTTGACACAATTTTTCCTCATTGCCCCTCTCCAACCACCCTTGGCGGAAAAGGTTGTGATGGAGCCCATGTATGAGCTTAGGCTGACTTGGAATAGCCTTCGAGAATGGCTCTGTTGTCTTTGGAGGTATTGACAAGAGCAAGTTCAAAGGAGAACTGCAGGAAGTTCCTATCGATCCGGTTGAAGGTGGAAAGATTGCTGATTTTGTGGTCAACATGACTTCTATTCGGCTACAGATGAACGATCGCCCACCTAAGCAGGGCCAGCAGGGCCAGCAGGGCAAGGGGGGCAAGAAAGGTAAACAAGGTCAGCAAGGCCAGCAAGTCCGCCGTTCTCATTACGGCCGGGCTCTTCCTCGGCCTTCAGATGGGAGCCATGGGCACCATGTATTAAGTAAGAGGGAAGGTAACAACGAGGACAATGGTGACAACGGAGGCAGAGGAGGCAAAGGAGACAGAGGAGATAGAGGAGGAAATGGAGGCAAAGGGGATAACCAACGGGATAAAGGTAATAGGAACAACGGAGACGGAGAAAATAACAAGAAAGGAAACGGCAAAAATAACCAAAACGGGGGAAACAACAAGAAGAACAACAAAAATGGCAACCAAAATAATGGCAACCAAAATAATGGCAACCAAAATAATGGCAACCAAAATAACGGCAACCAAAATAACGGCAACCAAAATAACGGCAACCAAAATAATGGCAACCAAAATAACGGCAACCAAAATAATGGCAACCAAAATAACGGCATCATAGACCTCGGCCTTAAGCCCTCCGAAACGTTTACCCTCATCGATACAGGCGGCGTCGGCCTCCAACTCCCGCGCGGCTCGGTCGAAGCTATGGCTAAGGCTCTCGGTACGAGGTTCAGAGACGGCGGGCTCGACTCTGTCGACTGCGCCGTGGTATCTGACAATAATAAGCTCCTGTTTGGATTCAATAACGACAAGACCGTCGTCAGCGTACCCCTAAGCCACACCAAACTCTCCAACTCCGTACTGAACGCAGAAGAACGAGCCTCTGGGAAGTGTTTCCTGGATATTAGCGCAGTAGCGCCAGGTAGTAACCTGAACAGCATGGGGTTTCCGTGGGGGTCGGCCGTGTATACTGTTTTTGATTTAGATAAGAACAGACTGCTGTTTGCGGAGGCGGTTGAGAATTCCACGCAACCAGATCTCCAGCCGTTTCCCTAAAAACCTGTGGCCTGGGGACATGCGCTGGGTGCAAAGTCCACGTCTCAGCAGGTCTGTGCCGGAAACAGGTTGTGGAAACAATAACAATGCGAGCTGGGATTGCCTTTTTGTATCTGGATACGCTATCTATATATCAGTCTCTAGGACAAAGATTTATTCTAATTCTTTCAAACCGCCGAGCAATCTGTGAGAGAAAAGTAGGCACCCAAGAGCTAGCTTCCACTCCAGAGTAATAGCGGTTCGGGCTTGACCGGACGTCCACAGCGAGGGAGGTTCAGAACTGAGGAACCGAAATGTATCAAATAGATATTGTGGAGCGTGACTTGTCATGGTGATTGTTGTGGCGGCCACTCTGCACCAGCAGCGACGTAGACTCCAAGGCTCCTTTCAGACTGGAGGGTAGTCTCGCTACATTTTTGCCTCGGCCTAGGGTATTACTTGAGATCCTGTTCGAAGCTTTGTTTGCAGCCGAAAACCTCGCTCAGCATTTCCTGTGAACCGATTTGCGTGTTTCGGATCTTCCCTCAAGGATGTGATACCGTGGACTCAAAATTCACTTGGCAGCAAGAGCTGAACTCGTCGGCCACCAAGCAGTACTTTTTGAGTTTGAGATTTTGATTCCATAGCCGAAGCTTTCTCGATGTTCCGTACGGAGAGTTAGCGTGGAGACAAACCTTCTGAAGGCATTCGTGACACTTTTGTCAGAGATGTTGTGTCGCACTAAGAATTGAGAAACAACATTTGAAGAGAGGGTTGCGAGCAGAAGCACGTGTGACTGGGCTGGGGAAACATTTAATCGACTGATGTCAGTCGGCCGAGCCCGCCGACTGCCGACGGCAGGGTGTCGAGGCGCTAGCCTATTTTTGGAGCTGCCACTCGCCTTAGACCAGACATTTAGAAGCGTTGCGGAAGACATGTTGAAGAATTACAAGATCTGTCATGTCGTGGCTGGGTTTGTCCATTCTGTATTCGGATTCAATGTCAGCGATATCCCGCCCAATCCGTCTATCAAGAGTCAAGACAACTGCAATAGCCCCACGACTATCAACAGCTATTTTGGTAGCCATTCCCATTCCTGATTTGCTCCCCAATGCACACAAATTACGTACAACGCACCTCGTACGTAGGTCTCGTGGTTGGCGGCACATGATGTGGAAAATGATTGTAAAGGTGCTGAGTTACTGTATGCAGTACTTCACTTCAGATACCTAGGGAATCAAAGGAACTCATTTTGAAAATAAAGATAATACACTAACTTCTTTTCTAAGCTGGGATAATTAATCTTTCCGATTTCATCAAATGAGGCAAGTCATCTTCGGGCCACCTGGAGTACCTAGGTACATCTGCGCGGTGAGATAAGAGCACGGTCATCCCCCGCTCTTATCGGCACTGGCCTGAACGCCCACTAATACTCCGTAGTCAATACCAGATTGACTTGACCAGACTCCGAACCGCTGCCTGTACGTGTGGTGTGGCAGTTGAGCGCTGGTCTGGTTTGGCACTTGGCCAGGCACTGGGACCCCGCCCATTGTTTGTGCTGACCAGTGCAGAGGCCAGGATAGGACACATGCATCCCCCCCCCCCCCCGAAAAAAAAGCTGGTGTGCAGAATCTTGGGTCCGATATTTCGGCGAATTTGACTGATTGCTGCGGTTTTCGGTCACTATTTTAGCATTTGACGCCACAACCTCTAGACTTTTCGTCTTTCCAACTTCACACAACCATCTCCATATTCACATGAAGTTCGAGATGCCTTCTCTCCTTGGGCATGCCGAGCCAAACGGCGTTTTTCAAGAGACCAATGGCCATCGCAGGCCCGAAACGCCCGCTGGCCGCATGGCCTTGACCGACTACAGCATCAACCCCTCGCCGTCATCGGAGGAGAAAAGAGCCAAGTTGCGACAAGCTGTTCCCGACGACCTGTTGCTTCCCAACGGCTATCCCGATGTGCGTTTCCATGAAACAGAAACACCATATTGCTACTGAATACGCATCTGGATTTCATACTAACCAAGCTGCCGACGCCAACAGTACCTTCGCATGATTGCATGCGCTACCTCCAGAGTCTACGAAGCTTGCAAAGTAACACCACTTAGCCCGGCAGTTAACCTCAGCAACCGGCTCGAATGCAATGTTCTCCTTAAGCGAGAGGATACACAGCCCGTGTTTAGCTTCAAGCTGCGCGGCGCGTACAACAAGATGGCGCATTTGGACCCTGCGCTGAGCTGGAAGGGTGTTGTGTGCTGTTCCGCCGGTAACCACGCTCAAGGCGTTGCCTATTCGGCGAGAAAGCTTAAAATCCCTGCTACCATTATCATGCCCGAAGGGACACCCAGCATTAAACACATGAATGTGGCGAGATTGGGCGGCCATGTGGTGCTGCACGGCGCTGACTTTGATGCTGCCAAGGAGGAGTGCGCCCGACGGGAAAAACAAGACGGGCTTATCAACATCCCCCCCTTTGACGACCCTTACGTCATTGCTGGCCAGGGAACTATTGGAAACGAGCTGTTTGGACAAGTAAACATGTCCAAGGTTGAGGCCATCTTTTGCTGCGCCGGCGGCGGCGGTCTCATTGCCGGCATTGGCTTCTACGTGAAGCGCATGGCGCCCCACGTTAAAATCATTGCTGTCGAGGCATATGATGCAAATGCCTTGGCCCAATCATTGAGAAAAGGCGAGAGAGTTGTGCTCAACGAGGTTGGATTGTTTGCTGATGGCGCCGCTGTCAAGACGCTCGGCGAGGAGACATTTCGTATCTGTCAGGATGTCGTCGACGAAGTCGTCGAGGTGACGACGGATGAGATTTGTGCTGCCATCAAAGACATGTATGATGATACGCGATCCGGCCTGGAACCTGCGGGGGCACTGTCTATTGCCGGCCTGAAGAAGTACGTCTCCCAGCACCCCTCGCAAGACCCGAACCGCACCCTCGTGGCCGTGACGTCTGGGGCGAACATGAACTTTGACCGTCTTCGATTTGTTGCCGAGCGTGCTGCTGTCGGTGAAGGCAAGGAAGTTCTGTTGGCCATCACCATTCCAGAGAGACCGGGGGCGTTTGCCAAACTCGTCGATACCATCATGCCTTATGCCGTCACCGAATTCAACTATCGATTCGCCGACCAGAACGTTGCCAATGTCATGATTGGCTTGTCCTTGACGGCACCACCGGCAAAGAGAAACGAGGAACTCTCCATGCTTATCGAACGCATCCGAGCCGAAGATATGGTGGTGACGGACCTCTCTGGTGACGAACTGGCCAAAAGCCATCTCAGGTACCTCGTAGGCGGTCGTTCTGGCGTCGCCAACGAGCGGCTGTACATGTTCAGCTTTCCTGAGCGACCTGGAGCATTGGAGCGGTTCCTCAAAGCCCTTCGGCCTAGATTTACCATTAGCCTTTTCCACTATCGAAACTATGGTGGTGACATTGCCAAGGTGCTGGCGGGTATCTCATGTCCCGAAGAAGACAGCGGTGAACTGGCGCAGTTCCTCAAAGATGTCGACTATCCGTTTGAGGAGTGCACGAACTCCGAGGTATTCAAGACGTTCCTGAGATCATGAGAATAATTTTTTTTGTACAGAATTCAAGAAAGACTAGGGTACTTTATGAGGCATTGGCATTTTAGACACGGCGTTTCGGAAATATAGACTGGCCAAATATTGTTGTCTGTTCCCATCAAGCATAAAGTGGCTTAGACCAATTTTCTGTATAACCTTGTGTTGTTGGTGGTCACACCCCAACTAATTGTGCATGGTATCCATCCTTGTGTCATGGAGAAGGCTGGATGCTTGTTGCATACCTACCTAGGTAGGTAGGTGATGGCTTTTCTAGACTCTGAAATGCCATCTCCCGCGAGAGAGACGCTAGATTTGCACCGAAACAGGAAACAGAGCCCACCATTATCAATGCCGCTCGAAAGCGTCGTCGTCTGCACTAAGTGAACGCAGTTTTACGCCCTCGGCACTGCCGCCTGTGGGCTCCCATGCATGACCTGGGGAAAGAAACAAGGCGTGTTCCTAAATTGGGGCATCGCCATCCGTGCATAATGCATAATATGAGGCTGTTGCCCCCGAACCTCGGCAGTGAATGATACACATACATACCTGGGTACTTGATACCTACCAGACATATAAGTACGGAAGCACATCATACACTCAAACGGACGAAACGATGCGTGGCAAGCCACAGGTCTCCACGGCCGAGGCTGCAGGGCCCCAAGTTTTGGCCTATGCAAGATACATACATACATGAGTATGTATATAGTGTTTCCATATTTGGACACGTCCTATCAGGCACATGTCATGTTGTACACTGTCGTCGCCTCTCGCAAAAAACAGAGGGCATTTGTTTGTCGAGCCCTTCTGGAGAATAGGCCCAGTGATACAGCGTGTGTTCGCCATTCAGTTGCACAATTCTGAATCGAGCTTGACACCCTCTTGGCTTCATGAGTCGCACACCAAGGCCTTGCCCACTGCGCTGCACTCGGTATAAAATTATCGGACCCGCCACTGCATGCCGACACTCATCACTAGACCAGGCTAGGTGTCAGGGCATTAAACGTAGACTAGTCCATGGTGGAGCTCTTTGGGGGGTAAAGGGGATGGCAATTTTCCTTTTATAGGGCGTCAAGAGGAAAGTAAAGGGGTTGATGAAACGGGTTGTCGCATGATGCTGACATGAGACGAAGAACGCGTGCCAAGAGGGTGATGTGGGAGCGACCGTTGTTTTCTTGGTGGTCAGCCTGACTGTGCAGATGACGGAGTACTATTAATATAAATGTATTAAGAACCGGACACGTCAAGTGTCCTCTGTGCCAAATAAGCATTTTATGCAGGTTGATAACTCGTACTCCGTACTCCGTACCGCGGGGTCGGAAATAGGCCACACGCAGCAAGATTAAATCAAGAAAGGGGTTTCAGTTGGTTTTGTACCTGAAAAATTCCCACTGGGTGGAGGCCAGAAGCCGTTTCCAGTTGATGGGGCCCGCTTAATCGGCATGGGTTGGCTGGCTGCTCCATGTCAAGCCGTCGTGGAATCGTTGGCGGCGGTGCCCTATGTCTGGTCCGGACACCTGAGCGCCAGCGTAGCTTCCACAGACCTTCTACCGAGCTTCGGTCAAGGAACCCCCTGCCCGCCAGTGTTTGGGGGGGCGGCAGCTTGTTTTTTTCCTGTGTGGTGCCGTCGGTGCGAATGCAACACTGGCCTGGTTGTAATCAGCATCTAGGCTTTTTAGGACGAAACGCTGACTGGCGGGTGGAGGCTGAGGGAGCTGCTGTCTGGTGTACCAGACTCCATACTAAGTACCCTAGTACCTGCGTCTAGGTACTGAAGTAGGTCCACGTGATTGCGTGTGCACTTTATGTATGTATGTATGTACAACAGTCTCCGCTGAGCCATTATGTGAACCCCGAACCATGTTCCATGTCAAGGCAGAACGTTGACAACGGATCGTGAAAGCTGTTCCCCGTCGCAGTGCAGGCTCCGGGTCGACCACTCCTCCGAGTCTGGTCTGGTGCTCCAGAAGAATCCACCAGGCCAATTCGTTAGTCCCCAGCGGCCTGCAACCCTGCATGTGCTCAAGTGCTGCTTGATCCAACATTGAAGACCCACCCATTGCCGGGAGCGGTTGCGGTTGCCGGGGTTAGAGCTCCGTGCCAGAAGGCGGACCGTGCACGCAACAATCCAGAGGTCACCTTTCGGTGCGGGCCAACGGCCACCATTTTTTGAATCCAGCAAACCCGGCTCGCAGATCCCAGAAAATCACGAACATGACGGTTGGTACCACGGTGAACACATGGCCATCGAGATTATCGCGGCATGGCGTCAAGCATCGAGATTCAGACCCGTCAAGGAAGCTATGATCGTCTTATGACATGCGAACCCTCCGCCCGCATTTGTCGCCCTTCTCTGCAGCTATTGCCATGGAAGCTGGGCTTTTGTCTGGTGCTTGCATCATGTATCGGCGCTGCTGTATCTGCCGAGCTGTGACGGTGCTTCAGTCGATGGCACTTGTGCGTGTGTGCTGATTCGCAGCACTGCTATGGTATTCAGAGACAGCAGCTTAGCCACCTAGGTATTGTTGTCACTTCAAACTGCTCACCTGGCTGCACTCGGTTATTGTTGTACCAGACAAGATATGTAGGATTGTGCCAAAGCTTGAGCTTTGGCGTTTGTCCATGTGGTCCACCTCCCCTCCCCCACACGCTTGGAGCACTGGTTGCCTCGCTTGTGCGCCAGTTCTATTTTGTTTTTTTTTTCCGCCAGCAAATGTACTCCGTACAAGGCAGACGAATTTATCCCGATCAGTCACGCTGCCAGCTTCACTTATAGGAAGCCTTCTGTTTCGGAGCCGGTGTCGCCGGTTGGTTCATGCTTGTTTGTCTGGAAACATTTAAACTTGATGGTAAATCCGGCCGGTCCTTTCAAAGTGTGGTGAAGCAGTCTGATGGCCGTTACCACCAGTGAGTACCTCAAGTTCCTAGGTACCTGGGTAGTTGGTATTCGCCGTCGGGTATTACAATATTGTCTGACCCCACGTCAAGATACATACCTACCTAAGTACGGAGTAGTAGGTACATATAGGTAGATTCGCACCCTGACTGACCTGCCCTTTCCACGCCGTGTCTCTTCCGCTTGTTCCAAATTGGCTCTCACTCGGCGCAAGAGCTACACGGCGCCGAGTCCAAAACTGGCACCCCGACAATTAATGGACGCAAGCTGCTGCACATCAACCACTGTACGTACGTGCCTTTGCAGCTCGGCAACCATGACCTACTTAGGTTGCTTGGCTGCTTCGTACATGGTACCTGTTGCGTGTACAGCACTTCTAGCTTGCGCCTGCCCTGCACCTTCCCTGCTAAAAGAGCCGCTAGTACCCTGGCAGGTACGACCCTGGACCCTCACCTCACCCCTCCCACATCCGCCGTTGAACTTCGCGCCTTCCTCGCCTCTTCGTCCACTTCAGTTCTGGCCTGCTCAGTTCTCTAGCTGCTTTGATCTACACGACACACTCTTCGCCCCAACACAATCTGTATTATTCCTGCCTTTCCTTCCTACAGATTGGCGCTCGGGGGTATTCTGTCTGTATCCTATTTCCCTGCCGTCTCTTGTTCCTCTGTCTTGTATTTCTTCACGCCTGGCCGCTGCATTTGTTTCTTTTTCTTATCCCGCATCTGGCCACTGTCGTCATCGGGGCCAAAATCCGTCAGCCGCTACTCCGTACAGCTCTGTCTCAACGTCGACACACGCGCTTGTTTCCATCTGCCCACGACACCCCCGCAAACTCGAATCGTATCTATTTCACGCATGTCCGCATCGGCCTCGCTGACGGCGCCATCAAGCAAGACAAGTTGCGTGGGCTTTAAGCTCGAAAGCTTGCTACGACAGAAGCTTTGATACTTGTCCTGCAGCACAACGCCGTTCCATCCATATAGGTGTTTGGTGCTCCTCCCACATTTCTTGCTGTTGGACTTCAGTTCTCCCCAAGGCATTCGAGGTATTGAGTCCACCCGAAGTTCGGCTTTTGTCCCGTCCACTTTTTGAATGGTCGCCTATTGTATTTGTCACCTCTGGGAACAATTGGCAGCCTTGGACTGGACTTGATCGCGACCGCCGCGGCCGTGCGCCAGAATCACGGTCCGCAACGGAAGCTAGTCGGGGCATGCTGGATCTCTGCTACGAAATCATTGCGTTTACTGCCGACACTATCACGGATCTCGAGAGCATCAACTACAATTGCTGAAACGCCGCCATTGGGCACCTGTTGGCCACCTTGGTCGCACCGGCCGGACCGTGCAGGACAGTCTTGCTTCCGGCCACAGAGCCTGGCCATAGCGGCTGCCCTTGCAAGCCAAGGGTGGCATTTCCTCGTCCCCCCCAATTCAATAAAATACACGGCGAACCATCATTGTACTCATCATGCGACGAGGTCGCTCGCCGAGTTCGGGGTCACCTTATCGGGCGCTAGCCCATCACCAACAGGCCAATTCGCCTTCGACATCCACCAACCCAAGCTCTGTAATCCGATCTTTCGATGTCGACAGTAACCCGGCTCGCCCGGTGCGGCCTTCGCCTTTGACGGCCTCCACCATACGCGATATGCCCTTGGACCTTGTTGAACGAATACGTTCGTTTCCCTTGTTCGTTTCTGCGCCTGGGGAGTTCCTTGTTGCTATTGGTAATCACCTCAAACCTCAGATTAATGGGCCCAACGACCATATAATTACAGAAGGTGATGACGCAAAGGCCATGTACTGGTTGGTGCGCGGCGTGGTAGCTGTCACGTCCCGTGATGGAGAGGCTGTCTATGCTGAACTGAAGCCTGGCGCCTTCTTCGGTGAGATCGGCGTTCTCATGGACATGCCACGCACCGCAACCATCGTGGCACGCACAAAATGTCTCTTGCTCGTCTTGAAGAAGGAAGACCTGCAACTCATCATGCCTAAGTTTCCAGATATGGAGAAGGCGATTCGAGAAGAGGGCCAGGAGCGGCTCAACTTACTGAAGAAACAGCGACAGGAGCGCGGAGCCAGCCTGAAGACGCCCAAGGCCGACTTTGCTCCGCGTACGACTGTCCCTGGTGAAGTTTCAACTGGTGAGAGTGGGGCCATCAAAGACGGTACAGTGATCAACTCCAAGAAGCGCAAGTCACCGAGCCCTGGCATCATCGAGGATCCTGCAGCTGGCAGCGCGATTGCCAGTGGCTATGTGAATATTCGAAAGACTCTGAAGGAGTTGCCTCTCTTTTCTACGTTACCACCCGATATCCTTCACTTCCTGGGTCTCAGTGTACAACCGAAGACGTACCATCCGTTTACCGACATAATCTGCGAAGGCACCCCCGGCAATGAAATCTACTTCATAGTGCAGGGAGAGGCCGAAGTATTCCACGAGCAACGAAAAGAACAGGATGCCTCCGAAGAGGCCACGATATCAATACAGCACAGGCCACGATTGAAAGCTGGGCAGTACTTTGGGGAAGTAGCAAGCCTAGGGCTGTCTCCTGGGCGGACGGCAACTGTACGGTCTATTACAACGGTGGAATGCCTCATGGTCCCCGGTGAGGTATTGGAGGAGTTGTGGCGGCGCTGCCCGCCTGGCATCAAGTATCAAGTTGAAAAGACGGCCAAGCTGCGACTAAAAACGCAGGACGAGGATGTCGACATGACGGGCCACGATGGTAAAATAAAGGCTCTCACTACGTCGAGTCCTTCAACACCAAGCACTCCCACTAGAGGCATCTTGCCCAACCTTACCTTTTCCACGCCGTCGAGTCAAGGGTCACCAAGCAAAGATGACTCTGAGATTATAGAGCTTAAAGACCCAGATCCGTTCCTAAGTGTCAACATGGAGAACTTGCGGAACCGGAGGCGCCATTCGCTTGCACCGCCGACCCCTCAAGCAGAAAGCCTAGCAGCAGGTCGACAAAATGGCTATAGGCCGTCTATCATCGATCTTACTCCAATCAAATTTAGCTCTAGCGAGACATCTTCTGAGTCTGGGGTGCCGGCGAAACGAGCGAGAACAGCCACGAGTCGATCTCTCTCCCCACCAGCCATACCTCCTCTTTCAGACGAGATTCTGGTGCGGATATTCAAGCACTTGGATATTCGCGAGCTGATTCGCCTCCGAATTGTGAGCAGCCATTGGAGACAACTTCTGGCCACGTCCCCCGAAGTGTGTAATGATGTGGACCTATCACATTACAATCGCCATGTCACTGACCATTCCATCATCCATATTTTGGCTCCTTTTATTGGAAATAGAGCCCTTTCTATGGATCTGAATAATTGTTTTCATGTCACGGATGAGGGATTTACAATCCTATGGCGACAATGCGGCAAGAATATCAAGAGGTGGCGAATGAGATCAGTGTGGGATGTTTCAGCCCATCAAATTCTGGAAATGAGTGAAAATGCCAAACTGCTGGAAGAGGTGGATTGGAGTAACTGTCGAAAGGTCGGAGACAACCTACTAGGCCGTGTGGTCGGATGGGTAGTCCCAGAGTCTCCTACGGTGAAGAAGAACGTTGTCGTTTCAACCCCAACACAAAAAAGGCAACAACAAGAAGCGAAAGCAAAGCCACCAACTGCCAATAACCCCCCTCCAGGAACCGTCATCGGATGCCCCAAGCTCAACAGACTGGATCTTTCGTATTGCAAACATATCACAGACCGGTCAATGGCGCATTTGGCTGCGCATGCCTCTGATCGCTTACGCTCATTGACTCTTACTCGTTGCACATCCATCACAGACGTTGGTTTCCAGTCTTGGGCACAGTACAGATTCGAAAAGCTTACCAGTTTGTGCCTGGCCGATTGCACATACTTATCGGATAATGCAATTGTGGCTCTTGTCAACGCGGCGAAGAATTTGACGCACTTGGATTTGTCGTTCTGCTGTGCGTTGTCAGACACTTCGACTGAGGTTGTTGCTCTGGGGCTTCCATTGCTTCGTGAATTGAGGATGGCGTTCTGCGGTAGTGCTGTGAGTGATGCGAGCTTGGAAAGTATCGCTTTACATCTCAATGAGCTGGAGGGTTTAAGTGTTCGCGGGTGTGTGCGGGTCACTGGCAAGGGCTTGGAGAACATTTTACGAGGCTGCACGCGTCTCAAGTGGACTGACGTGAGCCAGTGCCGCAATCTTGAGCATTGGCTCCGAGCCGGGAGTATCGCCAAATGGGGTTTCGACGATAGAACCACAAAACCGGTGGTACCCACGGGACTCTGGGCTGCAGCAGCTCACGAAGGCATCGGAGAAATACCACCTCCAAAGACGATGAGCGTAGCCATGCTGACCACTCCGAGCTTCCTGCCTCGATCTGGGTTGGGCTTTTTGGGCCGACGAGCAAGGCAGCCAGTGCGATTTATCATTGAAAAAGGCGTTCAGGGACTTAGGTAGAGACTGGCAAGTCTCATTCATACACGACACCAGCATCTGAGGGGGCGGAGGACTCAATCTCTGAAGTTGGGTACAATTATAGGCACAGGCACCGGAGTTTTGTACATTGTTTGGGATTAGGACGACGCCTCGGCTGAATATGAGCCTTATTGGATGGCGGCGACTGCATGGTGAATCCCCGGCGTTTCGTTTCTATTTCCTATTCCTGGATAAGGAAAATATGTCGAGACCAATTGATGTTGCAAATGTTCTTTACATTGAGAGATGGCTGCAGCTGTCTGGAAGTAAGGTTTTCTGGACGAGAGTTATGCATAGAGATACTGGCCATTTTTAATCTTGTAGTGAAAATGGGGACTTGCAGCATCACTAGCGGTGAATCAAAGGTGAGAGGCTTTGCTTCGCCTCCAAACTGAGCGAAATCGACGCTTTCTTTTGGGCCATTTCTCCTTTAATTGCTGTTTCTTCGCCACCCAAGAGCTTCCTACCATCAACATCAAATCAAGGCTCTCTGAGACCTACTACAGTTAAACAGTAGAAAGCTATAACGAACAACGGCAGCTCTATATCTTACATATTATTATTCTGGATCTAGTAACTCCGTACTAGTAACAACCTAGGTACATAGTATCGGTGAACTCATCCGGTTGTCCTTGTAATGTGCAACTTGCCAGTGGCGAGATTGGCCCGGAAGGTTCCACCAAGTTCCAGTTCTCCACGTGACTTTGGAGTTTAATCAAGTCCGCAAAACCCCGGCCGCACGTCATGCTTTATCAGCCTCCCTCTCTCTAGCTGGACTGGAATCCAAGTCCGCAAACCCTCATCTATATCTGCTCTCCGACAACTTATTTCCTTTGTTTGCTTTCGTCGACACCCTCATCACACACAACACACAACACACAGCGACATCAGACTATTGCTGTCCGTCATGTCGTTCACTCTAAGTGTACGGCAAAGCCCTCTGCGCCTGGCGCAACGGCTGCCCGAACTCTCCAAGACTGCGTTGCGATCTGCCGCGCCTGTCCGAAGCCTCCACACGCCCGCCAAGCCCACGACCAACTTCTTCACGTCGCGCGTCTCGTCAATCGCCGCCCGGAATGCCTTTGCCCGCGGCAGCGGCCGCTCATACTACCAGGAGGCTACGCAACGGGCCTCCAGCGGTACTGGTATGCGAAAGCTGCTGGTGGGCGGTGCCATATTCGGCGGTACTCTTGTGGCCATCAATGCTGTTTTCAACCGCGAGACGAGAGACGATGGCGGCATGCCGCTGTACGAGCGGGAGTACCTGAACAACACCTTCTTGCATACGGGATTGGGTATCGGTATCATTGGTTTGACGGCGAGGCAGATGGTTCAGAGTGGATTCGTCTACCGGTTGATGGTGACGAACCCTTGGGTCGTGGGATTGGGTGGTTTGGCACTGAGCTTTGCCACCATGATTGGAACTCGTTCCATCAGCCCTGACAAGTAAGTTGAGCCGGAATGTGCACGGACGGATGAGTATGTCTTTGCTAACATGGTTGTAGCTACGTCCCCAAGTACGCTCTCTGGACCGCTTTCAACGCCACGCAAGCCGCCTTCGTCGCCCCTCTCCTGGCATTCGTTCCGGTACCTCTCCTCGCTCGCGCTGGCCTCTACACCGCCGCCATGATGGGTGCGCTCTCTATTGTTGGTGCGACCGCCAAGCAAGAGAAGTACCTGTACATTGGCGGCCCTCTCCTGGCTGGTGCTGCCATTGTCGCCGTCTCTGGTTTCGCTCCGCTGCTCATCCCTGCCACGGCTGTCCGCACGCTGGCATTCACTGAGAACATCTGGCTGTACGGTGGATTGGCCGTCTTTGGCGGCTTTACGCTGTATGATGTTCAAAAGGTGCTGTACCACGCGCGTATGGCGCAGGCTGGCCTGATGAAGCGCGACCCGGTGAACGAGAGTATCTCATTGGAGCTGGACTTTTTGAACATTTTCGTGCGCATGGTTCAGATCTTGATGATGAACCAGAACCGCCGAAAGTAAATGCGCAAGATGAGATGAAGGTAGACGAAGAAAGATGCGATGGAGGGGCTGGAAAAAGATGTGTATTAGAATATTGATACCTTGTTGAGTATTGGGGTAATGAAGAGGCCAACTCCTCTCAGTGGTACAGCTCGGTTGTATTGTGTAGAAAATAAAACCATGGGACAAATCAATTTACGAAATCTGATGAACTCTTGTCCCCACGATATTGGAACCCGGGGGTTATGTTTCTCATGGCGAAGCCACCGTGTTTCCTTTAACGCATGTCACCTCGAGCCTGATTTCATCCGGGCACCGTGGATGGATGGCACAACTAGCCCCGGGTGCAGTCAATGTAGTTTGTCAATGCATTCGTTCGCACAGGGCACATGAGGCGGCAAGATATCCGCGCACCTGCGATGACATGAAGATATCCTTTTCGCCAACTCGACCATTTACAATACCAGAGCCACAGAGCACATGGATTCCAAACCCGATGGTCATGGCCACGGATTACCTCGTCATCGGTGCTTGGCCTCTTTGGAATCCCGGGACCCCCGCCACCACCGTTGGCAGCCAGCCAGCACCGAGCCTGCCCCGCGTCCAAAACCGCCATTGACGACGTTGCGCATAGGCAAGCTCAAGATTTGTCATGTCGGCGGGGCACAGCATCACGTCAAACCCCGCCGTCGCGGCCACCAAGGACCGCAACCATTTTGCCTTGCCCTCATGGCCGATTTCCATAAATCAGCAGCTTCAACCGCCAGGCAGCGCGTGCCCCAGCGTTGACACCCGAGCAGAACTTGCAGCCCGCAACGCCCCCCGCTCGACTTTGTTCCTCAAACATCTCGACACGCCCCGAACCCGCCATGTCCGGTTTCCCATCCTTCATCGCCCGGCTCGCGCGCCCCTTCACCCAATCCACACGACTCTCCGTCGCGCCAGAATCCTCCTCGTCGGCCCCGGGCGCCGTCCCCGAGGGCGCGCAGCGCTGCACCGTCGCGGCCGGGTGCTTCTGGGGCACGGAGCATCTGTACCGGCGCCAATTTGCGGGCAAGGGCCTGCTCGATGCCAAAGTCGGCTACATAGGCGGCGACCTGAGCGACCCGACGTACCGTGCTGTGTGCGGTGGTAAAACCGGGCGTGCGTCTTGTCTCCCCCCCCTTTCCCCCCTCTGACCAAAATAAAGAACGAAAGAAAGAAATTAACAGACGGGTTTCCCCCCTCAGACGCCGAAGCCGCGCAAATCATCTTCGACCCGGAAAAGGTCACGTACCGCCAGCTGCTCGAGTTCTTCTACAAGATGCACGACCCGACAACGCTCAACGCCCAGGGCCCCGACACGGGGCCGCAGTACCGGTCCGCCATCTACTTCCACGACGCCGAGCAGGAGAAGGTGGCGAGGGAGGTGACGAGGCAGGTCAACGAGCAGTGGTGGAAGGGGGGCGTCGTCACCGAGCTTGCGCCCGCCGGCAGGTGGTGGACCGCCGAGGAGTATCATCAAGAGTATCTGGATAAGAACCGTGGTGGGTACGAGTGTCCCAGCCATTTCCTGAGGCCGTTTCCTCCGCTGCAGTGATGGCCCAGGCGTGCTGAGGCGGATGTATATACGTTCCAGAAGAAGAGTCTTGCTTGGGTATGCTTCATGCACTGGAGACACCCATGACGCTTGTTTTCATCCGTATTCTGATATGGTAGAATGATATTTTATATACTGCGCTCGTTAATTTTCTCTCGTGCCGAATTCGGCTTGACAGCAGGACTACCCAGGCAAGTCGCTACCTGCCATGGCCTCTTTTGCCCACATGTTGTGTGTCCCTAGACATTCGAATCAGGTTGGAATTGCAAGAGATACGCACGACACTCCCTGTGCATTAATACACTGAAGCAGCCAACTGACAACGCCGCATGGAGTTTCAGGGAATATGCTCTGTGCTGATGCTGTTTGCAAGCGAAACAAGTCAAGTACACGTATAGCTGTCTTGGGTATAAAGTCACATCCAGTTCCGAGGATGGGAACGATGCCACCCAACCCATGCTGAAACGTTGAGCAACTCAAGTTCGTCCTCTACTTGAGGAACTCCTCCCGCACAATCCTTGTTTGCCGACCCCCTCGATTTACTGATATGTACGCAACTGGGAGATATTCCCATCTATTGGGATAGCGTGTGGTCTGGCGTGTGTGTGTGTGATGCTCCATTACTCCGCTTCATCTCTCTGCAGGTCTGAAGGTCAAGTGATTGCCTTGACAGAGTAACTTCTCGCAAAAAAGGCGACGCCCCTCAACGAGCCTGGCATTTAATCACTCGCGGAGTAAGGTAAGTTCGCGCTCTATTATTGATTTCCATCGGCCAACGTCCCGGTCTTCCTCCTCCCAGTATGTCAACATGCCGATAACCTTACCAACCGCCTCGTCCCAATGAGGCGGCATTGTACTTCCAGACTTGGCAGCCGCCACAAGTATCAACGCACTGCGGGTGCAAGCTCTGATCATGAAAAATCCTCCATGGTGTCGATGGAAGAATCCTGGCTCATTGGCATGGATTTGATGCCTGTGTGTGTCCAGGCCGCGTTTGACAAGCTCTTCCAGCTGGGGCTTCATCACCCGTCCACTGGACAATCCACTCAAACTCGCCATGGCGAATGGCCAATAGATTATCTCGTCAAGATTTATGAGCTTGCCTCGTAGTACAGACTTGGCAATATCATCTTCCGCAATGGCAGTGCGTACCGACAACTCCTCTGGTAGACTCTCAGACCATCCCTCTGCTTGTGCCCCATACTCTGGCGTCATATCCGCCAGTACATCCAAAAAAGTTGTATTTGATGAGTAGCGTTGCCGCAAGTTTAGCATTTCGCTGCAAAGGCGGCTAGTCAAACGTCGGAGTGATGTCTCTGCCAAATAAAAGAGCCATGATGCCCTGGAGCGCAGGGCTTCTGAATCTGGGCCGCCGGCAGATCCTGGCGGAAGCACGGGAGGCGCAGGGAAGAACGGGGGGTAGAGAGTATTGCCCGGATTATCAAAATCTGGCAAGGACAGCACTCCCCGCAGCTCCCGTTCTGATTTCCAAGCGGACCGATAGACAGCCTGCTCTTGAGTTTCTTGCTTGCTCATCTCTTTGCCCATCTCCCTTGATCCTGGAGATAACACGGCTTCTGTTGACATGTTTTGGGCCTTGGATAGAAAGGGAAAATGTTGGCATGCGGCAAGTGCTTGCGAAAAGAATCGCCACGCATAGATGGGCTGGAAAACCATCATCATGTAGACTCCAGAAAGGAACAGACATTGCGCATTGATTATATCCGATCTGGTCAGCAGGATGCCAATGCATTTCTGGGCTTCTTGAAAGAAGACCTGAGAATCAGCATATGCCTGTGTGCCTAGTTTTGTCTCTGGGCTCGGACCAAAGGGCGTTGCTATACAGCCTAGAGCACATATGATCATTGCCAAACACGAAGCCGGCGACCAATCAATACCATCTAAGAAGGCCTTTCCGGCCATTCTTCTTGCAGACCTCTCATCTAAAATGGGATTCTTGCAGTGTATATAAAGAAAAAAGCTGTCCAGGAGCCTGTACATGCGATGAGACTCGATATCCACCAGGGCTGCCAACGACGCGGCCCCGCCGGCGGGAGATGTCATGGCATCTCGTTGTGCTCGAGAGACTGGAGCAGCTTGGGACCTGGTGCTGTGAAAGACTGGTCACTCTAAGATACGGTCGATAGGCATTGGCAAGACACTGTCTAGTGGTAGATCTTCTTCCACTCGCGCATTGGAGATCTGGCTGTTATTCTTGGTGAGTTGGTTTGATCGTGGAATATGACAACTGTCGAGCTGCTGACCTTGGAAATGAGCGGGATATGATGCATGATTGCCATCTCCAAGAATGCCAGCATACGAAGCTAGTGACGAGGCTTGGGGAATTGGCGGTGCTTGTGATATCGCAAGTTCAGTAGCAGCACCAGTGGTGCGGAGCAGACGTTCCAGATCGTCTAAGCGGTCCAGTATCTTGAGGCTGGCAGGGTCAAAGCTAGAGAGGTCGACGGGAGATTGAATGCAAGTTGTGTCAACGCTCAAGCAGTATGAGCAGCTAGGCTTCTGGTTGTCACACTTGGTCTTGCGTGCTCTGCAGACCTGGCATGCAGTAATGGCACGCTTCCGAGGGTACAATGCGGTTCCTCAGGCAGAGGGCCGCTTCCCAGGGCGACTATAAAACAAGTCACCGGTCTCAGCAGTCGGGAACACTGCGGTAGCACTGCCGTTGGACTCGGAAGAGTGATGGTCCCTGACGGTCCAGTCATCCACGGCTAGATCCGGATGATGCGACAAGGCGTACTGAGGATGAAGTTGGGGCTGTTGTTGTTGCGACGGCGGCGGCGCCATCTTAGATCAGATATGTCACATGTCATACCCCGGAATCAACGATAGCTGGGCCGTGAATAATGCGTCCACAGAGCGTGTATAGGCCAAACCGTCGGGGAATCTCGCTGGTGAAATAGTGAGGCGCTATGAGGGAGAATTGAGATGGACCTAGAGCACTGCTTTGTAAACGTAGCAGTGCTCGGTTGGCCGGGTGGCGCTTGCCGATGGCGTTCGTGTGGCAGCCTTCACCAGTAATAGTAGCTCAAAGGTTCTGGCCTACCCGCGTACTGTCGATGAATTATTGTAACGACCACCGTCGACGTCTAACGTCGCACCGGTGCTGCTATTTTTCTGCGGGGGTTGCACTTTCCTAGCAAAGGAACGGTGTCGCTGGTGCTTACAGAATAATGCGCGGCAGGAACCAAAGCCTGAACGAGCTCGGTTGGGTTTTCATCGCTCCTTCCGTTGCCAACCTCCTAACATTGCGTGTGGATAACTTCGGTAATCCGTCAAAATATCAAAGCGAAATGCTACACAATGCGTAAAACCATCTTCTTCAAACTTCATTTTATCTACTACATACCGAGGAAATATTATAGTACTCTTAGCTGCACAGCATAACCAGCTTGTCACACTGACCACTGTCGGAACCACTGAGCGCAATTGCACCCCTGACAGAGCATGGACACCAATTGAGGCTATTTGCGCTCTGCGCCGAGCAAGGTGCCAAATTCTTCTCCCCTTGGCAAGCACCCTCCAACCGCCATCAGCCGTGGCAAAGTAGGTCATCGTACCAGAACGATACCAGAACTATCCAGAAGCATGTCGAGATCACACCAATACTTCCTTCGGCTTTATCTCCAGCGCCACATGGCGCCTCACCACACGTCGATGCTCGAGGGCATTCTGACCACAACGCCAGCCCGAAGCTCTTCTCGATGATACCTCGGGGAGTGTCGCCCTCCGCATACCCTACCCTGGATTCTCACTCAAGTCTCTTCTGCATAGCAACGAGTCGGTCCGAACCTCACGTCTCACAGTTGGGAGCCGCATGTGGCAGTGTTGCACAACGTAGCGCGGTTTGTCTATCTACAAAGCTATAGCTCATTTATTACATGGTGGTGGCCCTCGTTATCGGCTTCAGCTCTGTTCTCAGTTTGAACGACAAAGTGTTCAGTTTTGGCGTATTGGCTCTCCTTGGCGGGCGAGAGCACCACCGCCCTGGGCTTACTCGGGTTCATTAAATCTAATAGGTCTCTCACACTTCACGGAACCATGGGCACCAAGGACAAGTCTGATACACTCGAGGCCCATGTTTTGGGTGTTGAAGAACTCAGCTTCAAACACGAGACCGTTCGCACCTATCATCTGCTAGAGCACGAGCTCACCATCAAGGACGCCTTCAATCGTCACCCAGCCCTCATATGGTGGTCATTCTACTGGCTAGTGGCTGGTGTAGGCTGGTAAGACACATTTTTTGTGGGAGTCCAGAGACAGCCGAGTATGATACCGGCCTATCACGCAAAATACTACGTTATATCGTAGTGTCCTTAGTGTCCTCTGTAAATTTGGCAACATCTGAATGCATCATTCCACGAATTGTGTCTGGTCGCAAGCTCTTACAAGGTACTGCTGCACTGCGGCTGGCTGACATGAGCACAGGGGCTTTGATGCGCAAGTCAACGGTGGGATGCTTTCGGTCGAGTCGTTTCGACGGGACTTTGGATACATCTACGATAGGGAAGCCGCTTTACCTGCGGATTGGCAAACTGCGTTTAATACCGTCTCGTCTGTTGGACAATTCTTCGGCGGTTTCCTATGTGCGTGGTTGGCCGACAGGATTGGCCGAAAGCGGGCTTTGTTCGTGGGTGTTGCTATTGTGACTGCCGGGATTTTAGGGGAAATTTTTTCGACTGCTAGAGCAGCTTTTGCTGTCTCTAAGCTTATACTTGGTTTTGATTTGGGGTTCTACTTGACCCTAGCCCCTTTGGCTACCTCCGAGTGTGCGCCAGTTGTCTTCCGAGGAGGCATCTCGACTGCTGGTGTGCAGTTTGGCCTGGGCTCTGGTTAGCTCTTATTAAATGCCGTTATCAAGGCTTTCGGAGAATGGACATCCCGCTGGGCATACCAAGCTCCCTTTGCTACGCAACTCTTTATCTGCGCTTTTCTCTTGGTCTTCTTCCTTTTGCTCCGGAGACGCCATGGTGTCTCGCTCGAGTAGGCAAGCGAGAAGAAGCCAAGCGATCTCTCTGCAAGCTTTACGGTTCAGGTGTAGATATTGACGCGAAATGGGTTGCTCTCGAGGCTACTATTGTGGAGGAGGAAGCTGCGAAATACCAGCAAGGGTCCATTATTCAATGTTTCCGAGGAACCGACCGTATCCGAACCGCAATCAGCACGGGCGTTTTTGCTTGCCAGCACTTTGTTGGTATTATTTTTGTTACGGGATATTCCACCTACTTCTTTCAGTTGGCTGGCCTGCCCCCTAGCAAGAGTTTTGATCTAGGAGTTGGTGTTACTGCTTGTGGTCTTTTGGGTAACATCTTCAGTTGGTTCATTGTTAACTCCCTTGGCTGCCGCAAAATATTTACCAGCGGCATGGTGCTCATGACCACCATTCTTTTTTTTATTGGTATTCTAGACGTCATCCATACCAGTGCGGCTAAGTGGGTTCAGGCGGCTCTGACTGCCATCTATGCCTTCGTCTACTTTACTTCGCTTGGAGCCATGGCCTTTACCATCGTCGGCGAAGCCAGCAGCACCTCCCTCCGCGCCCCAACCATGGCGTTGGCAACCGGTACCCAGGCCATCATGGGCATTATATTCAACTTTACTATTTATTACATGATTAATCCAGATGAGGGTCATCTTAGGGGCAAAGTCGGTTTTATATTTGGAGGGCTGGCAACCATTGCCACGGCATGGAGTTTCTTCTACATCCCAGAACTCAAAGGCCGTACATTTTGACGAAATTGACCGCATGTTCCAGGCTCAAGTGCCACCTCGAAAAATGGGCTCATATATTATAGAGCCGTATTAGGGCGCGGTCAATTTGAGTGATTGCGACAATAACAATAATGTATCATGCGTACGACAAAGGATGTCACTCAAGGTCCATTTTTGCCTCCACCAACCCTGTATTGAATCGCGAAGAGAAAAAAAAAAAAGAGAAATTGGCATCCAATCGTTGGCCTTGGATTGTTAGATTTGACCATAGCCAGGGATCGAGTCGATCCCATGCCCATGCCTGGTGTAATGCTAGTGGATCTGGCTATCGTCACCTCTTCTCCACACAGGAAGTCGTACCAAGATGGTCTGATATACAGACATGCATTGGGTACTAATCTCCTACGACGTTAGACGAAGATTGGTTCACACGGAAGAAGGCGGTGTGTGCTTAAATGAGATGATTTTGCACGGCGGTGGTGTCAAAAGCATTTTCTCGCTGAGCTAAGGCTAAGGCTAAATCGATGCAAGACTCATCACACATGACCTAGTACAAGGAAGCAAGAGCAAGCTATAACAACCAAGAGTTGTATCACATGTACGAAACATCATGTTGTATGGTACATAAACACGACATCTTTTAATGCCGTCCTCGTGCGAAGATGAAGCATATTGGCGATTGGAGGATGTTGAAAGCATGTAAATCTTTGAAAGCAGCGGTTGTAAATTCTACCAGCATAAATACAGTTCAGAGATCTTTCCAAGTCCAGACTCAATACTGGAGACTCAGTGCAAAAGGACCATCAATCCACTGGTGCCTTATTCCGGTTCTCATGCTGGTGAACTACCGAGTCCCGACTGGTTTGCAAGTGCAACGACTCCCCGTCACCGTTCATATTGACCTTGGCCTTCCACGTCTTGTACCACGGGCCTTCAAATAATTCGCCCATCCTCTCCAATGGCACTCCCTTTGTCTCAGGTGCCCATATGCCGAGCACGATCAAGCCAATGAAACAAACGAGTGCCCAAAATACATAAGCTCCCCAGACGTCGAGGTTTCTAAACATTGGGGGCGTGGTTCGCACAACAGCGAATTGAAATAGCCAGTGAACCATCATATTCACCGAATAGCACACTCCCCGGACACGCGTCGGTAGGATTTCTGTCCCGTAGAGGTACTGAACTGTACAGAGGCCAATAGACCAGCCGATGGCATAGACAAACACAGACGCGATGGCTGCGGTGGAGGCAGATTGGTTATCGCTACGGCGCCAGATTGCCATGTATATGGCCATGTAGATGTGTGTTGCGCATTGCATGGCTAAGCCAGTCATGAAGCAACGTCGGCGGCCGAAGTAATCTATCAATCCCCATGTGAACACCATGGTAAAGACGAGTTTCGTAGCGCCATATCCACCTGCGTTGATCAGCGCGCGATTGGTTGTGATACCGGCCAGACGGAAAATTTCGGGAATGTAGTAAGTGATGCCATTGCCACCGCTCCATTGCGCAAACGTTTGCATCGCGAGGCCGAGCAGGAATCGATTGCGATAAGAGGGTACTGTAGCGACCTCCTTGATGATGGTCCAAGTCGACGTGTCGGCAAGAATGAGATTCTTGCTCACCACTTCTTGCTGCATTTCGCGGTATTCACTCTGTATCTCAGGATCTTCCATCGACTTGTTGCGCAACCTGGCCAGGACAATGAGGGCCTCGTCATGCCGGTTCTTGGAGGCAAGCCAGCGGGGTGTATCATGCAAAAAGAGTGAGCAGAAAAGTGCAATCCCAACGGGAATCTGGGGCACAGCAAGAACAACTCGGTACTGCTCTCGATTTGATGCCATCGTCCTGCGGGCGGCGTAACTAATGAAGAACCCTGATCTCGAAGTTAGCGCCCAGTAAAGTGTGAAGGCGACGGGTTCCACGGCAAGTGAAGTTGGCCTACCCAGCATCAATGTTGTTAATAAAACAACCATGTATACTGACACAATCATGCCTCTGTTTTTTGCCTTTGCAATCTCTGACAAGTACAACGGTGCGACGACGGTCAGGCCGCCGGCGCCAATACCCCCCCAGATCCTCGCAAACAGGAGCACGCCAACGTTTCCCGAAGCAAAGGTGACAGTAAAGAAACCCGTCATCCACAGAAGCGTGAAGAGCTGCCAGGTGCGAAGTCGACCAATCACATCGGTGACGTATATGGCCATACCGGCTCCGATGGCTGCACCAAGAACTCCCAAGGATGAGACAACAGCTCGCCGAGTAGCTAACTGAGATGGATCGCCAGTCCACCGTCCTCTTGTAAGGCCGAAGTCCGTCAAAAAGGACCTGAGCCCCGACGCTGAAGCGAAGCCGCCTTCATCATAGCCTGTGGTTTTAAGGACGCGCCGTTAGCGAAAGGCAAGGGGCCACTGTTTGTTTCTTCGGATCCTTGAGGCTCACCTTTTGGAATCGACCCAAATGCAATGACAACAACGGTAAATGCGTAAAAAAGGTTGGGCGACAGCCAACGCATGGTGGTGATGGTCTCCAGGAGCGCTTTGCGAGAAAAAGCTAGAGATTCAACTCGATTCACGCTGCTTGCAAGCGAGCACTAGCATCCATCGATCAGGTTGAAGGGTGCTGGCTTGTTTCAAGGTAGAAATTCGGTCTGTTTCCTGCAGTCCCATAGCAATTCTCCGGTCCAGCTGATGCGCGAGTGAGCGAGCGAGTTATGGCGAATGCAGTGTCGCTAGCGGGGAATTGAAGTTGGCTGAGCTGCAAGTCGTTCATCCATGCTCGAGCAGTCGATGGTTGACATATATCACCTCGTGTCGCATGGCTGCCAGAGCAGGCTTTCTCTTCCACAAGTTGCTTTGCCTTCTAGGTTCCGCAAAGTGCTGCGTAACCAGGCCCGGCTCGCTTCTAAGGGTCGGTGGGGCGGTGCTTGATGCAGCCATGACCATTTGGGGCCATTTGAGGCCCGTTGAGGCCCGTTGAGGCGCGGCCTGGCGTTTGCTCATCTCGCCGACTGCTGAAGAAGTTTTAGTCGACCCAGGAGCCTCCGTCCCTCCTTCCGATTCTTGGCTAATCGGCACGCATAGGCCGAAGCCGGCCCCTAAAGCCAAGCAGGCGCCACTGCCACTCACGGACCTTCTTCCTCTTTTCATGCGCCATCCGCCCAGACATGGATGCAGCTAACAGGGTCAACAAGGTCAACAGGGCCGTCTGGTCGTCTGGTCGCCTGGTCGCCGGGTCGTTGTTCATCCAGTCCAGTGTCTGTCTCCCTGTGCACCGGAGTCGGCGCTCCAATGTTCCTTCGTTTTCTCCAGCGACACACAACGAGTCAACTGGTCCGTCTCTTCGCAAGCATGACATGCTGCAATATGGGAACGTATACGGAGTCTGCCGTACTTAAATACCTAGGTACTTGTAGTACTTGACAATGGCCAACGGCCACGTTTGTCCTGTCTTGTCTTCAGCCAAAGGCTCTTCAATCGCCGCGCTTTTGGCTCAGCCTCGATAAGCTAAGGCGCCACGAGGCCACAAGGCCGCCAGGGACAGCCTCATGGCTTCCCGTTACTGATCGTTCGAGTCAAGCATGTCCGTTATCCTGACCAGGGAACGTCAAGCTGTGTTAGTCGTGGGCGGCAGAACGCTGCTTAGTATTTCTCGTGGGTGACAGGGAAGATGGTGTTTCGTGCACACGAAAGAATGCCAACGCGGGTGGGATCTGTTCCAGATATATACTGATACGACGATGCTGAAATCCAGCCGTCTGGTCGTGCCTGAGTCCTGCGACGGAGGTTGACCGAGACCAGTCTCACGACCACGTTGCCAGCCCAGTAGCATATCCCGCACTTGAGTAATCCGTGCTTAACTACGGAGTACCTACGTAGTACTACAACAATTCCAATGACAAAGCTCAGTGTCAAATCATTGCTCACACTGCACCGTGGTTCAAGTCATCTTTTCTATTGATATTTACCTTGACAGTGTCGTGAGGCTTGAAGTTGTCTATGAATTGAAACTGGCCCTCGGTCAAGTTCCGAGTTTGTCACCTGCTTCGGGCGACTTCTATATCTGTCGTACGAATGCCCATTTCATGGCCAATGAATATCGCCTATATTCTCGCCTATATTCATCATGCTATGTGAAGCCGCGACTAGCACACTTGGCCCAGTGAGGCGGAGCAAGGTCCGCTGATGATAACAGTTTGACCGCAGATATAATATGCTTATACATCGACCTTGATGTATATATCAATTGCCGCTACTTCTGAGCCGTCGACTAGGCTACCCAGAATCTCTCGAATTACTCTCTAGCCAATGGAGCTTTTGTCATCCAGAAAAGATATCGCCTTGGCCACCAAGTGTGGATTTGATGTTCAGTTCTTGCCGAGTGACTTCTGAGTTCCAACTATGTTACCCAGACAGCAGCAGCAACTGCACTGTTTGATCTCAGCAGTCTGGTAAGCAGTCAGGTATATGACGTGGTGGCAGACTCTAAGCAAGACCTCGTAGCCTGACTGACCATAGAAAAATTCCTCGTCACCATGCTCCTCTGTAAACTGCCTTTCCAGTTAGATTTCTGTCGCTGTAGCCAACGCGTTGTACCACGCTGCAATTCATACCTAAGCAACTTACCTCTTTCCACCAGACTCGTGTTGTCGAACCCTGGGATATGTATAGCCCTGACGCTTAGTCTCTGCAATTCTAATATCGAGAAACGGGGGTGCCCAGGACACCGACTGGGGTGGATAATGATGGAAAAATCCCCAAAACCGACCGCAACAGCGGCGATGGTCCGCATCGATACAACTGGGGTTTGCCATAAGCGCTTGAAAAACGGTGTGCCTTCATAAGCATCCTTTGAGTCAATGCAATAGACCAGAAACATCATCCAAAAGAAGGTGGATTTTCCGACTCGGGAATGGTGCCAACCCGAATGCTAAGTGGCTCTAGAGTTGACATCGCTTCGAAGACACCAGGTTCCATGGACATTGCATCCGGACCAAAGTTATGGCTGAACGATGGCTGGTACACTGGATGGGATGGAATAGGGATTTGTCTGCCTATATCTGCAGATGTTTGGTATGTGCCACTAGGCAGAGGAGCGCTGGATCCTGTGGACAAGGACGGCTGTGCCTGCGGGCTTTGCTGCATAGAGGATCCTACTGTAATGCCCACAGCGGTGAGCTCTTTATTGATATTGTTCAGCGCGGAGGCTATGACTATATTAAGCCGTCCCATTAGTAAATGACTTGATGCCATTTGAAGAAGGGGAGAATACGCTATATCTTACCTGGGCTAATTTGCCTCACTTGCTGCAAGCATTGGATGCAGTAAGTGAGCTTTCGCATTGCTTGCTGGTCGTCTGGAGCAGCTTGAACCTGCAGTAGAAAGATAGATGAGGCGATATAGACACAGTAGGCGAGTGATAAAACGCAGTAGTTGATGGTGAAAGTCCTGCAAAAGAGATCGAATATTGCCATGATGGATGTTGCCGATGTCACACTTTCCACTAGATATCGCTGAACTGGAGACGGGCCCTCACATTCGCGTTGGCCTCTTCCGGTGATCATTGGCCGAAATAGCAAGATTTTAAATGCATGATAAAGACAACTGTTGTCCAGCGTTAGGTATATGGTTTTGGTATCGACTTGATTGCACCGTCCAGAGCTGATCTTTCAAAGGAATACGTACTTTAACGTCACAATGTGGGATGGCGGAGCCAGATTGGGCAATGAAATAGGGTTGATCTTGAGGTGCACTGGCAGTTGATCCCACCACTGATGCAACAGGGGTTCCTGTGAGTTGAGACACTCTTGGATTTCAGCGTCAGTATTTTGCGACAGCGGGTCATACATATGGATCAGAATTTCATTGAAAATGACTGCCAGTCGACACATGCTCATGAAACATGAGGCTGAGTGAGCCGTCGTAGGTGGGTATTTCCACGTGGGGTCGGTCTGTGGAATACCAAAGGGAACCCACAGGTCATTTTCGGCCGAATCATCAACTGTGAGGCACTGGTCAGCAAGCCAGCTTCGTTTCGCACACCCATCGCCGAGGGCGAAAGATTCTTACACATGATATGGGATGGTGAAATATTTGTATGTTGCAAGGAAGGCGACCGTCCCAGATACAGACATATAAGCTTGTCCCAGAAATAGCAGCCCCAATAGATGCGTCGACGAATCTCGAGCTCCTCATCACCTAAGGGGACGGGGCCCGGAAATCGCTGGCTATCCACACAGATGCCAAGATGGTCCAACAACCGGAAGGCAATTCCGCTATATGTCCAAGCCTGTGTGGAATTGCCCTGGCTGCACTCCTGCGCACTAAGAAGGAGGAGTGTTTGTATCGTAGGAATTGTGCAAACTCCATTGTTCAATTCTTCAAAAAGCATGCTTCTGGCATGTTTACCAAAGACGAGGCCGCCGTGGTAGGAGTCGTCAAGTAGTCGTTTGGTTGATGGGTCGCTCCGACCCCATCGAATTGAATGTGAAATTACAGCATTAAGAAGCGTGTGTGAGTAATACGGCCCCATGGATTGCATGTCACCTGCCATTGTTAGCTAGAGATTTGCAATGAGGAAACATTTTGTATGGCACTGAAGTTGGAGGGTGACTGATTGGATAAACATACGTGTAAATACAGGGCGGTAGATAAAATTAAAGAGTGGTTGGATCCAGCACCAATGAACATTTAGGAGGTATTGAAATGGTTCCTGTAATACCAGTTAGCAACTCAGGGTGTATGTCGGCCCCGAAGTCACGACGAGACTGCATTCCTAAGCAAGAAACAACATACAGGGACTTCGTTCAAGTTCTCCATAGCGCGCTGGTGCCATGCGTTGTGAATTAAGCGTTCTCGTCTCTGAAGGTCGGTATCCGAAGACGAGGGGTTCAAGAATGGCATATCAGATGGGCCAGGGCCAGTCCGATCACTTGGAAGATTAAAGAAACTTGTAGCACCGTGATATGTGATGCTTCCCTTGTCATCAATTTTCAAGCTTCTGAAGCTTCGGCTGATACCCTGCTCATCAGAAGCATGCCGACTGGTTTGCGATGAAACATCCTGGACGCCTGAGACGGGGGGGCTTGAATGAGACGAGCCAGCAAGTGACGGAGGCGACTTCGTAAGGTTGGCTACCTGGTCTTCCAGTTCCTTAATTCGTCCTTCTAGCCGCTGAGTGTAGGACAATGTTGGATTTCTAAAGTTCAGGTTAGGGCATAACAGGCTTTCCAGCTGCAGACCGTGGGGGCGACAAACAGCTTGTAAATGCATTCATCATTGCGAGCAGCACACCGCTGACAAATGGGCTGTTCACCTCCGCATTTAACCTATCCACAGAAACAGAGAGTATGAGTGAAGCTGTCCACAGCATGCAAAGCAGGAGCTGAATCAGGTTGGTGTAACAGCCAGCTGGGATGCGTGTCTTTGTACGATTGTGATTTGTGCATCCGTCGGCCAACGTCCGTCGACCGTCACAAGAAACCAGACCCAGAAGATATAAAAACGTACCTTGCGCCTGCGACACGGCTCACACGAGAAGGCACTCTTCTTGGTGGCCTTGGCCGAAGACATGATGAAGAGGACAGAAAGCTAACCAACGACGACCCGAAGAGATGCCACAACGCAAGCCGACCACTGTCAGGGCTTCAAAACTAAAGGGACACCCTTAAAGCAAATGCTTCGCGATTATGACAGAATATTGACGAGAGTTGTAAAATGACGGCCGTCATGGGACAGGTACTAACTTCTTCGCGCATCTGGAGACAGTGAAAAAAATAAAGTGTTGGACGTTTACCTTTGTCGCCTGCGACTGATGACTGACGATTTAACCAAGGTCTGATAGAGAGGAACGGGGAAAGCAAAAAAGCCCCGCGCTCTGCGCCTCGTACTTCTTGTTACTCCGGTCCTGAGAAGTCGGTTCGTTTGGAAGACACGAACGGCCTGCCCCACACCATTGAGGACGGAGAACGAGGCAAAGGTGTACGAAGTACGAGAAAAACAGAGCTGCGAGGATCACCACGCCCGTCAAAGTGGGCAGAAATCTAACATTTGATGTGGATGGATGGTTCAAGCGGAAGAATGGCAAACTTGAGAAAAACGAAGCTGGATGACTGGATCGATGTTGGAAACCCGAGGACAGGGATCGTGGAGTGGGCCGCCGCTAGCTTAGGACCTGGCTGGGCTGTGGCAGAGTCAGCAACCATCAAAGCCTTTGGATGGAGCATTTCATATCGGGCATTGGTCTGCAAATGCTGAAACTAGGCAGGAGGCAGCAATTGATCCACTAATGGCCTAATATTGACGGAACGGGGAGTCAATTGATGCAGCGTGTCCGTTTAGACGCTGTGAGATGGTACTACGGGTAGTTGTCAGCGAGTGGTGGACAGGAGATGCGTAAGTAGGAACTGCGCCTTGACATTAGCTCTTACCAAAAGGGAATGTGCCTGGTCAAGTAAGGGAAGGTGCGAAGAACAATCTACACTCTTATCCTCTGGAGGGCATTTGATGTTTTCTCCTTGCCGCTGCATCTTTTGACCAGGCTCTAGATGATACTATATCCAAATATCCATACGACAGATTACACCTGTGCAACTTGTACGGAGTGTCTTCAATGCCGTTTCCTGCCCATAGAAATCTACTCTATGGCTCTGTACTCGGTAATCACTATCAAAACTTCTCACGGTGGCCATTGGCTCGCCCATAACGAATACACGACGCGAGGTCCCTTACAGGACTGTTGGGACAAGGCACCGCCAAGCTCACCATCCACATGTAGGTCTCTTCCAGAACATGAGTCTTGGTGGTCTGAATGCCAAGTGTTCACTGTCCTCAGATGATTGGACCCCTTCATTCAACTGGCCTGGGGTGGTGTCGACACTGATGTTATGGCTGCTTTACTCCGTACCGACCATATTATTAATGAGGGCAACACAGATAGCCCCCCTGCGCCTTGACGCCACAAGGTCCGACCGCCCGTCTTGATTCCCAGATGGGGCAGTTGCTCGTGATGCCATCTGCTCGAATAGTCTGCGCCTGCGCCTCATCCGGCGGTGACTCTGGGCCGGGCAACGCTGCTCAATCTGGCCAGCAAGCCAGCCAGCTAGGGTTAATGAGAGAATAAACAGTCGGTGCACACGATCGGCACGACCAGCGCTAGCGCTACTGTAGCCTTGCCGCCCCGTTCCCTTCGCTCGCCGATTTTAGCCATGTGTGCGGGATTGTTCTACCGGGACACTTCGAAGAATTCTCATCTGCCATGGACGATCCTCGTGCGCGATTCGTAACTCACCCAACCCGAATCATGGAAACAAAGGTTGGGGCATACCCCTTGTGCCACTGGTGGGCATGGTCGGATGGATACAAAGGTTTGGATTGAAGCAGGCCACTCCCACACCATCCGCAGGGTGCCGGCTAGATTAGCCGGACATGGCACAATATTGGACCATGCATTTTGATCATATGGCTGATAGCCCTGCATGCCCAGCACCAGGTTGGAGAAGATTTTACGCCTTTTAGTGCATTGTCCTTGGGGGAATTACATACTTCTTCAGGCTCAACTCTATGGATTTTCCAGCCCGCATCCGTGACCCCGCCACTCCGTACCGATGATGAAAGTGGAGCAAATTTCTGGTGTTGTTTGTGGGTCTCTCCCATCCCTTCACATGGAGAAAACTCGCGTACTTTTTCGAATTGCGTCGTTCATAGCCACCGGAGAGAAATCGGAGTTGCCGGCTTACTCCAGAGTCGCCCAGCGTTTCGCGGGCTGCGGATAGCCAGTGGACAGCACTCCAGTTGCGACTATTGCCCCGAGCGTGTCGAATCATGCATCTCCATGTGTAGAAATACAACATCGATTGTCCATTTCACCTTCTTTCAACTTTCAGGATTCGTGCCAACACGACCCGAATTAACGGGACACGGGCAATGACGGGGGCCACGCGTCTGCCGCGCAGCCGATTGCGAAAAGAGATGACACGGCCCATTCCGACGTGATTATGAACACGATTAAGGATAGTACAGCCAGCTCAGCCCTTCCAGCAAGTTCAGGAAAGCTTGGCGCGAATTTTAATTCATTCTAATTCATGGTGGATAGTGGGGTCTAAAGCCAACATTGAAGTCTTGGCTCCGCCGCCTCAACTATCCAATCGCCCTAAATCGCCAAAACCACGTTCCCTTCAGCCCTGTTAATCATTGCCCAACAACCGACCGGATACAAGCACGCTAGCTCTAACTTCGCCGAAACTCTCTCATGGGGATGCTTCTAGCTGCGGGTGGGGGCGGGTCTTACAAAGCCGTGACAACCGACGCGTCAGCTCCCTTTCGACTACTAGTACATCAAAGGCTGACATGGACTTGAGGCCAGTGTACCGAGTAAGCTGACAGAATTGCCGTCTATTGGTCAACGGGATTGACGCTGTGCTACGCACAAATACGTAACTTGCATATGCAACTTGATATGCTTGGATTTTAGGTCGAATTTGAACCTCAGCAGGGGCTGGCAAGTCTATCGGCAACCTTGCGGAATGGCGAATCCTGAACCGTGGCCATGGACTCGAGGGCTATAACGTTTGCAGCCTATTACCTGGCATCGGAGGATAGCACCCGCCTACATACACGCACATACGTCACACAACCTAGAGCCGTTTATGCATGAACTAGTCTGAATATTTTACCCAGCATTTGAAGACTAAGCTCCTAAGCACTGGGCTGTTGTGCCATTTGGACTCGGTGTGTTCTCACTACCCCGTTCATCAAAAGACATCTATCAGCAGATTCCAAATTATAAACGAGTCTGAAGATACCATGAAGGTGCCAATGTAAGCCCTGCTATTGAAATAGCGGTGTGCAATCTTGGAAAAGATGCAGCGTGGGAAATGTGATACAGTGAGCCAAGTCATACCGGGAGCTGAGCGGGCTGCTATAAGCAACAGATCGACAAGCAAATAAGCACCTGGGGTTAGCCAGCGAATAAGGTATGCGCGCATGAAACACGGTGAAAGGTTAAACGGCATGATGTTCGGAGAAAGGACATCCTTCACTGAGCCCCACGAGAGTGCTGCTTTCGCTTACCAGCATCGAATATCATTGCAACGCAGAGCTCTCATAATAAACACCAATATCCCTGTACGAGTCTTTGGCGAGCCCAACATGTGTTGGTTGGCATCGAATGAGAAGCTATAATGTTGATGGCAGCTGGTAGCATTGCCGTTGATGTTCAGGGATATGAACCCAGACACAACCCCTCACCCTAAAATAAATCTGATCCCTTATTCTGGGCTGCTGACTGACTATCTATGGGTTTAAATATCCCTTGTACCCCCAATGAAGCGGCCTTTACTGTTTGAACACAGCTAGCTTTGACAGATCCCGAGGCGCCAAGACGATGAGACCGCAGGCTGCAATGTTCATGATACATATATTTATTATATGCTCTTTGGAGAACAATTAGTCCTCAGTGATATCGAGCTTTTTCTTTTGGATAGGACCACGCCTATCGCATCTGCTACCCTACATTAACACGAATGAGATGAATCCAGATACTGGTGGAAATCACAATACACCTGGTGTGGTATTACACTTTGGCATCCCCGTGTTGGAAATTGGCAACAAAATGTAAAACTTCAGCCAGTATGAACGCAAAGTAAAGTTTCCTGGCAAATCTTGAGAATGGAGTATATCCTACCACGCTCACCCTGCAACAGCCCTTGGGCAAGTTGCATCCGTGATGGCGAGGTATGTAAGATCGGAAAGGACGCGAAAATAGGGCCAGCTCAGTCGGGCCACCGCTGGGTGATAGACTTTGTCAGAGATCTTGCGGTGTGACTGAGGAGTGCTCTTGTCTCTTGTACTAGTTACCAACGCCAAGGGAAAGGTATCTAAAGCTTAAGCAGCAACTGTAAATTCCGTCACCATATTCAATGTCCTAACCAACCGAGCATTTGTAATGTTCTTTCGGCTTTCGAAAGGCACCACTCATGTTCAGCTTCTGGTGAGCTGCAGGACGGATACTGTGTCGCGGAATCACAATGACCACGAGGGCGGACACATGGAGTTTAGGCAGGAGAGTTGCCAAAAGTTTAATTTATACTTGGATGTAGGAACGGAGATGGCACAGAGCAAGGGGGTATAGGGCTCTATCTCCAGCGAACAAAATAATGTCCCGAAAGGAAGGGTAAAAATAGGCGCCAGCTTGACTCAGCTTAGCCTTATGGCATTCTTCATAACATCTTCGTTTTAGTGGAGGGATATGACTCGACCCTGAACATGGAGTGGACATGGCAATTTTCATCCGTAGCCTAGGAACGGAGACAACAGACGACCTCCCAGTTAACACAGAAGATCCATAGAGGCGCCTAGTAGGCTGGGCATTTGCTGATCTTTCCTAAAAACACCTTCGGGTATGATCATCAAGTGGAGTTGAGATCGGACGAGTTGCCACAACCGCCAAGTAAAGCCCAGTAGGTGGCGGCAGGGCGAACACGGGACGGCATATAATTCTCAATCCTTTACCAACTCAGGCTGATTCATCATGTTCAAGAGGTCACAGAGGCTTGCTGTAGGTTATTTCAGTCAATATGACCTATGTGGATTCTCTCGACTGTCTGTTTTGCAAGCTGTGGAAGCTTTATTGTTTGTGACCCTGACACGCACCCAACGTAATAATAATGAGTAAAGAAGAAGCCAGTTTACGGAAAAAGCCGTCCAGATAGGTTCTGTGATGATGCCGACTCGGCTAGGGTGATATGCCAGACTTTGTATGTTGAGGAAGAGGAAAACGCTTTACATTTTAGCGATGGGTGGTTTTCACCTCCTTTTACGGTTGGAGTTTGTGGGCTTCACAGTTTGCGGAGCGCTAAATTTGGCTGAAGTTCTTACTAGGCTAAATGAAAGCTATACAGAGGAACCGGACTGGCTGTTTACTTGGACTATACCCCCATGGTATGGCTTTCGTCGGATGCGACAAGTCTTGGCGCGACCAGATCAAAGAGGACACGGCTAGGATTCTGTTCGGAAGTTCAAAGAAGGTACAAGTTCCGATGCGTATTGGTGCTGTCGAGGGGATATCGATATATATAGACTAAAAGGTTGATAAGAGACGGGGTGATGGGATCCCGATTGCATGTGGCAGCTGAGGTCTAGGTTTTTTCATGGCGTCTCCATCTTTCATCTCCGGGTGAAGTCGGCAAGTTTTCTTATTCCACGTCTATTGGTACTTGTATAGCTTGATTTCTTCCGACTGACATAGGGTAAACGGTTGTAAAAAAAATGCCTCAATGTGTGCCGTGGGTGAAAAGTCTTACTGGAAGAGTGGTGAGTGTGGGATGTCTGATGGTCCTCAAGACCTTTTGAAACCCCAGAAATACACAGTATGGGACAAATCGCCTCGGACGTATTTTCAAAGACATTCTTGCTGGAGGCGAAAACGTTCGACGTTCATTCATGACCGACCGAGATATGTCTCTGGCGGACAAGCCATGCAGGAACAAGACGATGGAGAGCATACGGCCGATGACAACTCTGACGCGCCTTGGAAAATCCCGACAGCTTTACACCTGAACGTATAGAGCCAGTCGACAATTCAATATGGTCGCAACTTGTGTATTCTGGCAACTGTCGTGCCGATTCCGACGCCGCATCGGGTGACCTCCATCACGATGCAACCACCACGTGAACACCCAACATGGAGACAATCACTAGTCAGCCTGGCCCCGAAAGGAATAACCGCCAATCTATACCACCTCGGCGCACGAGTTGAAAAGGCCAAACGCACAGTCACGGGCTCACACATGCATTCTGACGGGTTCATGCGCGACGCACACCTGGCGCACAGGGCTCATGGAGCCAGTCCATACCTGCGCATTACTACCGGCCTGTTTGTCGCATGATTTCCCAGCAGGTCTCACTAGATGTGCAAGAATACCACTCTATGGACTGTAAATAAAGCAAGACAAAGTGTTTAAATGGATGCCACGGCCGAGCTTCCATCACCGCCTCGTAGGTTGATGGCCAGTCCCTGGCTCATAACACCAAACAGCCCCGTATTCCCGAGCCCAAATGCGAGCCTTGGTCCGGAAAGCCTTGACCCTCGGGTCACTGGCCGCTACAACAGCCGCTGCAACACCCATACCCGACGCTGAGATGGAATACCTGTTGAACACGGCGGGTATCGAGCTCGCTATGAAGGCGCAGCCCATGTTCCTGATGGGCCAGGCAGTGGGCAGGGCACCGTGTATGCCTTCATGGGCCATAGTGAACGGCACACAGGCGGCTCCGTCGAAACTGTGTGCGTGGCCGGACTCCGGGTGCGATTGCCGAAACCCCGGCGTGCCGCTTGGGAGCCCGATGCCGTCGTTCCCCGTGTACTTTTCCTATTCGCGGTGCGGAAACGCGGCGGTCAGGATTGCCTACAATTTGTTCTATACAAAGGATGGATTTATTCCGAATAAGATATTCGGGCACCCCTTGTGAGTTTCTCCGGTATTGACAAAGGGAGGGCGGGGGGTTGATGTTCTGTTGACCAGGCGGAGCGGTGCCTCCCATGAACTGTGATAAGCTGGCGCGTACTCGGGTGGCGGTGGAATATATCCTGCCACGGACTGTAACAAGTTCCTGAAGGGAGGGGACTGTGAATACGGCTGACAGAAGTTGTTAGTGACTGGGAACGAGTCGTCGTGATATGGAATAAGAATCAGAGTAATGGGATGTGGGCGCCCGCGCAATTATACCTGTCTCAGCATACGGGGTATCAAAGGATAGAATGGGCCCAAATCAAGAACACGTTTAATGCCGCCGATGCTAGCAAGCCACGTGGTGGTCCTGACGGCCAAAAAAACTTGGATCATCCAAAGGTGACTTATATACCGTCGCATTATGATGAGGGCCATCTACTTCCGAGGGCGACTCGACTAACAAATAATAGTGTTATATTTCGTCGGCGAAGCATGATATGCATCAGGAAAAGTCGACTGTACGCTTGTGTCCTAGCTGCTTTTAAAAAAGAGACAGAAGAAAGGAAAGGCAGGAAGCTAACATCCTCAGGCGTGGATTGACGTCTTGTCCCAGCTTACGAACAATGCGTTCCGTTCCGACAGTTGGTGGTATTTCCCGACCAAGGGTGAGTCCAAATATGCGCTCAGCAGTTGGCAGTAGAGCTGACTTTCGCAAAGAGGATTATATACTGGCGGACGAGTCAACTGATGTTGGCAAGTTGATAGCAAGCTTTGACTGGGGCGACGCCGATTCAACGCCTCCATTGGTTGCCAAGGGGCTGTGTAATGCTTAGAGTAGGTGAAGTACATATTTTTCTTAGATACCCCCCCTTTTTTATAGACTATTGGTGCTAGTAAGAATCGCGTTGCGGTTGATCTACTAGAAATAAATTAGATGTTATTATGCACGGCGCAATAGCCAACCTATGATTCAAACACGGCCTGCATGAAACGGCCAAACGGCCGAGAGCGAACTGTAAACTTGTAAATTTTTACACGGGTTGTTTCGCTCATCCCACGGACAGAAGAATTCGCCCCAGTCAAGTTGACGCCTCCTTGACATCAACTACATCTCCGTCCCGGCTGACTAGAATCTCTTTCTTTGATAAGGATGCTTTGACAGGATTCTTTGCTGCAAAAATTTGATCCAATTCTTCGAGCTGTAGCAAATGGACATTAATACACGTCATACTGGACCTGTTACTGGAAGCCACATACCGTTCTACCCTTTGTTTCGGGCAATGTAAAGTAAATAATGATGACGGAAATTGCGTCCCAGACTGTGAATATAATGTATGTCTTCCATCCAATGTTCTTCATGGATACTGACCAAGCATACTGGTTGAGTAAGCCGGCAAGATTGACTGTAAGTAATTGGTCAGCGGAAAAAATAGAGAAGAAACGCGTTGAAAGGAAAAAAAGACGAATACAACGAAGCCTAGTTCTCAGTGAGAGATACGTACCCGCTAAATTCGACATGGCCATGCCCTTGGCTCTCATCTCAAAACTCAAAACCTCAACAGTATACAGTCCCTGCAATGGCGTAATACCAATCGAGAACGCAGCGCCGAATAAGAAAATCATAGCCAGCGCGGCTTTACTGGCGGCCCCATTCGTATACACATATACACCGCTGGCAGTTTCGCCCGCGTACGACGCGGCAAACTGCGATGCCGCAATCGTCATCCCCAGCCACACAACTGTGCACGAAGTAAAGGCGAAAAGCAGCAGCGGCCGCCGACCAATCCTGTCAACCAACAGTGCTCCGCAAATTGCGCATAAAAACTGCACACAGTTGTTTATGAGCGTAATATTCGCCTGGGCGAGGTACGACGTGTAACCAGCCGAGTCAAGGACGGAGCCCAGAAAGTAGGACAGCACGGCATTGCCAGCAAGTTGCCCAAAGGCGGAGACGATCAGGTTGCAGCTTAGGCGGTAAAAGTTTCCCCTTCTGAAGAGAACACGGTAATCCCACCAGCGCTTGTCTGCGCCGTCCATGTTTAGGCATTCGTCGTACTCTCGAAGTTGGAGACTCACCCACGGGGAGCTGTCGTTTCCGTTTCCATGATATTTTACGAGAATGGCCTTGGCTTTTTCCTTTTTGTTGTGAACGTAGAGCCATCTGGGGGATTCCGGGAGCAAAAAGGAGAAGATGAGGACGAGAGACGGGAAGAGAATCTGCTATTATTAGTTGATGCGGTCGAGATCTGGATGAGCATGATGGTGGGCGTGCGAACCTGGAGCCAAGTAATGAGACGCCAAGAATAGTCGCCGCCGACGTTTGCAGCCCCTCGTGCTGCTCCCGATGAAAGGATTGATCCCGAGAACCACAGGGTGTTGTACATTGCTGGCACGTCTTAGAACCCTTTTTTTTTTTACGTGCGGCGCTGGATGAACTTACCGCCAACGACACCACGATACGCAGGATGATTGATTTCCACCACGTACATGGGACCACCGGTTGCTACCAACGATACTCCAAATCCGAGGAGAAAGCGACCTCCCATGAACTGACCGGCTGCATTACTAGTTCCCTGGATGATGGTGCCTGGTTCCTCGTTAGTAATGCTAGCGTGACGCAACCTCGCCGCGCACCAGCGTTGAACGCACCGATAATGATGATAGCGGAACCACTAGCCATGCCAGCCCGTCGACCAAAGTGGTCACAAACTGGACCCAGGAAGGGAAGAGCCACAATGTTGCCAATCTGGTACATGGATGAGACGATACCAGCCCAGATCCCACTGTTGGATCCATTGTACTTTGCAATGAAAGACGGATTTTGAAGCAAATTGTTGATCAAGCTGCCGTCGTAGCCGTTGACGGTGCTGTTGAAAAAGGCAACCAGAGAGAAGAGATAAATCATAAGCTGGCCCCTGCTCCAGGGCGTTGGTGGCTCCTTTAACAGTGCTTCGTTGAAGGCCTCGTCGCCGGTAACCACTCTTGTCTCCACTTGCTTCTGCACCGTGGTTAGCAAGAATGCCATTGTTCCCCCAATTGATGGATGATAGATTGTGGTTTCACGAGTGTCAACATACTGCATCGGTGTTGATGTGGGTGCTGGCCACAGGAAGGACCTTTTCCGCCATGGTTGCTTTCCCGGCCCAGCAGGAAGATTGTCTACATCGACGTCGCTCAACCGACGGCAATGGGCTTTATGACAGGCCGGCGGTGCCGAATTGTTGAATGTTCAAGGTTGCCGGTCGGGACAAAACCTCAAATGGTGCGACCCAAGACACGGCGTACAAGGGAGGCGGCGCAAGCCAAGCAACGATGATCAGCAACAACCGACGAGATCAGAACAGCTGATTCCTGAAAACGAGTCGGCCTCGGTCCCTGTATTTTACGGGGCCGGCAGGCTCACGCCGAATACTAGAAAGAGTTCCATGTCCCGAACCCCAGCTTTAGCTCTCGGCATGTGTAGGTGTGGGTGGGTGTCATGACTCTTGACAAGTTAACAAACCTGGTTTGGTGGGGCCCATGGGACGGAAATATAAGATACCGGATGATATGAGGATGTAACGTGAACCCAGCCAGGACCTGATACTGATTGGTGATTGGCGAATTGGCGAGTCAATTCATCAACCACCCACGCGAGAGCCTTCAATGTTGTCCGATTGTGAGGGTCTTTGGCCAAGACGCAGATGGCGATGGTGGCGCAGTGATGCGGTAGGACTGCAAATTGAGGCCTGCAGCAAGCATGGCTTGGTAGTCGAAGGAGTCCCGGTAAATGCGAAAGGGGGTTGAGGCAATACAGCTCAGCTCGGCGAGGAGACGGCGAAATCATCACGACGACGTCCGCATTGGGTCTCACGCAATACCACAATTAGCGCCGGCAATCATGCCTGAATATTACTAATGATGATGCAGACAAAGCAACACAGCTTTCAATATTCCTTCTCCTCCACAGCCACAAGACACACGAACAGCAGCAAGCGTCATGCGTGTGACCATTCACAATGCTCACACCGAAACTACCCAACAATCGGCATCGGCCCTTGTTTTTTACACGATCGGCATGCATAATTTCCCCAACATGTCAATAATCAAGTCACCCAGTCGTAGTGCTACCCGACTTCCCCGCACAAGCACAATGTCTCAGTCTTATTTACCAGAATTGACGTCGGGAGTCGGCGGATCTACATTGACCTTTTAATAAACAAACGGACGAGTCAATGGCAGGTTGTTCTTCGATTCGACTCATTCTTCCTTCTCCCCACGACAACAGAGCAGTTGACGATTCTCATTGTCACGCGTTTGAAAAAGAAGGGAAATAAATAAAAAATATATATAAAAGTTGAAAATGCGAATCCCCTCGCTCACCCACACAGGCGTGGCTGCCCTAGTCGCCATCCTCCCCGCCACGCACGCATCGTGGCAGGATTATGAGGCGCAAGCCCGAACGCCAGCCTCGTGCCCCGACTACACCGACTACTCGCAGAAGCCGCATGCGCCGTATTCCCAGGGGCCGTTGAAGTTGCCGTTTATGCGGCCCAGTGAGGAGTGTCGGACGTTTACGAGCCCTGCTGTTGAGGTGAGCGGGAGTCCTGTTCTAAACGCGTTTTACGGGACAGCGTCTTGACGCCTTGTGTAGAAAGTCATTCGTGACATGAAGGCGCGGATACGAGATGCCGACTTGGCCAGGTTGTTTGAAAACACGTTCCCTTCGACCTTGGATACCACGGTCAAGTATTTCGACCCCAAGGTGAATTTGGCATTCATCGTTACCGGGGTACGTACATGTTGTAGAAGATGACTACTGTTCACAGCCGAGCTAATGCGCCGTTAGGATATTACGTTGGTTTGCACTTTAATCTCGTCATACAGCCTGCCGCCATGGACCAAATGCTAATCTCGGAATGCTGTATGCTTGGTATAGGGCCCAATGGCTTCGCGACACGGGGAACCAGTTTGCCCATCTGTACAAGCTTTTGCCGCAGGATGACAATCTCAAGGCGCTTGTCAAGGCCATCATCAACACCGAGGCGCGATACATTTATCAGTATCCTTATTGCGGCATGTACCATAATTATCGAGAACTGCAAGTACACGAGAAAATTGGCTCGCTGACTAGACGCAGGCTCGTTCCAACCACCACCCGAGTCGGGGCTTAAGCCCACGGTAAATGACTACGCTGCCAAAGTCAATGTCAACCCGTATGCGTCTCTTTGCTATCAGGAGGTGTTGTAATGCTGACCTGGTTTACAGTCCTGTGGACAACCAAACCGTCTTTGAGTGCAAGGTGCGTCTACCCAAACGAGCTCTCAACGACAACCACCTAACCTCAGCAGTATGAACTGGACTCTCTGGCTGCGTTTCTCAAAATCTCCCGATCATTCTACCAAAACACAAAAGACGCCTCCTTTATCAATGACAACTGTACGTCACTAAAAGAACCATACACACCCAGTCACGGCACGCGCTGACAACGTTTCACAGGGGAGAAGGCCATGAACAAGATCCTCCAGACCATCAACGAACAATCCCAGAGCTCCTGGTCCGACGACTGGGAATTCGTCAGCTACTACAACTGGACAGGCACGGCCGGCTCCCTCTCACCGCCGGTGCCTAACAGCGGCAACGGCGAGCCCAAGCTTGCCAACGGCCTCGTTGCCTGCAGCCACCGGCCATCCGACGACTTGTGCGTCTTCAGTACGTGGGATCCCAGGACACCCTCCCCTCTAGTCCGGCAGGACACTTGCGCTTCCCCAGACTAATGCCTCTCCAGACTTCATCACCTCCGACAACGCCATGCTATCCGTAGAGCTCAACCACATAGCCGACATGCTTGACGCCTCCCGCAAGCTCAACCAAGTCTCCCGCCAGGCACGCCAGCACGCACGCACCATCCGCAACGCCGTCCTCCATCACACCAAGACGCCCAACGGCATATTCGCCTACGAGACAAACGGCTACGGCGGCCAATACATCATGGACGACGCCAACGTGCCGAGTCTCGTGTCCCTGCCGTATCTCGGATTCCTACCCAGGAGCGACAGCACCTACAGGAAGACAAAGGACGCCATGTTCTCGCGCTCCAATCCCTATTATGCCGCTGGCAAGAAATTCCAGGGCATCGGGTAAGTAGACCCCGCGTGTAAGCCGGTACCAGCAAATACTTGGATATAGCTAATGCCTCCCCCCTCCCTTGCAAAGCGGCCCTCACGTCAATGCTACTTATCCCTGGCCCATGTCCCAAGTGTCGGGGATTTACGGAACCGACGATGACGACGAGATCAAGGGGCGTCTTGCGCTCATTCTCGAAAACACGTCTGGGCTGGGCCTCATACACGAGAGTGTGCATATTTACAACACCAGCGACTTTACGCGCCCGTGGTTTGCGTGGGCGAATAGCTACTTTGCTGAGATGATGTTGGATCTGGCCGAGAGGAAGCCGGGGCTTATCTTCAAGGACGACACGCCTTATATCGTTGGCGGCGATGATGAGAAATGACTACCTGGACAAAGAGGTCCTACACTGCAGAGAGTCATGGGACCGAGTCGCGAGGTATTGTGAGTTTTGAAGTTTCATACGCCGCTTGTTTAGAGTCCAGACCTTGGCTTAGTTTGGGGCCTAATGGAAGATGAGAGATGAAATTATATTCGACGCGGTTATGCAGCATCTCTATATGACGTGATTATGAACATATATACAAGATATATATACATCTATATATTCTTAAGCAGTGCAAAGGCCGTCGTGCACTGATGGCGGGTTTGACGAGGCATCTCCCCAGTCAAAGCTCCCCAGGAGTCTTCCAATCTCGGTTGATCGATCCGCTCGGATGTAGTCATCTGTGTTGTGATATTCAGAAAAAGGACTCGGAAGACAAGATGCGCCAGGATTCCTTACCTCGTTTGGGAAAGTACCACCAGTCGTTGGACCGGAAAGCATTGTCCGTGAGCTGGGACAGGGGATCGTTCCAACCCTGAAAACAGTGTAAGTTCATTATGCACGTCGCAGCTCTCGACTGACGCCGATGATTCTTACCGTATTACGTGTGTCGCGATGGGCGTGCTTGCTCCACTCAACGTAGACCTTGGGATGGTCGAGGTACTGTCTTCCGTCCTTGCCGCCGCGAGGTTCGGCTGCGTCTTCACGGTTTATCGTATTCTGTATCTTGGCCCACTGCAAACGGCCATAGCCGCTATGCTGAGAGAGGAACAACTGGTCCGGCCGCCAGTTCCCATCAGCGGCCTTTGTGAAAACAACAATGACGCGTTCCCAGTCGCTATGGCACTCGTCAGCACATTTGATCTAATACGTCAAGTCCCTCCGAGGGGGATCTAATCAAGCGTCTTACTAAGGATGTCCAAAGACCTTGTTCGGTTCGCTGCCATCTTTTGTGTAGAACAAGTTGTAGGCGACTCTCACCGAGGTATCAGAGCATTTCTGGTAACTGTAATAGATGGGAAATGAAGGACTAGGATTGCCGATGCCAACACCTGGGTTTCGGCATTCGCAGCCAACATCTGGGAATGCGCAGAGCTTGGAAGACGGGACTTGCTTTCCATCGGGAGTGGTTGCAAACGTAGGAATACAGGGGGGCTGTTTCATTGCCTGTCCAAAGAAGAACATTGGCTGAGCCTTCATGGCAAGACTGACTCCTCCCTCGTTCAGCATTTGGTTCATGTCCGAATCGGAGATGGGCGTCACAGCCGAAGCCGTGGCCGCCAGACATGCGGCAGCCAAAACGTGCTTGATAAAGGTGCGCATCCTGAAATTACCAACAGCCTGATGGGGAACCTAAGGCAATTCACGCATGCCATTATTTCCCCCCGGGGGCCATGACGCTTTAATACTCCAAGTTGGTGGTCATTGCCAACCCACTGGATTGGGAAAAAGAGCGACAAGTCGGGCCGGAGCGAGAAACTTGTGGGAATGGGCATTGTGTGAAGCGCGGCAGCCAGCATTGTAATGGCCTCTAGGCGCTTCAGCGTGTTCTTCTGTTTCAGCAAAGGATTCTCGGCCAGTACTGGCAAACCACCAACCACTGCGTGAAGTCGAAACCACACTATCGCCTCGGCCCATCCTTCCTTGACTCGGTAGGTGACATTGTGCCTCGCGCTAGAAAATGGTGCTGACGGCAACCGTCGTTGATTCTCCGGGATTTTAGCAATGAAGGCCGTTTTGTGGAGTTCACGTGTAGGTCGTTGTATGTGTGATTGGGACGGGGAGACCGACCGGATTTTGTGATTCGGGCGACGGTAGATGGACAGCTAATAGTGATCATGGAACATCATTTGTGGGAAATTTTAGCTGCATCGTGGGTGGATATTTGCTGCATCGTGTTGATGCTCGATCAGTAATTATCCGCACCGACTCTCTGTCTCTGGCGAATTGAGACGCACGGCTGTGTCCAATAGCTCCATTCTCTATTCTCATTGGGGCAGGGAGTATTGAATACAGTATGCCTGAACCGTGGCCTCATTCGGGCTCAGTGAGGATGAATGGCGTCTAATGCTTTGTGGTTTTGGCTTGGCAGTTGGATATGAAGGCCGGAGGAAACAGGTGGGTTGTTTGTGTCTGCCCCAGGACCAGTGCTGGAGAAAAGTCAACTAGTTGCATGTGGAGTTATTCAACCTGTGATACATAAAGAGGGCTAACGACTTGCACGCCGGAGTCTCCTCCACTTTTGGTAGTGCAGCTGGTATAAGTCACGACATAACCAGTGACGTCAAGTTTGAATTAGCAAGCGCAACCGCCGGCACCTGCCATCGTTCTACCAGCCAGGCGATTTGTAAACCGCCTGCGGCCGATAACGTACTGGGCTTGGTGCGACTTGCCACTATCTTGCTCTGGTTCGGCCTGTAATCCTTCCTCGACCTAAAAGTGGGCCTCAAAAGACCTATTATTATAATTCCATCAGCTGGCTGAATCGTGAGCATTTATCCATACGACCGGGTCATATGAGAGCGCCGTCTAACTCGTTTCTATGTTCCGTGGTCATGAACAATGCTCGACCGCCTATGACGCTACACTATCACCGCTTGCTCCGCCTTGAAGTGGTGCGACGGGGTATCTGCGGTCGTGGTATTCTCCCTGCCCAAAGAGCGCCGTTGATGGCTATTCATGACTATTCATCCGTGTGAAGCAGGGAAATGGCCCGTCCAGCCCCAGAGCCCTGTCTCCCAGTTCAAGCTTCGCTCTCGACAATGCCCAACGGTTCGTCCGTGGCTGGCTCACGACGGCATGCAATAAAGGGACAGCGGCATATGCAGAACGTGCGATGGAGAGAAATGGCAACCTGTATCACCGGAGGTTCCTCCACCTTTGGTCGTGCAACTCAGATTGATGTGGCCCAATGAGGATAGCAACTCAAATGTGGTGATCTGTTAGGCCGTCGAGTAAATCTCGTACGAGCTGCGTGTAATCGTCATGGAACAATTGGTTATCTACGCTACATGTGTAGAGATGCAGCCAATTTGCATCAATACCTAAAGCGGACATGATTTGTGTCGCGTCGTCCAACAGGCGCTGTGTTTTTCGACGCGGGTCGGACCCTGTTGGGCCTCATCAAAATCGCAACAGCCAGTCACGGCTCTTACGTGGCATATAACGCGACGGGATCCCAACTATCACAAGCTGCACTACCAAAGGTGGAGGAACCTCCTCGGTGGCAAGGTTGTTGTTTCTCTCAATCACACCAACCAATTACGTTCTACAGGTCCGCAGATACGATGGGTTGTGCCATTTGTGATACCAAAAATCGCTTGGACATGCTACTAACTGCCTAGTTTAGCATACAAGAGCACAGCGAATCATCTTTTAGTTTCAAGAGTCCCAAGCCCCTAATACTTTGATGAGATATGTTGCCAAATTTTAGTAAATTATACCTTGTAAAGAATAAGCTCAAAAAGCTTTACAAGAGATATAAGCTTATTTAAAGAACAATAATTCATGTTGCAGTCATACACACAAAGATAGTTTACACATATATACCGAGTAGACTGTTGCTATTACATGGCACACGGGAACACGAACAGCCCTTTTTTGTAGCACAAACACGACAGCCCGCAGGTGCAATGCAATTAGAAATATATTTGAAACGGCCCATGCCATATCGTCAAAATCATGCTTGATACGGGTCACAGAACATGCGAGAGCTGCATATATGGGCCGCCGACAGGTCATATGTACGACCATGAAAATTGCCAATTCATTCTCGATAAGGCTACTGACGAAGCGTCGATTTGACCTTGTTTAAGTTGATAGAGATTTAAAAGCCAACATCCTCCGGCCACAGTCAGGAACTGGATTCTCAACCATGCCACTCCCATTAAAGAATCACAGTATTTTTGTTTCGACCACTAGGAGCCATCATGAGAATTTGTGTCTTCCAATCATCCTATGAGGGCTCTGACTCTGTGCTTGGAGACCTCCACGATTCATCCCAGCCTGGCCTCTTTACCTCACAGCACGAATTCACATACCGCTTCATACACAAAGACAACGCACAGCAAGAGATCGATGCTGCTGTTGCCGAAGGGTTCGATTTCTACTTCAACTTTCTCTGGGGCACCCTCGATGACCCTGTTGCAGGCACGTTAGCCAGCCGCTACTTTGAGTCTCTGGGCTTGCCATCCTGCGGTGTCCGCAGCTGGGAACGGTCCAAGACGAAGAATGACTTCTATAAAGCCGCGAGACTCCACGGAACACCACCCGTTCCTGGCGCTGATCGTTTCCCGCTGTTTGTCAAGCCGGCTAATGGCTGTGCCAGCCAGCTGATTGACGAACACTCCGTCTGCCATAATCAAGAGGAGCTAGATTTGGCTCTTGGTCGCATCAACAAATCATTGCACGAGGCACGCGTTAGACGTGCACACGCTTTGGGTATAAAAGACCCAGTCGAGTACGCGAGCTCCTACGACCCTACCAGCCGGGACAACGACGACGTTGTTGTACAGCAGTACATAGACGGCAAGGACTATACTTGCTCTGTTGTAGAAATGGGCCAGAGCTGCATTGCCCTGACGCCATTCGTGTACAATACGAAGCAAACCACAAGCAAGGACAAGTTCCTTACCTTTGACTTGAAGTTCGACCAAGAGACTCGTATCGAGCTTCTGCAGAAGCAGCACAATCCCACCCTGTTCGAACGTCTTCAGCAAGTGGCCCTGGAAGCATTCACCATCAGCGGCTGTAAAGGCAGCAACATGGGGTGCGATGTTGATCTCCGCGCCACGACGACAGGAGAAGTCTTTGCCATCGAGGTGAATCCCCAGCCGGCAGCCTTCATGCCGGACGGGGTATTCCAGGATCTGCCCATTATACACAGTCTGCCAGGCGGCCATTCCGCTGTAATCAACATCTTCATCGCCAACCATATGCTTGGCCATCCGGACAAGTGGTCCCATCAACCAAAGATCGCGTCCGTGTATGACGGCTTCGCACCCAAGTATGACACACTTGTTAACCAAGCGGCCACCATGCTGGAATCGGCCAGGCGACTAGCTGGTCGGTTTGAATTCTCCGGAACGGTGCTCGATCTCGCATGTGGAACTGGAATCTTTGGCCGAGCGCTGGCGGAGAGCAAGAAATCCTCTTCTCCTGCCGTCGCCGTCTCAAGTCAGGAGTATCGCCTTCTAGGATGCGATATCTCCCCTGGGATGTTAGACATTTGCCGGTCATCCGGGGTATACGATAACCTTTTTACGGACTCCATGGAGTCGACACTACTCAGAATCAGCAACGAGGATCATGGCAAGAGCGTCGATCACATCACTTGTTTCTCGTCGATGCATTTTCTGCGCCCCGAGATGTTTTCCTTTGTCATGGTGCTGTGCTTCACCCTCGCTAACAAGTCCGTCACGATTAGCGTAGACGAGATCCCGGATGTCTATAATGAGAAGCTCAAGAAATCGGGACATGACTTTATGCATTCGACCAATCATCTCGCGAGCATGGGGTCGTTTTGCGAGCCTAAAGGCTGGCGTTTGGAGTGCAGAGAGACACAGTATTCCTGGACGTCGCCTGCCACGGGGGATCGCATTTACACCACCTATTTCAGATTTGAAAGAGTAGATGGTGATACTAGAGACGTTATGATCGGAGGCGTTCAACTTCCGAATTGAGGTGTTTCATACAGACGTCTAATTCGCAATGAGGAATGATTTTTGTTTTTCTGATGTCGAGATGATCTTTACAAGTCAGTGTGAATTAGCAGCAAAGCTTCAACTGCCTGCAGAGAATGTGCGGCTATTGAGGGATTTGCCTTGATCTGCTGCTTAATCTCCTGCGTAATATGTGCCTAACTCTATCGACTTCTCCTGTTGGCGTTTCGCCGTTGCCACGACAGTTCTCTGGCCATGATCGTAAACGTTTCTGAAGTCTGCATCTTCTTCGTAATGTCAATCTGTCATGAGAGGCACCGTGACAGAGCAAAGAGCGACGTTGACGGATACAATGAGAGGACATGCACGAGCTGGTTGAGTAGCACCGGATCAATTTAACTAGGGAAAGAAAGTGTGCGGCAAGTTAAGTGTGATACCAAGAAGATGACCGGCGCGGTAGTGCTTAGTAGGTGGCGCCTGGGCTCAGGTCACATCAATGGATCGATCAAATGTCGACTTCAATGTTAACAGTATGTCTGGTCTGGCGGGCCTGAACAGACAGTCCGGTGCCGCTTGCCAGTCGTGCTGCTCCGTGCTAGGCTCCTTTGGGGGCACTGGGTGTTCCCGGATATGGAACCACCAGACCACATACAGACAGTAGAGTCACTCGGCTTGGGGTCGAGGTGAATATGTCCTACCAGCTACTAACGTAAAATCCGGCGCGGCAACTGGGCTGAACCAACACCTCAACCGCCATTTCTGGCATGGAGTGTGACTGCACATCCAACGATCGAAACCGCCACATCGAAACCGATAATTGGCTAAGCAATTAAGCCCCCCGATTGAGTGACATCCCGTCCTTCCACTCTCCCAATCCACCTAAAATGCGACTCCAACTGGCGCTGGAATCATGGTGTCAAGTCTATAGTCTTAGCTAGTCTGTTGCGCTAGACAACGTTGTGGCTTGTCGCCGGGGGCAGGTAGTGAGTGATGGGTTTTTTTGTCATTTAATGATATAGATACATTACATGCCGTGGTATCACAGCTGTGGGATCATGACCAATCTGCAACCCTGGTGGTTCCGAATCTGGAAATATCCTAATTTTAGCAGGGGACCACTTGGCTACAGGTCATAAAAGGAAGAAACATGGCGGCGGTGTGTGCATCTTCTGTGCGGCAATATTGGCTGTTGAACTATGCCACTCGGCTACAGCCAAAAATCCCAAAAAGCCAGCTAAAAAAAAGGAAGAACGAAAGAGGTTAGTCCTCGTGATGTATAATTATCCAGTGCAGCTGGCACAGACGGGAATTTAACGGCGGCACAAACCCCGAGAACCGGACATGGATTCAGATGCCGAACGGCCGACGCAGCCCCACCAGACCTATCAAGGCCATGTGGAATGTGTGGAATCTTTTTGCGTGGCCAATTTCTAAGACCTAGTCGCCGATTACAAAGCCCCACCTCATCGAAGCACGCCAGAAGCTTCCCCCCTCCAACCGTCGTCATACTTAAGCAAGCAGCAGCTCCAGCTTGACCCTCGACAACCTACATCAAACAAAAAGGACAGCTTCAATCTTCGCACGCATATACGTACGAGCCACAGTCGCGCACATCCACAAGCCGCGTCAACCAACCCACGTACTCGAACAAGACCACGCACAACTTCAAAATGGCTCACGCAGCCCAGCACATCACCTCGCCCGAGGAGCTCGAGGCCCTCCTCTCGTCAACCACCTACGTCGTGGTCGACTTCTTCGCCGACTGGTGCCCGCCCTGCCGAACCATCGCCCCCATCTTCGAATCCCTGGCCGCCAAGCACAGCAAGTCGGGCTACTTGGCGTTTGCCAAGGTCAACGTCGACCACGTCCAGGCCGTGGCCCAAAAGTACCGCATCTCGGCGATGCCCACGTTTTTGTTCTTCAAGGAGGGCAAGCAGGTTGCCGTCAATGGCCAGTCCATGATTCAGGGCGTTGACCCCAAATCTCTAGGGGCCGCCGCGGAGAAGCTGGCTGGTTTGGCGGCCCAGAGGGCTGAGGAGGCCCAAAAGGCATAATGTGGCCGTTTTGGAGGGGGGAGGTTTGGATCACGGTTGTTGCGTTTCGGGATTTTGGCAGTTCGCCGGCGGCCTCATAGTGAGGCGGGCGCGCTTGGTTGATGCAGCTGTCTGTGTTTGTTATGAAGCATATGAATTATGGGATATTTCTCAAGTCGCTACGTCGTTTTAACATTCTGAATGTGAATGCTGCCTGTCGTGTCTATTTCTATCGTGAATCATGTCTAATGCGCGCTACCATCTAAAACTCTCCTCAAAATACTCTATCTGAGAAGGGAAAATGTCCAAGGCTTCTGTTACGGCCCTTCTGGCGTCGTCGGCCATTTTGGCTGGACCGCATGCAACGACGGCAAGAGTGCGTTCGCCTGCATCTTCCGCGGCGGCGAGAATAATCGCCGCGGCGTTTGGTCGTCTATAATGCCGTGACGCTTTGGGCGGCATGTTTGCGCCGATGTTTCTCTCCGTCTCGGCAGAAAAGTACAAGTCGATGGCGAAACTCGCATCGCCGAGAGCTTCTGCCATGTCATTCGACAGTACCTCCGCTGCGAACTCTGGCTCTCGTATCGCCCAGTGGATGTGGGTGGACGTTGTTTGCTTGTTGCGGCCCGTCAAGACCTTGAGATAGGACATGGGCACGACAACGCCGCTGCCTCCTACGACGAACAAGACGTGGTCGAACAGGTGTAGCGGCTGGCTGTGTCCGTACGGCCCATCTACCAGCACCCGTATTGACGCTGGCTGCGGGGAGTCCTCCGAGGCCAGATCTTTCAGTCGAGCTGTAAAGCTGTCGTATGGCCTGATGAGAAACGTGAGAAACTTCGGGTTTGGCTTGGCCATCTCTTGCTCCTCTGCACCGATTACATCTGACTCGAGGAGGGGGGCTTGCTCCCCGAAGGGCTTTCCTGGCAGATGCGAGTCTGAAACGGATGCCACGGTAAACGGGTGACTTTCCCAAAATCGCTTGTCGTCGATGACTGAGAGATAATAATACGTCCCCGGTCGAACTTTGTATGCTCTGAAATGACACGGAACGTGGAGCCGCACAATGTTTGTGGACAGGTTGTACGTTGCGGTGGCGACGGTTGGCTTTATCGTCGGGTTGAAGAAAATTATTCGGAGGATGCGTAGGACTCTGTCGAATACCCATATGAATACGGGGACCCAGAAGAAGGCGTCGTAATGGCCGTTGAAGATGGAAACGTGGCTAACAAGGTTAGCATTGCCCTCGGGCCCAACAGCCGAACCACTCACCCGAGCATAGTGACGAGGATAAATATCGACATGCCAATGTGTAATACGAGGAACAGCTCGTACTTTTGGCGCCGTAGCCAGTAGATGGAGCAAGCCATCAAGGCGCACATGAGCACCGTGGCCTGTCAATGTCAGCAAGTCTCCGTAACATGTGAAAGCAGAAAGACTCACCACTTCACCCGCGAGCCAGAACATTTGCGTCCACCACCAAGCGAAATATGTCCATCCTCCTTCTGAAACGGAGTCAATAGGAGAATCCAATAAACACCTGATTAGCTCTGACGTACCTTTCAGAATCAGCACCGTATACCCCAGCGAATGAACAACAGCCTGAAGAGTGGCAATCCTGGCCACCCAGCGGTGAAAGTTGTTATACGTGCCAAAGTCCCACCCCGTAAGCCAAATGGCAAAGTTGTTACGCATGCCAAAGAGCCAAATGATGGGGAAGTTGGCAAACGAAATAATCCCCGTCCGGTCGGAAACGTAGCGCAGCCACTGTCGTGTTGGTGTAGAGAAACTATCAAGGTCAGCCATGGTCGGGTCAAATTGGAATCAGAGCATAATCCGGCAGCACATACTAGAGATTGACGGGTGTGATTTTGTACCCGAATATGCTAAATGCAAGATTCATGATGGCAAACGCCGCAATTGTGAGACTCTGTATCCGAGGCGGAATCGTGCCGCACCACACTTCCGTGGCGCATCTGTACCCAAAGGTTGCGGGTATGACAATCCTGCTCTTCACCCATGTTGCCGTCTCAGAGCGGCGGCTGCGGTACAGTCGGTACGTTTTCAAGAAGCGGATGCATCCGAGTATGATTCTATTGCCAACACCTATAGCCAACACAGCCAACCAAAACAAAATCATGGAAAAGCCGTACAAAAAGTGGTGATGGGTGACATATCTGTACGCGTCCTTTTTTCCCCAACATTAGCTCAAGCTTCGCTGGCGCATATACAACACACAAGTAGACAGACAGCCCTTCTTACCAATGTGTCAAACCACGCTTTGTAAAGCTCAAAAGCCGGCACGACAACCTCCTTCACCGTGGCGTTGGGCGCAAACGTCTCACCGAGCCTGATGTGCCGCAACCGCTCAATGTCGCCCGGCGTGTAATTCGAAATGATGGAAATGGGAGGAAGCGCATCCATGTCGGACCCGACACACGTCTCGTTCAGGGCCGCAACCTCGGCGGCCCGCGCGTCCTGGTCGCAGAACATATCCAAGCACAGATACATGGACGTGACGGCCCTTTGGCTTCGGCACATCTCAACCCTTGACTTGGCGGGCAAGACCTCGGCGTCGCTGAAGTGCACTGGCGCCAGGGCATTCTGGCACGACTGAAGGCACAAGTCGGCGGATCGTCTGGGCGGCTTTGCTGCTGCAAGCCGGCCTACGAGGCACCAGCAGAGCGCTGATGCCAGACGCGCGGTTGGCATCATCTCATCTGTGCTGCGGGCTGCGGAATGTCGATTTACCAAAGTGAGTTGGATGCACTGCGCCCTTTTTTTAGTCTTTACGCGTTAGCTTGGCGAAGAGTCATCTGATAAGATTGATAAGCGCCCCACATCGTGGCCCCTTTGTGACGACGGAGACTAGGGCTTTTTTGTACATTTTGAATCTAACAAAGAACACGAAAAAGTTTTTATTAACGTTGATCTTTTTTAATAAAAAAAAATAACAATGATAATAACGATGATAATAAAATCTACGACTCTCCTCTAGGAGCCATCTACCAACCAAACGTTTCATCCATCAATACTAACCCTCCCCTCACTGTTGCACTGCGACCCAAGGTGCAGATGGTGTTCCGGACATCATCAGCCATTCCCGGCGGGCCACAGACGACGACTCCAATGGGACCCCGGTCTTCGGATCCACACGGCGCTGTCAGCTCTTCTCGAAGAATGGAGCCGACGTCCATCCGCGACCCAACGTGCGTTTCGATATCGACCGTGGCTGAAAGGCTGCTCATTTCGTCCCTGAAGACGGACCTGAGGCTGTCGTTGCGGATGCCCCAGCACAGCCGGGCTGGTCGATTTCCGTGCTGGCGCAGAATCGGCAAGACGGCGCTGAGGCCGACGCCGCCGGCTATACACAGGATCCGTGTGCACCGCGACAGCTGGCTCCCGGCCGAGGAGTGGTACGAGCCTTCGAGGAAAACAGGGATCCGGATCGGGCCCCCGGCGGCCGAGACTCTGGCGGCAAGGCGCGCCGTCATGCTTGACCGGACCCTGACGGCGATGGTCACCCTGGTCTTGCCCGACGGCCGCGTGGCGACTGTAGACGCAGTTGTGGACGGGGAGTCGGCCTTGGCCTCGACTTCGACCTCTGCGCTGCGAGTCGTCGTTCGAGCCGTCTTTTCCACGTCTGTCACGTGCAGGTTCTCCAGGCTGCCACCCGCGTCCGTCGCGTGGGCCGAGAAGGACGACGCGATGGAGAACGGGTGGTTTTCCCAGAACCGCCACGAGAGCGTTGGAAAGTAGAGGTACGCCACGCCCTCGGCAAAGGCGTCCTCGATGTCGATGCGGACATAGTCCCCGTCGGACCCCTCGACCGGCGACACGACCGCCGTCTTGAGGCCGGCCAAGCCCACGCGCAGCAGCCTGGCCGAGCGCTCCAGGAGCCAGACCGCAATCGCGACGAAGACCCAAATCTCATAGCCCCAGTTGTGCCTGTACCGCTCCCAGATGTGGTAGTAGTACCCGACGACGAAGAACACCACGAGCACCTGGTGCGTGCACAGGAACAGCTCGTAGGCCTTTTGTCTCACGACCAGGAGCGAGCTGGGCCAGAGCGCGGCGGCGCAGACCGTCGCGACGATGCCCCATGTCCAGTACAGCTTCGCCGCCTCGTCCTCGTACATCCCCTCGGCGACGTAGTACCCGAACAGCATGAGCGAGTGGATGACGGCGAGCAGGATGGTCCAGTACCCGAGCCACCTGTGCAGCAGGATAAAGGTGTCGTACGGCCAGTCCGTCAGCCACAGGAGGACGTTGTTCCTGGCGGAGAAGACGAAGAGCGCCACCATGTTGCCCATTGCCAGCACGCCGGCCCGGTTGCCGATTGTGCTAATCTCCATGGACTCTATGGACGGGAACGAGGTCTGCGGGAAGAGTGCCGTGTAGGGGGCCACCAGGAAGACCGTGTTGAGCACGGAGATGAGCAGGATGTAGAGCGCCTGTCCTCTGGTGGGCATCAGGCCGCCCCCCGTGTACGGGGACACGGGCTCGCGGTGCGATTTGCCCCATGCCGGCGGCTCGACGAGCATCGAGCTGATCCATTGCCATGTGCGGCTGCGACTGAGCCCCGGGACGAAGCGGACCAGAGAGAGAACCGCCGGCGCGAAGAGCGCCACCAGCAGAAGAACGAGGCTGCGCGTAATTTTCTCGTTAGAGGAATACAATATCACAGCGCGGTCAGAATCGTCCCCGTCGTACTTACGTGTATTTCGCGTGGCCGGCTTCGTTGATCTCGAACCCCTTGGCGCCGTTGTAGCTTTTGGTCCAGTCCTTCTGGGCCACCACGCTGGTGACATTGAGAGGGGCCCGAGGTTTGATGACGGGCAAGGGGCTGTCCACATGGTCCATTTCGTCGTGGTCGTCTTCGGAGCCATGGCTCCCTCCGTGTCGGCGCAGCAGCTGTCGCTTGTGGCCGTGGTGGTCACCGCCGCCGGCTGAAGTCTGATTGCGTCCAACAGCACTCTGCTCGTCAATCTTGGCAAGGCGAAGTGCCTCGCCGTAGGACATGGCCGGCTTCCACTCGAACTTTGCCACGGTGCTGGAAGCCAGATGCGACTCCCAGTAGTCCTCGATCTTGGCGAGTGAAGGGTGGTCAGACTGGCCGCAGTACATGCTAATGCACAGCGCCAGCGTGCGCATAAAAGCCTGGTCGGTTGTGAAGCATTCCGGCGGTGTCTCTGCGTCTTCTCCCTTTGGCGTACACAGCAGCGGGCAGGATGAAATCGAGGCACGGCAAGCAAAAGCGCAAGGAGGGTTGTACATTGTCTTGCCTAGCCCTACCATTCCTGTTCCGTCGGCGGCGGCCAGCCCTGCCTGCAGGACCAGCCCGCAGGCGATCCATTTGGACGCCATTTTCCGAATCTCGAGTTGTTGCTCCTGTTGTCTGTAGACGGAGCAAGGCTGGTATCGAATCTCGCCGGCAGTCTTCCGGTCCTCATACAATGTTGACAGCTCGTGAGGACTGTTGGCAACATCAGCTCGGCGGTATTTTTGCTACGCGGTCTAGACGGACAGGAGTATCGGGAGTATTTATTTGAGGCTGTGGGCTGGTGTTGTTTACTGCCAAGACGACATCTTGTCATGTTTAAACCCTTCCATCCCCGACATGTTGCTCATTTGCGCTCAGAGTATCCGCAAAGGGACTATGTCGAGTCAGACGTCTGGGGTCTGCTTGTGGGTCGAAAGTCCTCAGGGCTGAAGGAAACCAGGTTACAAAATCGATTTTCAAGTTTGAAGGGAGTCAGCGTGGTGTCGGTCTTTGTAGGGCATCATTAATTTGTTAACTGCCATGACTGGCCGTCGGCTTGGCTGGTGTAAGTCAGGCCCAATCAGAGTCGCACCGCGACGGTGATTCAGGAAACCAGGGACAAGTCACTGGTAGTACATATCTACATGCGTGTGATTGTTTCCAGAAGATATCTTGGTCATGCAAAATAGTGGAGAGATGACCTTCCATCGTCCAATATCCCGGCTGGCAGTTACTTGGCAAAGAAACAGCAAAACTCCACGTGCCACGTTTCAGTTGAATAGAATTCGGGCGGCTTTGTCTTCTTCATTGGTATCTAATCCACCTCGACGCATTGGCACCATCTTGCAAAAATAATAAAAATAAACTGGGGGGCCCGAATGCGATGTCGATATAAACGGAGTTGTCATTCATGCGCGACAACGTACGAGACCGACAGTTACCGACCAGGCATCAGTCAAGTTTCTTGCGCCGCAACCTAAAGATGCAAATTCATTCTATTCGAAAATACACCATAGCTCTATGTAACCAAAATTGCACCCTCACCAGCCATCCGGCATCAACACATTCTGCTAGCTTGATTGAACAACCGTACACAAAAATCTCGATAAAGTCAATGGCTCCAACGCCACATGGACAGATACGGGGTCATAGCGAAGGAGAGCAGGGGAATTTGCATTGGCAGGGGGCCGCAAATTCTTCAACATCTCCGTTTCAACTTACTTTAAAGTTATACAGTTCCTGTGATTGGCTCGCGGGTGAGAGAATAAGAGCAGGTTCTTTGACAGCAAATCTCCACATAATTACTCCAGCGTGTCCAAGCAAACCAAGGTTGACGGTGGAGAAGAACTTGCAACTGAATTTGATCCCGGTGCAAGGGAAGCAGACTGCTTGTTCTATTCAATGTAAGACACGATGCGTTTAGGCCTCCTACAAGAAGAGGCCATATTTTGGTTGGTCGTCTTCATTTTCCCTTGCAGCAAGATGCACAATGAAGGCTTTTTGAAACATTCTCAAGACGACCCAAATGTCTTTGCATTGCTGCCCTTTGTAAATGAAATGTACGGGGTATCGTAAAACGTATTGACAAGAAGCTCAGTTAACATTTCGCCCCGTCTCGAATCACGGAAGTGCTCGGAGGCTACATGCACACAACCCCAATGCTTGATATACCGCCCTGGGAAGTGTGAGCCGTCATTGTGCCAAAGAAGCCTACCATGATTCTTCCCGTCTCGCATGGACTTTGCGTAATGTCGTAAATGTCTACTTTGTCTTTGCTCGGCGTATCCTCCGAGCTGCTAGTATTCTCTGGGTTGCTAGTAGTCCGCGAGCAGATTGTCTGGCCCTTATTGGTGAAAATCTATATTTCCACACGTCAGATAACTAAGAGCAATAAATAAACAAACGTCGACGGCTCACCTGGAGGCTCACTAGTATCTTGGTCCAAGGGTCAAGGACACTCTCGACTCTGGTAATCCGCTCTCCTCCTGCGCCATCAATGGCCAGCGAAACCATGGCCAGGTCTTCCCCGAGTTTGAGTCCGTAGCGTGGCCGGGTGAATTCCACTTGTTCCATTCTTTCGCCGTCCTGATCAAAATGAAAAGCTACAGAGCGCACATGCTTGTCTGCTCTGATGACGACCTTGTTGAGGTGTCGCAGCCGCTCTCCTCGAGATCCGCCAAAGATACAATAATGATACGGCTGCTGCAGGGGGCGGTCAGCCTTATTCAATCTAACGAATTTCAAGCCCAGCGGTGGTAGGTCTGGGTACCAAGTCTCCTTTCCAGGCACTATGCGCAGATCTACTTGCTGGTCCTCGCGCCGGACCTCCCGTGCAAAACCTTCGTCATCTTGCGAGACGGAGGGCCACGGATCAGAGGTAGAGCATATGGCGATGCCGACGAGTTTGAATCCCTATATTCAGTCAGTTAGTCATAGCACATTCTGATTTGGGGGGGACGGGTGGCAACTTGCATCGAAACTGCACCTGATCTGCTTCACACATCGCGGGACGGGATTGCCGTCGTCAAAGGCAGCAGTAAGCCTGCGCTTTGGAAGCCCTGTATGCTCCCCTACCCATTCAAGAGGCTTCCCAGACTCTGTAAGAAAGCGCAAGCCCCGAACCCCGAGATTATCCAGGGCGATATCGAATCCTGTGATGAATTCTCCCGCCCTGCTCTGATAACCGCAAGAGGGTGTTGAGTAGTCCTTGGAATGAAAGTAGCCCAGCGTCCTCTCCTCGTTATTGGCACCGTAGAGTCGAAGTCCAGATATGTAACGCTGATTAGAAACCGTGGTGAAAGAGAAAGCAACATGCCTTAGGTCGTCATGAAGCTCGATGTTTTGATCAACTATCCCCGTTATATTTGGCACCATACACAATGCGATTTTGTTGTCATGGCCATCGTTCTGCCAGAAGGCCTCGTCGTTTGTAATGTCTGATGGTGAGCCTCTCAGGAGCTTGGAGTTTTCATGTCTTTGATGTATGAGATGGCACATTCGGTGAGTCAGTCGCAATATTCGTCTCCGGTTGATAGCCGCGCGACAATTGTGGTACTTGATGCACAGCTGATACCAAAGATTCCACCGGTCGCCCAAGCCACGAGGCATCGTCTCGTACACATACCAGAGATCACTATCCGGAGCGAACCGAGACTCCCAGAATCCGAGGAACTTTTGGGAATCGGTAAAGATTGGATCCGCCAGTTGGAGGTTCCTCACGCTACCACTATGTAGATAAAGGAGAATCTCCGCGATGACTTCGTTTGGCAGCGTTCGCATGGCAACGATTTTCGTTCTTCTCGCGACGTCTCTTTGGTGCATATGCTAATGCTGTTTTGTGCATCTTCAACAGGGTTGGGGTGATGTTCAAGTCTCGCCATCATCTCATGCAACTCTGGCAGGTCATTCGGGTCCATAGGATTCTCGGCATAGTGGCAATCTCTCCCTAATGAGAAAGACTCTCCGCTATACAAGTTGAAAAAGCCATCCTCCCCCTCGGGTGGCGCGAGCGGTTGTAGCATTTCATGATTGTGTCCCCAGAAGGCGCCTTCGTTGCTTAAAGGGAACGATGTGCAGACGTCAAAGATGGCCTGTACATCTGCCGTCATGTCCAACCCCCTCTGGACTTGGCAAAGCATTTTATAGCAGGGTTCGTGAATTGGATAACCAGGCCGTATTGGTCCTTCGTGGAAGGGGCGGAAGCCATATAGCAAGCCATGATACTCTGGCCGTTCGTTGGTGGTTACGCAGGCAATAAGCATAGGATGTTCCAAGTCATTCTGGATCCATAGAAAGCCATCATCGTATGGAAGAAGATTCGAGAGCAGGACATCAGCGGTCGGCGTATTGCGATTACTGCGTACTTGGGTCATTAGTTGTCACGGGACAAGAACGATATTCGGGTGCAAGACGACCTACATGTCATCAGATGGTGCCTTTTTATACACTGCAACATATTTGTCTACATTAGCATCTACTTCAACACTAGCCAGGCGAGTTGGGTAGATTCCATACTTACCAGCGCGGACTTGATGTCCTTCAAGGATCGCGAAGCCACACAGAAAGCATGTTGTGGAAGGCATTATAGAGTAGTTAACAACTTAGATCCATCTAAAGTGATAAAAATAAAATGAAACAACATGACGTTGCCAGTATGCACGGTAAATGAAGTAATAAGGCTGAGTGCCCAGGATGGAGAGGAGCAGCACATTTTAAATGGTAGACAAGAATTCGCCTGCAGTAAAGTCGAGCTGCAGAGATGCAGGCAGTCGCCATGTTTAAGAGGAATACAGGCATAGTTCAGCAGATATTCGCCTGTTCTCCAAGCCTAGAGCCTTCTTCATGGGCGATTTTCCCTGTCTGTTTAATGGTTCATTAACGGCACAGATCAGTCCAAGGCGACCTCACTCCTGATGCCCTTGATTGTCGGCCATCTGTTCAGCTTCTGCTCTCGGACTGTTCTTGCAGAGTGCTCATATGCTTGGCCCCTTAGTTACGAGTGAATATCATGAACGACTATTCAGCGCATTCGTCGTGATACACTGGTTCGCCACTGCAAAAGCCGTGTTCACACTTGCCTCGTAGCCCGCCTTTACACGAGAATCACGGCAACGTCACAGATGTCTCCGTTGCATAGTACTCTACCATCAACAAATTCTGTGTAAAAAACCATCAAGTTCACCACCGGGCAGCTTATCTGCCAGCTATCCTTGAACTTGGAACACGACACTGTGACAGCAGAATATCTCCTTGCGCACAAGGCAGTTCTCACCAGCATGAAGGACTGCCGACAAACAAAGAAGTTGCCACAACGCCAACATCACACTCGTCAAAGAACTAGGCGGCCATGTTCACTGAAGCAACCTAGGTTCAGAGCTTTGATCTTCTCAACCTCATGACAAAACAACCTATCCGATGGGTTGACAACAAGAGATAGGCCATAGCTTCGAGCCTAAAATCAGGCGCATACTTGTCCATGAACAAAAGACCTTAATACATTGTCCGCTTCAACGGCCTGCCTGCCGACCAAGCCACCAAATCATCCACCTGCTGCTCGTAAAACCCATTAATGCTTCTCTCCTCGACGTAGGCAACGTGCGGTGTAACCAGCACCTGGCTCTTCCCATTCGTGCCCCAATCCGGCCTCCGCCACTCGCTATCGCCCGGCAACGGCTCCAGATCAAACACATCCAACGCGGCGCCTCTAATCTTGCCAGCCTCGAGAATGTTGAGCAGGTCCCTCTCCACCACCAACGGCCCCCGCGAGGTGTTGACGAAGAAGGACGACGGCTTCATCCTGGACAAGTCTGCCTCCGTGACCAAGCCCCTTGACCGGTCGGACAGAACCAAATGGACACTCACCACGTCCGCCGCGCTGAACAGCTCCTCGCGGCTGACGGCTTTGAAGGTCTTTTCGCCGTTGGCCTGTTCGACGGGCAAGCCCTGCTCCTTGACCTGGGCATCCGCCGCCTCCTGAGTCAGGTTGGTGCTCCACGCGATAATCTTCATGCCGAAGGCGAGATTCATGATGCGCGCCACCGCACCGCCTAGGCGGCCTAGACCAAGGAGGCCGAGCGTTTTGCCGGATACGCCGGTGACGGCGTCTGTTTGCCAGGCGCCGGCCTTGACGGCCGCGTCATTCTTCGCAATGTTTCTAGTAACGCTGAGAATCATGGCGATGACGTGCTCGGTGGTGCTGTCTACCGGCCCGGCCTGGGTATCCGTGGCGGCGGTGACGGGTATGCCGCGCTTTTGCGCAGCATCCATGTCAATAGCCTTGTTGCGGCGGCCGCAGCTCAGGATGAGTTTGAGGTTGGGAAGGCGGTTTATGAGATCGGCTGGGAGGGGTGTGCGTTCCCGCATCGTGGCTGGAATGGTGAGCTACGAGCTGATTATTTCCGAGTGTCGCGTCTGAGGGGAGAGGGAGCTCACAAATGACATCAAACGGCTCCAGTCTTTTAACAATTTCATCTTTGACAGTTTGCGGCGTATTTGGATGATTGTAAGGAAGGAGGGTATCCGGGATATAAGTAACGGCAAAGTTGGCGTCGAGCTTGTCGAAGTGAGGGGGTGCGAAGCTCTGGTAGTCGTCGAGCACAGCTACGTTTGTGGCCATGTTGGCCAGTCGGTTAAAAAGAATACCAACTTTTTGCAATTCGACACAATTCAAAGTGGGCGATGTTCCTGTCCTTGTCACCTTGATATAATAGTTCGTGATTGATAAGCAAAGGTAATAATAGTTCCTGAGGCTTCGGGTGATTGCGCCATGTCCGGAAGTGCACACTGTGTGATACTGGCCAAGTCGCACCGTGTAACCCAATAGTTGCTTACACGGAGGTGATTGTTTTCACGTCCGTGTATTTCAACATTGAAGATGAATTATTGTAGCATTAAGCGATCAGTATATATTTTTTCGGCGCTTCATGTATCCTGGTGCGCCCCCTTGCCTGCGGTTGTTGGACCAGCATCTCCATCCAACAAAGTCCAATTTTAAATCTTACTCGGCCTCGAACCACCGTCCAACCTGATGACAGTGCCATTAAGCATAACATTCTCAATCGAGTGCTTCACCAGCCCTGCAAACTCCTCCGGCTGCCCCGACCTCTTGGGGAATTCAAATGTGGCCTCCAGCGACTTCCTCACCTTCCCGCTCATCATGCTAGTCATTCTCGTCTCAAACAGCGAGGGCGCAATCGTCACGACGCGAATACCGAAGCGCGCAAGATCTCGCGCCATGGGCAAGGTCATGGCGGCAACGGCGCCCTTGCTGGCCGAGTATGAGATCTGACCCTTTTGGCCGTCGAAGGCGGCGGAACTGGCCACCATGATGACAATGCCGCGCTCTCCGTCCGGTCCCTCCTCTGTTTTGGCGATTTCAGCCACGCCCTGGCGGACAAGGTCCAGAGTCCCGCGCAGGTTGACGCCCAGGACGAAGTCGACGTCGTCAAGGCTGAAGGCGGCGCCATCTCGATCAAGGATCTTCAATAAGTCAGGGCTTTCGTTTCTCAGCTTGTCGGCCTTGAGTTCTTTTCAACATACCGTGGCCGGAGTCGAGACTCCCGCAGCAGGTATGACACCTCCAATCGGCTTGTTTGAAGCCTTGGCCCACTCGGCTGTGCCTTGAACAGCCTTTGTGATACTCTCCGTGTTCAAAACATCGCACACGAAGAATTTGGCAGATGACCCAACTTCTTTGACAAGTTCATGGCCATCTTCATTCATGTCAAGGATGGCAACATTGGCGCCGTTCTTGATGAGTTCAAGAGCGCATGCTTTGCCCAGGCCGGAGGCTCTGCAGGTCATGTCAGTAAACATGTGAAAGGTCGTGGCAACGGGGTGGCTGCATACCCTCCGGAAATGAGAAACGTGCGGTTTTCAATCTTCATAGTGAAAGGATGCTGCTCGAATCTAGGGTCGGACGCATGAAATTCTCTTGAAACTGAAAGTGAATGAGGAAATGGATGTGCTCGGTTTGTGGTCACTGGTCACCAGGTTGAGGAACCTCGGCTGAGAAGCTTCCTTGTAGCCACGCAGTAAGCCATTGCCCCGTAAATTGCCTATTTAGGTCAGCTATCTCAATGTACAAAGCATGAAGGCAGTATCCGCCTCGGTTTGTGGCGATGTTTAGAGTACGGCTTCATGGCATGATAGCTTCTTCATTTGCGTACGTGTTCCATAACGAAAAATACAGGAAGCCAAATTATTGTTATTGCCGCGGGTATCGAAAGCAGCGTACCACAATATTTGCCCGTTTGTGCCACTTTTCAAAGGTTACTCAAAGGAAGGGTAAATGTGTATCTTCCCCTTTGAGCACACATGCAAGGGTTGGAAAACTTTTGTTGTTTTATTCATGTATCTTGTTTCTTGCCTTATGAACATGAAATTTATGTGTAGCTCCGGGCCTAAGATCTCGTCGATCAAACGCATATGTGACAACTCGAGGGCTCACTCTACCGGCCAATATGCTTAGTCATCTTCACCGACGTCGCGTCATGCGCTGCCACGAGATGCGCATCATGTCATGTTCATCTCACGTCGCTAATCAATCCACACTCCTCAGCCACCAGCATCTTTTTGCTCGCCGCTGGTCGAGATTTTCAACATCAATCACCCATGCGCATTCAACTCAACTTGCAACTGAATCGCTCAGGCTGTATGCACACTGTTGCCCACTATGGCGAGGCCACGAGGTTCCTCTGGTGCCAGTGACGAGAGCACGGGTACGTCCCACGATCAGGTACGCTTGCGAGGCCTCGGAATGTGCGGAATAGCTTGTTGTGGCGCTGACGACGGATGCAGGAGCTAGGGAGCATGTATGATTATCTAGCCAAGATTATACTTCTTGGACCCAGTGGCACGGGAAAGTAAGTAGGCTTTGGACTTGCAAAGTATATGCCTCGGACCTTATGGGAGCTCCGCTTACCGGCTTGCGACAGATCCTGCCTATTGCATCGCTTCGTCAAAAACGAGTGGCGCGTTTTGTCGTCACAAACAATCGGTGTCGAGTTCGCGAGCAAGATTATCAAGGTCGGAACGGGAGCGCGGAGGAAGCGAATCAAGCTCCAAGTACGAGGATAACTCTCCCCAAATCCTGCCTTGTCTGCCAGTGTGCACTCTAACCAACTTCACTCAGCTATGGGATACTGCCGGCACGGAAAGGTTTCGATCGGTTTCAAGATCATATTACCGCGGAGCGGCTGGTGCCATCTTGGTCTATGACATTACATCACATGCATCCTTCCGGGGTATTCAACCATTTCTCAACGATGCGCGGGCGCTTGCATCACCAAATTTGAGTCTGATGCTTGTTGGGAACAAACTTGACCTTACTTCTGAGTCGTTGATCGATACAAGCTTGCCACCGCCAACACCCAGCAGTGTTGGTTCGACCTCTACAATAACGGCCGGTGGTGCGAGTTCACTCTCAATATCTACCACGAGCACAACCGGAACAATCACGGGAAGGGACTACGGCGGCTCCATCGGCGCTGGTACGCAGCAACGAGCAACGATTGCGCCTGACGGACGAGAAATCAGCACCTCGGAAGCAACCCGATGGGCGAGCACTGCTGGGATCCCTGTAGTCACAGAGGTCAGTGCGTTGAATGGAGAGGGCGTAGAAGAAGTGTTTGCCCGCCTCGCGCGAATGATATTAACCAAGATCGAGCTGGGGGACATCGACCCCGACGATCCCATGAGCGGCATACAATACGGCGATGGTGGTGGCTGGAACACGGCCAGTGACGGCGGCAGTATTAAGAGCTCCATGACCGGTGCCACAATCGACGACAACATAAGCGGCCTACGACGTCGCAAGCGGGGGAGGAACAGGAATCAGAACTGGGGGTTAAGGGAGTGGGAGGAAGTGTTTACGCTAAGCAGTCGTAATCGAAGAGGTGGAGGATGCTGCTGATCGGAGAGACGTATGTGCGGTCGACTGTGGGAGAAGCAAGAAATACCTGGCTAGTCAAGCCATTTGGCAAGTATTCGTTTTCGAGTCACCGATCATGCATGTTGCTGTGTGCCATTCCATTTGTTACGTTCAGCGTTGCCGGCGTTGGGGAGAATAGATGTCTCGAGGAGAGACACTGCTGGAAGAAAGCAGCTGAGGGGCGGTTTTTGTTTCTCTTTTCCTGGACTGAAGACACCCTTATTGTCCTCGTCCTGATTTTGTTCGCCTTGGCATACTTTACCCCTTACCTATGACATCCTATGAGCACATAATAATGGACCGAGCCATTCGCTACGGGTTTTGCAGTATATGTATTACTCAACATTTCTGTATTCCAAATCCTTTACAAACAAATACCATCTCGGTGTATTCTGCACGGGGCAGGCCTGTCTTTGCATGTGTCACGTCTCCATCAAACGCATAGAGCCACGGGACGGCGGCGGGGCAGTTGGTGGATCGGGGCGTAGAGCTGGCGGCATCATGAATTCCCGTCTAGGGTCAGTCCAACTCATCGCGCCGGATATATGAAGGACAACACTGGGTGACGAAGCATCTGGTGTCACGATGGAAGGGACACGCTTATAAGAATATCATGGTGTTGTGCGCAATCGGCATCACTGTCGATACTTGCATGCCATTTGTCTTGGCTCAAGTCGTGAACCAATTTCTCGGATGCTCCTTCCCCAACTGCCATACCAGAGCTACCTGCCCCTCACTGCCCCTCCAGTGTCACCCGCCAAGCGGTCAACTTCTCAAGCGCAATCTCTCTAGGTGAAATATCTCATAGAGTTGGTTCTGGCAAAACCCAACTCTAATTTTTTCCCCTCATCAGCCTCTTTATGTCTATCGTCGCCAACCGCAGTCTATCTATTTGAACAGGGGTCGCAAATATCCTCAAAATGCTTACGCGAACTATTATTCCCATTAACCAGAATTGGCAGTTCAAACAAGCCGAGAAGGATGATGCTTCCTACCTGGCCGTGTCTCAATTTCCCACACACATTCATCTTGATCTTCTCCACCATAAACTCATTCCAGATCCTTATATTGGCCAGAACGAGAACGAAGTTCAGTGGATAGGCGAAACGGCCTGGACATACAAAACAATCTTCTCTTCACCAGGGACCAATGGCAGGGCAAAGGCCGTACTTGCCTTCGATGGGCTTGACACTTTTGCCACAGTGGTCCTGAACGGCAAGATAATACTAGAAGCTGACAACATGTTTGTTTCTGAAAGGGTTGATGTCAGCGATGTATTGAGAAAGACTGGTGATAACGAGCTGGTCATTACGTTTGACGCTGCGTACCTTCGTGGCTGGAAGGAGATTGAGAAGCATCCGGATCACAAGTGGGGTTGCTGGAATGGGGATATTTCTCGTCTTGGTGTAAGGAAATCCCAGTACCATTGGGTAAGTCGGATTATTCACATGACATAGCCCAAGGCCACAGAGTGCTAATATCTTGCAGGGCTGGGATTGGGGTCCCGAACTAATGACCTGTGGTCCCTGGCGACCGATTCACTTGGAATTGTACGAATCTCGCCTGGCCGACTTGCATGCTGAAATTGATGTTGAATCTTCTCTCAAGAGCGCCAGAGTAGTGGCCCATGCTATAGTTGAGGGTACCGCATCGCATGTCCGCTTTAACATATCTTTCGGCAATAAGAGTGTCTCGTCCGAGACAGTTCGCATCAAGGACGGCGAGGCTGTGGCTACATTCAAGGTCCAGAACCCGGAGCTCTGGTATCCAATTCGATACGGCAGCCAGCCACTCTACACTATTAAGTCGACGTTACTAGACGAAAGTGCCGAACTGGACTCTTCGTCCAAGAGGATCGGTCTGCGCAAAGTTGAGCTAATCCAGCGGCCTCTCCTTGACCAACCGGGAACGACTTTCTTCTTTCAAGTGAACAACATTCCTATTTTTTGTGGAGGCAGTAACTGGATTCCTGCAGACAATTTCATACCTCGTATATCCAAGGAACGATACTACGATTGGGTCAAGATGGTCGCGAATGGCAACCAGTTCATGCTGCGTGTATGGGGCGGGGGCATCTATGAAGAAGAACCTCTTTATGATGCTTGTGATGAGCTTGGTATCTTGGTCTGGCAAGACTTCATGTTTGGCTGTGGAAACTACCCAGCGCATACTAGCTTCCTGAAATCAGTCGAGCGAGAAGCTCGTCAAAATGTCAAGAGACTGCGCCACCATCCTTCAATAGTTATTTGGGCTGGCAACAATGAAGATTATCAGTATGCTGAGAGTGAAAAGCTTGGCTATGATCCAAAGGATGAATATCCCGACAATTGGCTACATAGCAATTTCCCTGCGCGATATATTTACGAAAAAGTCCTACCAGACATATGCAGGGAATTGATTCCAAGCACTTACTATCATCCAGGGAGTCCTTGGGGTGGTAAAAACACCACCGATCCAACGATGGGGGATATTCATCAGTGGAACGTCTGGCATGGCTCACAGGAGAAGTACCAAAACTTTGACAAGCTCGTTGGTCGATTCGTTTCCGAATTCGGAATGGAGGCATTCCCATCCATTAAGACTATCGAATCGTACCTACCCAAGGGTAAGAATGACCCTGAACGATTTGCTCAGTCTGCTACCGTCGACTTCCATAACAAGGCTGCTGGCCATGAGCGCCGCCTCGCCTTGTACTTGGTGGAGAATATTCGCTACGCCCCCGATCCTTTGGAATACTATATATACTGCACGCAGTTGATGCAAGCTGAATGCATTGCGTCGGCGTACCGACTATGGAAGCGAGAATGGAGAGGTCCCGGTCGCGAGTACTGCGCCGGCGCTCTCGTGTGGCAAATTAATGATTGTTGGCCAGTGACATCTTGGGCGATTTGCGACTATTATCTGCGCCCAAAACACGCATATTACACGGTCAAACGAGAAATGGCACCCATTTCGGTTGGCATGACACGACGAGAGCACACTCATGCCAAGGACAAGTATACTCGAGTTCACATTGAGAGGGAGATCAAGATTGAGATCTGGGGCTCCAACCTGAATCTGGAAGACTTGACAGCAGACTGTGTCGTAAAGGCTTGGGATGTAGAAACTGGACGTGAAACATACTCACACACTGTCTCTACAAGGCACTTCTTCCCAGCCAATGCTTCAACCGAGATCATCTCGATGAACGTCCCCGTCACCAACAAGAATGTAGGTGAAGAAGGTAGAACTGTGATGGCGGCATATCTATACCAAGAGGGCAAACAAATCGCCCGCTATGTCAACTGGCCAGAGCCACTGAAGTACCTGCACCTTCAAAAGCCAAAGCATCTGAGGGCGCAACTTTGCACGACTAGGGATGCAATTGAACTCAGTGCCGAAGTGCCAGTCAAGGGCGTCGCCGTGGAGTGCGACGACGACAACGTCAAGTTTGATGATAATTTGATCGACATTGTGCCAGGTGAAATTGTGTCTATCGGTGTAAAGGGAGTTATCAAGGACACTAAATTTACGACACAATACTTGAACATGTTGGGCTGAAGGTAAACATGGTTGAAAATCACTAAATCCATAGATTCATGGGTGTGTTAGTTGAAATAAAAAACTTAAAAGCATGGCCAGTATAGCCGATTATGTCAAGATGTTAGACTAGCCACAATGAGGTGCTATTCAACCAGAATGGCGAATACGGGGATGGAATGACAAGATGTGCGGAGTCATTAATCAGCCAAGTCCGTTGGCAGAATTCATAAATAAGCCAACCACTTGGCAGCCACCAAAAAAAGATGGCAATCCCGTAACTATGCAGGCTTGATTGTGAGAAGTGTGTGTGGGAATCGGGGAGATGGTCTGCCGTGGAGGTTGATTAATAATGCCAATTAGAGCACCACGTATAAGTAGTGATTCTAGGTGTGGTTGAATAAATAACTTCACAAAGCACCAGACGCGCGATGGCAAACCCCACGGCTACACCAGAAGTCGCTCGCGGCCAACATCACCATTTCTCGTCTTGGCCTCGCTGCCCGGAATAACACGACTACATCCAAAGTGTCAAGCGCAAACCAAGCTCCCCAACACCATGGCGCCCATCCGCACCGCCATCATTGGTCTGTCCTCGACGGCCGCCACGTCATGGGCGTCAACTGCCCATTTGCCCTCCCTCGTCACGCCCGCCGGCCAGTCCAGATTCCAAATCGTCGCGCTGCTCAACAGCTCCGTGTCGGCCGCCGAATTTGCCATCAAAACGTACGACCTGCCTCCGGGGACGAGGGCGTACGGGTCCCCCGAGGACCTCGCCGCCGACCCGGCCGTCGACTTGGTCATCTGCAGCACCCGCGTGGACAGGCACTACGAGACGGTGCTGCCTAGCGTCCGGGCCGGCAAGGACGTGTACGTGGAGTGGCCTGTTGCCGCGACGGACGCCGACATCAGGAGCCTCGCGGACGAGGCGCGGAGGAGCGGTTCGACGGCGCTGGTCGGGCTGCAGGGGCGATGGGCCGCCCCGGTGCTCAAGCTGAGGGAGCTGTTGGACGCGGGGGCCATTGGCAAGGTGCTGAGCGTGGACGTGAGGGCGTACGGGGGCACCAAGGACAGGGAGACGCTGCCCGTGGGGTTGAAGTATTTTGCGGACAGGGGCGTCGGCGGGAATCCAATCACGATTGGGTTCGGACACGGTGAGTTTTTAACCCTTTTGTTTCTGATGGCCCGGCGTTGCTGACGACGGCAGTGTTTGACTTTGTGCAGTCTGTTGTCGGGGACGTGGTGCCCGAGACTACGGGTTCGCGACTCCAACTGCAGCGGCGGCGGGTTCGGGTTCGTGATCCGGAGAACGGGGAGGTGGTTGAGACGGTGCGGTCGAATGTTCCGGACTTGCTTTACTTGCATGGTACGTACCTTTTCACGTTGCGCGACGGAGCGGGCAGCTGAGATTGTGTAGGTCGCCTGGCGGAGTCTCCTCGAAATGATGCCGATGCCACGCTGGCATTCACGTTTCGTCGTGGGCAGCCGTTTCCGGGGACGCCGTCTCTGGCATGGAGCATCTACGGGGTCGACGGCGAGATCCGGCTGGTTGCGCCGGCTGGCATTTCGCTACAGGCAGATGCTTGCGATGAGTCGGTGACGATCCAGGTGCATGATTTCGACACGGACACGGTGCGAGACGTCGAGTGGGATTGGACAGATGTCGAGAAGCAGGTTCCTGTCCGGGGGAGGTCGGTGCAGAGGGTGCTGTATGCGTATGCGGATTGGAAGCAGGGCAAGAGTGATGGCGCAGGGGCTTGGGTTGGTGTTGACGATGCGGCCGCGAGGACTTCCCAGATTCAGAAGCTATTAGACGGGTTTGAGGGCTGATTGTATCTGAAAGGGTTCATGCAAGGCCGGACAAACTTGACGATGGATGCCGCCACGCGAAGAACACCAAGTGTATACGGTGGTGCTGTATTTGAAATGCAACTTGGATATTATTAGCCAGTGTCCTGATAGTAGTAATCGTCCTGCTCGGGGATTTATACCGACACTGTACGGAGTAATAAGCAACAAGGGTTTGTAAGAGTTCAATGTTGCCGCCAGATTTGACTAAGCCTCCACCACCACCGCCGGACCTCCGGCAAGAAACATGGATCTGACGCATCCACATCGGGACTCGCGGAAGCGGAGTGGATCCCTGGCTAGTGCGTGTACGTGTACTCGGTGGAAGTACTTGGTATACATGCACGTATAAGCCAACGCCTCCCCCTCCAGCCTTATTACATCATACGAAGCCCTTTTTGTCCTTTTGTTTTCCCAAACAAGCCGCTCCCAAGCCCTACCAGCACGGTACAAGAGCGCGTCGACAATGCAAAAGGTCAAGTCGAAATTGCCCTCGTGGGACACCACCAAGACCCAGAGCAAGAAGGGCTTCGACAAGGCATGGGGACTGCTGGATAAGCTCGGGGCGCCGGTCAACCGGTGGACAAACAAGATTGGCAGCGAGGCATTTTGGCCGACGACGCTGGACAAGGAGAGTTACAAGGCGGCCAGGATCCTGAGATCATTCTGCAGTGAGCATCCTTTCGCTCTGTGCATCTTTCCACCCCCCCTTTACTAACGTGAAACGCAGAGGACGGCTTCTACACAGACGACGAACCACCTACCGACCAAGCCGGGCCGAAAAAGGCGCCCAAGGTCATCAAAAAGATTCCCCAAAAAGTCATAGAAAATGCCGTCGGGCTCGCCATATTCACCACGATGCGCACCGGGCTCTGGATCTCTGGGGCTGGTGGTTCTGGCGTGCTGGTCGCCCGTCAAGAAGACGGCACGTGGTCGCCGCCGTCGGGCATCATGCTGCACACGGCCGGGCTGGGATTCCTCGTCGGCGTCGACATCTACGACTGCGTGCTGGTCATCAACAACCGCAAGGCCCTCGAGGCGTTTACCAAGATCCGCGCCACGCTCGGGGGCGAGATCTCGGCCGTCGCCGGGCCCGTGGGAGTCGGCGGCGTCGTCGAAAACGACGGCAAGTGGAAGCAGGCCAACAGGCCCGTCTTCACCTACCTCAAGTCGCGGGGCTTCTACGCGGGCGTCCAGGTCGACGGCACCGTCGTCATTGAGCGCAGCGACGAGAACGCCCGGTTCTACGGGGAGAAGATTGGCGCGGCGGACATCCTGGCGGGCAAGGCGAGGCACCCGCCGCCCGAGATCAAGATGCTCATGGAGACGCTGAGGGCGGCCGAGGGCAAGGCGGACGTGGACGCCGCCATGATGGACGAGCTGGACGAGCAGCTGGCGCCGGGGGATCTCAGCATCCAGGAGCCGGACCCGGACGGGGTCGTGTTTGGCGTCCCGGAGCCCGACGACCCTGACCCGTACGGCGTGCATGCCCTGGAGAGGGAGGGCCTGGAGATACTCGAGGCCGGCACCAGGCAGAGGCCATCGAGCATGCAGTTCGAGTACCACCCCAGCCCTTCCAGCCCTACATATGGCAGGTTCTACCGGAGGAGCATGGACACGGCAGTTGGGGGCGCCACACCCGTGAGTGCTGCGTCGGGGTCTAACTCGCCTTGGGGGCGGGCCGTCGGTGCGTATGCTTCGTCCGACGCCGGGACGCAAACAGATGATGCGGTCATTGTTGCCAGCGTCCGTTCTGAGGACGGCTTTGAGCGGCAAGACGTGCAGCACAAGGATGGCCACGCCGAGCCCGAGCACTTCTACGACGTCACTGACGGCGAGAACGATGTGTTTGTGAACGGGGGGAATCCGTGGAAGACAAACGAGGCGGATAGGGATTCTGGCGTTGCGATAGACGAGAGCGAAAGACTGGAGCTGGCGAGAGAGGCTGACAAGCCTGCGTCAAGGAAGGCAGAAGAAGAAGAGGATCAAGAACAAGCGCTGCAGAACGTACGCCGCGAGCCGCCGCCATTGCCGCCGCGAAAGTTGACGTAGTTTGGGGTTGATGTCTTTTTGTGAGATTTTGTCGGTTGTTGGTGGCTTTTTGCGAAGAAGAAATGGATGCCGTGCAATGCGTATGCTTGGTTGGAAATGTTGTTTTTCGTGTAGGTAAAGGTACACAGTAAAGGCTCTCTATACCGACTTGAAACTCTATACCAAAGGTTCCTGCTTGTTGTGACATGGAAGCTTGGCAGATGCCTTGCAAATGATGATGTTGTTTCCGGTTTACATATGCCGAGCCCTCCTGGCAAAGACGATGCTTGGAGGGTTGATTCTTTCGGCGCAGTGGCGGTATCATCCAGAGGAAGAAAGTATTCCATTACTTTTTCTTCTTCTCAAACGTCCTTGGCTCCCCGTATCACTGTAGTTACGCATGGCGCTCATTCTCACTCAACACCACAGCCCCCTATATGCTTCATTTCAGCCGACAACTGCTCTCGAGAGATGGTAGGTTTTTCATATGTAATTGTGATGGCGTGAGGGCGGAACTCTTCTGCCGGCCTGCAACGAGCTCATATTGGTATCTGGAGAGAGTCGATCCTTCCAGGGCTGTGAATTCAGAAAAACTGCACTAAGCAGGATCGCTGTTCAGAGCCCTGTAAACGGGGCAAATAGTTTTCAAGGGCATATCTGTGCCTGTCGAGGATATATCACACGTGCGCGCAGCAGGCATCACCAGTGGCAATGTCGAAACGAAACTCGTCAAGCGCACTGTTTCGATGGCATCAGTGAGGGTGATGTTGCATTTGTTTGGTTCCTTGGAAAGACTTGAGGTCCAGGCGGGATGCTCGACGCAGGCCAGGCGTTTGTGAACCCTTGTAGCCACAACGGCGGTCCATCTATCAACGGTGGCAAGATGGCGGCATTCAGAGTGACCCAATGGGGCCCCAGTGCTACGGCAATTGATGCCGTCGATAAAAAATTAGCTGACGGCTGGCGCCTCCGAGAAACAGTTTCAATCAGACTGCAATGTGGTGCCCGGTCGTCACGTCGCTTCGCGTCCACTTTTTGTTGTCTGGTCCACGAGTTTATGCCGGCGCCCCACGGCCCCCGGCACTAGAACACTGCTGACTCAGCAACCTAAACTAGACCAAGACATGGACTTGCCATTTCACTGCTCTGGCAGAAAACAATTTTTGCTCTTCTTCACACAGCAAGACATCACCCCCATCACCACTGCCAGCCCTCCACGGCCTCCCTAGGCTCGCATGGGCTCAATACGCGGTGCGTAGATTGGCACCGGTAGGTTGCTCGCTTGCATTTCCTACTTTCTTGCTCGTCTCCGTAGAATCGCAGCACTCCATGGCCAGTCATTCGGTATCGACGAATCTTTCTCGAAAGGCCTTCCCCAAGGAGGGCGTTTTGTGCTCCTTGGATGAAGTAGACTGGCCCGCTGGGCAAATCGTCCATCTGGACGCTTTGTGTACATGCTGCAAGATGGACCGGACCGTCATAGTCCACGCCTGTCTGCCTTTCACCGTCTTCTGCCGGTGGGTTGGCAATGTTTTTTTACATGGGCGTGGCTCCTTGAGTACCGACATTCGACACGAACTGGGCGTCGTGCCGCTGCGCATGGGTCCATGTGTAAATGATGATTGATGTAGAGTGACACGGCGCAACTAATCTTATGGAGATTGAGAATTATCACCTGACCATTGCTCGCCTACCTGACCTGACCTGACCATTGGTCTTACTTTTTCAGGTGTTTTACTAGAGTTATAATGGAGACCCCAGGCTTTGCCCAGGGTTAGGGTTGGGAGTTGGGTTAATCCTTGGTGTATGTATGGATGATTAATCAGGAAAGAGCAATGGTCAGGTCAGGTCGGGTCTGGCCTACACTCTCATGTCGTGTCCATTTTCAACCAAGTGTGACCACAAAGACGGGGATTAAATTGGCCCAATCTTCTTTGCCATTTTTCGCCCAAGCATATGCGTCTCAATCCACCAAGCCGGCCAACACATCACGAAAAGTCTCATGGTCAGCCTTCGCGTTGAAGATAGATACGAGCGTGTCTTGTGCGAGACATGGCTGCGGACAATCGACTTCCTCGTCCCTGGCAGGGATGACAATACCTGGTGCAAGATTCAGGAGAACTGGAGTGCATTTCTCTCAGCAAGCAGCCGCCAGCCCTCCCACCTGCCCCCCGAGTTCCAGGGGCTCAGAAGCATCTCGGGGAGGGAAGAGACTCTGGAGGAAACCAGAAAACGACTCCACCTAACCCGTCAGGGACGGCAGGCCATAGACTTTTGTATCCGAAACCGCATGGATAGATATGAGGCAAGGACTGATAAATGGCTACTCAACACCTTCGACGGCATAAACACCCGCCTTTATATAGCCTTGGTGTCCTTGGCCGCCCCTGAGGACTGCGACATTCGGCAACATTATCACACAAGCTTGACGGGTTTCATATCCTTTCTCGTCTACTCTCATGAAAACGGCATGCTTCGCGAAATGGGTCTTAAGCTGGACCATACCCGGCGCAGCGATCTTAAACTACTTGTTTCTTCCATGGGTACGACGGGGTCGTGCATGGATAAGCCGTTAGATACCACTGATTATGATTGTTTGTGGGATCGCATTGAATGGATCATGCGTTGGTCAAACAACTTTGACGAGGATGCAGATCCACGCCACGAACCGCTGCTTTGGTGGACGGCTGTGTTAGTTCGGGCTGCAATCGCTGAAAGGTGGGAGCAGGAGGAATTTAGCAATATTGGCGATGACAGGAATCCCTTGCCCGAGAATCTTGGGATCAGGGAACACATCGATGCCATAATGCACTGCTACAGAGTCTTCTTACTGAATGAGTCGTACAAGTATTGGCGGACGTGTGCGAAAGACGCGTCTGCAGGAGGAGTGGGAGGTCCTTCTTACAACAAAAACAACGACAAGGACAACAGGATTCTCAATTGGCTTGAGGGGGTGGAGGGACAGGAGCTTCATGCCCGCAGCGACAGGAGGTCATGTTCAAGCGATTCTTGGCCGGAATTACTGTCGAAGATGATCATGGACTTAGACGACTGCCTCGGGCCACACCGGGAAACATCTTTGACGAAGATACAAGTCCTCCGAGACACATTGGTGGACTGGGGCGATAGGAGGCAAAGCGAGACGAGCAGTGAAGAGGAATAAGTAAACAACCCTTCATTCTAAGTGCCATTCATTTTTATAAAATATTATATAACTATTTCTAGGAGCCCATTGTAGAAAAATCGTTCGCAGGTATGTATTTGCCCCATAGTGTTAACGCCCATCTTGATAATGGTAGAAAGTCAAAACCGAGGTTGTGCAGTTGGGCGTTGCTGACCAAAAAAGCTTATCTGATTTGATACCACATGAAGTGCCCCCTACGTCATCGCCTTACACCCACCCAGTCTCACAACACAATCTATTTCGCTCAACACCGTAGTTCTCATCGTCAGCCAAGTACCCGGACATCTCGGAGACAGCTTATTAAAAATAGAGGGGGAAGATGGTTTCCAGAAAAGATGCCCAGTTCGACCACCTCACCCTCAACACCAGCGGCCCCATCCCATGCGCTCTCCAAGGCCAGGCCGTCCTCAACACACCCTACTTCAACAAGGGTTCTGCCTTTCCCGCCCACGAACGCCGCGTATTCAATCTCACCGGCCTGCTACCGCAAAATGTCCAGACACTGCAAGAACAGGCCAAACGAGCCCACGAGCAGTACCTCTCGCAAACGGGTGACTTGGCCAAGAATACGTTTCTGGCCTCGCTGAAGGAACAGAATGAGGTGCTGTACTACAAGGTATGTGATTGATAGTATCAATCGCAGCAAACCCTCTCCAACGTCGTAGCAAGTCCATGGGCTGAAATGGGACAGTAGCTGCTGCAGGACAACATAAAGGCCATGTTCAGCGTGGTGTACACCCCCACCGAAGGAGATGCCATCCAGAACTACTCGCGGCTCTTCAGACGGCCAGAGGGCTGTTTTTTGAACATTAATGACACGGAGAGGGTCTTCCACGACCTAGCAATGTGGGGAGAGGCAGACGATATCGACTACATAGTCGTTACAGGTGAGGCCGAGCCCGTGTGTACAGCAAAGGTCCCCCTTGACTCTTGTCATACTGACGGCGCGATATTTCTGCTGCGCGGCAGACGGGGAGGAAATCCTAGGCATAGGCGACCAGGGCGTAGGCGGAGTGCTCATCTCCGTGGCCAAGCTCGTTCTCGCCACGCTCTGCGCGGGCGTCCATCCCAACCGTTGCCTGCCCGTCGTGCTGGACTGCGGGACGGACAATGAGCATCTGCTCCGCGACGAGCTGTACCTCGGTCTCAGGGAGAAGCGGGTTCGGGGAGAGAGATACGACGAGTTTGTGGACTTGTTTGTGCGCGCGGCGAGGAGGCTGTACCCGCGGGCGTATATTCACTTTGAGGACTTTGGGCTACTAAACGGTAAGGGATGCTTCTTTCTGACCCTGATCAGGATACGGCTGATGCTTTCTTTCTTTTGTACAGCAAGGCGGATTCTAGACACGTACCGCCCCAAAATGGCGTGCTTCAACGACGACGTCCAGGGAACAGGGTGCGTGACGCTCGCCGCCATCATGGCAGGTCTGCACGTGTCGGGGCAGAAACTCGCGGATTTGAAAATGGTCGTCTTCGGCGCGGGCAGTGCGGGCATCGGGATCGCAGACCAGGTCCGAGACGCCATCGCCGCGGAGGGCAGCACGTCTCCCGAGGAGGCTTCCCAGCAAATATGGTGAGCGTATTTCGCCTCCTGCCAAACCCCCTTGCTCCCGCTAACAGCACATGGTCAATAGGCTCATCGACAGACCTGGCCTTCTCACCACGGAAACAAAGGTCTCGGATGCCCAGCGGCCCTTTGCCAAAAACCCAGCAGACTGGACCGGCCAGAGGACGGACCTGCTCGGCGTCATCCAGGCCGTCCGCCCCAACGTGCTCATCGGCACGTCCACCGTCCCTGGAGCGTTCACGCAGGACATCGTCACCGAGATGGCCAAGCACACGGCCCGGCCCATCATTTTCCCCCTCAGCAACCCTACGCGGCTGCACGAGCAGACGCCCGAGCACCTCTTGCAATGGACACGGGGCAAGGCGCTGGTGGCAACGGGCTCGCCGTTCGACCCCGTCCGGGGGCCATGGGGCGCCGGCGGCGAGCAGGTGACGATGGAGATTGCCGAGTGCAACAACTCAGTGGTGTTCCCGGGCATCGGGCTCGGCTGCATCCTGTCCAGGGCCCGGCTGCTCACGGACAAGATGCTCGTCGCGGCGGTGCAGGCCGTCGCGGCCATGAGCCCGGCGCTCAGGGATCCCACCGCGCCGCTGCTGCCGGCCGTAGGGGACGTGAGGGACGTGAGCCTGCAGGTGGCAATGGGCATCGTCAAGGCCGCCGTGCAAGAGGGCGTGGCAACAGAGGACGGCATCCCCTCCAACGACCACCAGCTGCGCGAATGGATCAGGGTCCAGATGTGGGAGCCGAGGTATCGCGATTTGGAAAAGGTGGAAATGGAGGGCGCAGGCCGCACTGCGAGGGGAGAATTGAGAAAGGCCGGTACCGTGGATAGAATGTCCGACATGTCGGCCTATGGTGCAATGGCGCAGCAGTAGAACATGACCATCGCGAGTTCCGCGTGATATGTCAAGTGATGCCGGCATCTATGGACCTCAGCTAGCAGTAGTCGACTGGGCTCGGGTTTAGCGAATTATGTTCAATGTTTCCTACCTAGGTACCTATGCAATATACATACAGGCAAAATGATTCAAAAGGCGGCCTACGGGGCATTAGACACGGGTACAGCAAACGTACATGTATTATTATACCAACAGCATAACGCTGCAGTACTCAAAACTGATTATTCTTGTAGCATTTCGAAAAATAACTGCTTCCCAATTCCCAACTCCAAATCCTTGGTACCTGCAAGGAGATCGAACCAAAAAAACAGCCAAGTCGCCCATCAGCTTAGATTATCCCAGCTCTTGCCACCTCTCCGGCATTGGCCTCGATAAGCTCATCCACCCTCTTCTTGCCTCGTCCAAGACCCCCTTCGCCCACTCCCATTCGTCGGGCAACGTATCGCTGGGCAACGACACCTACTGACAGACACAACGTCTCCTCGATCCATTCGGCCACCCACTCGCGCGGATCGACACCACCGCTTTCGATAATGTCCTTGATGTCTTCTGGGATACCGGCATCGAAGGGGTTGTCCTGGTTTTCGTCGCTGGTCCGGGGCGTCAGGGGAGAGGCAGCGTCCAGCCAGCGTACCCATTTTGAAGGAATACTCTGGCTGACTGTAGAAAATTCAATCTCATGAACCGGGTCAAGAACATAGACGGCAAAGCACACAAGTTCATCCGTATCGTCCTGCTCCTTCACAGCCGACGTCTCCTTCTCCTTCACGGCCGAGGCAGAGCCAGCAAACAGTGCCTTGTCGCCGTCTGTAGAGATAGCCTGCACAGACAAGAAGATGTCTGAAGTCCGCACCGGATTGCTCTCGCTCAGATCCTCTGTAGCCCGAGTCTTGGCTTGCTCAATGCCCCCGTGGGAGGCAAAGTATTCATTCGCATACGACTCGGCGCCGGCACGGCACAACTTGGTACCCTCGATCATGCCCTTCACTAGTCCAAGCTCTCGAGTGGAATCAGTCTGGCGCCACCAGGGACCATCACGCCAGCCCGCAGAGCCATCACTGTAGCGTCCAGAGCTGCTCTCACGGCCTCGCTGTACAACGAGTAAGTCGCCGCCTTCGACTTGCGACATGACACGGGCAAAAACGCCGTGAACCAAGGGGTCCAACGACGGATATCCGACAAGATCATGGGTAATGTGAATCATGAGTCTCTCGTGGGACGAAATCGGCGGCGCAAGAGTATGGAGGATGTTGGTAAACGTGGGCAACGCTCGGGTTCGCAACTCGTCACCTATAGGTCGTTAGCAACAGCGGTCCTTCGTTGTCAGTCTCCCGTGAACACCCACCGTAGTTACGGAGAGCCCCAACATCGATGCCCCCTGATAGGCCCCGAACTTGGTCAGCCCATTTCTTTGCTTCTTCGTTTTGTTGAATCTCTTTGTAGGCATTTTCGGCCTGCTTCATGACGCCAGTAGCCGTTGACAGGATGCCTCCCCACCATCCTCCGCCGCTCTGCTGCTGTTGAGATTGCTCAGCGGCGCCCTTCTTCTCGGCCTCATGAGGCTCAGAGCTAGTGGCGCTAGGCGTCAAGTTCGCTCTCAAGCTTCTGGCACTGTCGGTAGACTTGCGAACACTAGGGGCTGCCGCTGCTGCTGCTGTGGCCTTGTCGTCGCCAACAGGGGGTGTACCAGCTGGCCGTCTAACACCTCGGGGAGTGTGCGGGCGTGATGCTGACTTCTCGGACGCAAGCTGAGACTCGAGGTCAGCCAGGATGTCATCATCGCCCTGTGTCTTGGATGCTGATGAGGCCGTTTTGGTAGACTTGGGGTTTGTCGGTTTCTTGGACTTGGCGTCGTCCCCAATGCCTTGGAAGAGCTCGTCGAGGTTGTCGTCGGCGGCAGAGGCGGCAGCTTTCGTCTTTTTCGAAGCCATGGTGCTGCGTCAGTCTCTTCTCGCGATCTAGCGAGCGATTGTGCAATACGGGGTATGACAAAGAACTTGGAGCTTGGACCAGAGTGCGGAAGAGGAGCTTGGTATAACAAGGGAGCGCTCAGCAAGATGTCAAGTGTTTGATGTTGTCGGTGGGGTGAGGTTGGTTGCTTGGGAGTTGGGACCTTGTGTTCGAGGTGTGGAAGAGTGGAGGCGCCTGGTTTCCATGTCCGGCTTCAAGGGGGGCTCCGGCTATGGAACGACGCTCAAGGCTTGGACAAGCTTGTCAACTTACACCAGCTTCCACGTCCCGATTCAAGTGTCCACAGCGCACGAGATCAGGCAGGCCGCTCGTCGCATGACACGTGCATAGCGTGCTGACTGGCTCGAGGCCCCAAGGATCTAAGCGGCTCAATGCAGGACAGCCTGCCGTGGCCCGTGTCCTCAGAGTGAATCACGCATTTGGCGCCCGCAGATTGTACCTATATACGGAAATCAAACAGCTTCCTCCAGCATATTCAATGCCATGTAAACTCTTGTTGCTGCCCCTTCAAAGTTTTGCTGGTGCGTCCCAAGTGCGCTGTACTCCGCTTTACCACCTGGACGACGGGAGCATCGTCTCCCCGGCCCAAAAAGGACTAGGGGGGCACATCCTTCCCGACACCAGACACTTCGATTGGTCGGGTCGGCCACCCACGGAGGAACCCCGGGGAACCTGTAGGGCCCCAAATTGCATGCCCACACAGGCACTTGAGCAGGCACTTGACATCTGGTGCTCCCCAACTGCTGCCCCCCAGGTGGCACGAGCAGCGGCCCAGTGCCCGCCACAGAAGGGCCCTACAGCGGGCTCTGTCCACTGTCCACGCGCCTACCATTGAGCCCCGAAGACGCCTAAAACGGAGAGCCTGTGGCGCAAGTGCTGGCGGTCTGGTATTGACTTGACTTGGTTCACTTTAACCTAAAATAAGTACTCAAGTACCTAGGTACCTAGACCCAGGCGCCCCAAGGCCCTCCCAAGCCTTCCAGCTCAAAGGTACGTACCTAGACGGGACCCGCAGTTGGCCTTGTCAGGAAACTGGGTCTTGGCTTATTCGGACCACGACACCTTGAGAAAAACGATGGCCAGGAGACTGGCTGGTTTAACAACGACACGGGCGACGACGCATTGAAAAGTCTCTGATATTGTCAGGCTGCATCACCGCCGCGGCCATCAGCGCTTCTCCAGGCCGCCTGCGCTTTGTCCGGCGCTCTTCTTTTTGTTCCTTGAGCCTGCCGCGCATTTGTCATTGTCTGCGTTTGCCTTTCAAAATTCTCTCCTGCGCCGACATTGGCTCACTCATGGTATTGTGGCCCGGCTCATACAAAGCCTTGCCTCTCCCCTTCTTGATTCATCCGCGGCCTCACGACCTCGAGTCACTTCACCTCGTGGCCGGGCTGCTCATCGCCGCCTGGGCATTTGCTCGTCACCTGATTCCCTGATCCCCCGTGTGCCCGTCTCCCGGATGGTTGGCCTCTTACACATTGCCCCCTTCTTCTTACACGCCTGCTCTCCGCAACACGCTGGCTGCTCCGGCTCGACATGGACCGCGCTCGTCGGACGGCAGCAACCACACGTCGCAAAACCCTGGGCGACTCTACCTCTCCTCAGTCTACTCCTCCCGAGAGTATATCTGACCATCCCTCTGCGAGCCCTGTAATGGCCCACGCCTCGGCGGCAAACAGCCCCCAGCCCGCGACTCAGAGCAGGCGCGGAAGCAAAAGTCTTCACCACACTTTCACTTTCTCAACCCCAGCCTCGGGCAATCGCGGCCAGGGTGTCAAGCGCCGGTCCAGAACCATGGACAGCTACGGCATCCATGATGATGAGTTTGACGACGACAGTCCCAGGAAAGGTGGCCACACACTTCGCAAGCGGGCTCGTGTGGATTACACATTTGAGCACGTAGACGACGAGGTCGTCGTCCCCAGCTCCACGTCTTCAGCTCGCGCCAAGAAGCGAAAATCAGATCACAGCTACGACTCGGAAGAGTTTTATGCCTCCGGCGCCAAGAGACGCGGCGCCTCACTCGGCGCTGATGCTTCCGGCAATGTGCGAAGAAATCCTGCTCGCAGTTCAGCCCTCGGAAGGGCCGATCATGGCGATGATGAAGACGTAAAGGATACCATTGAAGTTGGTGTCTCTTTTTCCGACATGGATGAGTCAGAGGTCCGCCGTGACAGTCATTCGAGTACCTCGTCCGCTGCTCAGTCTCTGGACGGCTCGTGGAAGTCTGCGCCCACGGTATCTAATTTTGGCGTCCTATACCCCAATGACAAGAGTACAAACAACGACGAGCGTCCAAATGCTGAGACTCGAGACATGGACATTGATCCCAACCTTCGAGCAAGCCCCCCTCCCTCATCATCTAAGCAACCTACTGCCACGGTTGAGCCCATTGAGGCTCAATCAGAAAGCACGGATACCCCAAAGGTCAATGAGCCTGCCAACGTCTCTTCTAACAAAGCCGAAGAAAAGCCTGAGCTTTCTGACACTAAAATTGCTGAAATACCCAACGCACAAACACTTCCAGTCGCCACACAGGATCTGCCCGCCATCGCCCAGGCGGAGACAGTGGCCGAATCGGAACCATTGGTAGAGGAGCAAACTGAAGACAATGTGGCGCCTACTTCTGATGTTGTTGTTTCCGATGAGATGAAAGACCGTACGTCGGAAAACAACGACCTTGTCTCCTCTGAGCTTCCCAAAGAAAGCGAGGTCGAACAGTTTGTGAAAGAGCCAGTGGTAACTGAACCATCACCACTGAAATCACAGCCTACTACTGCAGAGCCCATAGATATCTCTCCAGCCAAACAGTCTCCATCAGTAGGCGCTGTTGATAACGTCGCCTCAGAAGAAGCAACCACCCTGGATGCAAATGAAGATTCAAACACCAAGGGCAGCCCGCCTGCGGAAACGCCCTTGGTAGTGCCATCTATATCAGTGGAGGAGGTTATGGATCCCAAAATGGAAGATCTCAAAGATCAAGAAGCTCCGCACCAGGAGCGCAAGTCATCACCAGAATCGATTGTGACTGAAGTTAAGGACAAAGTTGTTGAAGACTCGGATACTCTAAGTCCCGAGAAGAAGGAAATCTTCAAACCCAAAAGAACATCACAACTGGGACCAAGTAAGCCTCAGCCGGCTCCCGTCGGTCGCTGGGCTTACTTGACACCGTACATGGATGGTGAATATGTCTCATATCCCGAAAAGAAGGCTCGTTCCGACGATGAAGCCGGCGGAGATGAGACCACCCCAGACGACAAGGATGGTGATAAAGATGGCAATGATATGGAGCCCATGATAGAGGACAATGACGACGCTCCAGACCCCTCAGGCATCGAAGCACCAACACCTGCCCTTAACACGCCAACACGAGGCTCTCCAGTTCCAGATTCAATGGATCCTACGGCTACCAACTCTCCCGCCCCGGCTGGCGATGACGCAGATGATGGTGACGAGTCTGATTCGCAAGAGGTTCCTGAGCGAAAACGATACTACAAATATCGCAAAACTCGGGACCCTGAAGAGTACATATCAGCCATCGAAAATTACGAAGATATGACCACTGCCGAGTTATACGAGATTCTCGAGGCCATCAATATATCACTTGTACAGTGGCAAACCGAATGGCTCGATCTCGGAAGGCTGGTGGACGACCACGAAAATTCACAGCGCCGACGTCTAGCGGATGCCAAATACGAATCTAGGACGAGAAACCCGACTCAGCATGGTGTCAATCACGAAGAGCCAGACTTCGCTGTCAAGGGCTACAAGGCAAAGGAACGGGAACTCATGAGCGAGACTCGCTATCTTCAGGGACAGGACCGCATCATGGCTGCTACTTATGGTTTTGAATATGATCCTCACCCGTCCAAGATTGGTCGTCAGAATCCAGAGACCCAACAAGTTGGCATCATGACCAGAGGGCGATCACTGCGTAACCAGCCAAGGCAAACAGTCAAGGCATCAGAAGCTGACGAGGTCACCGGCAAGAGACAACGCAAGCCCGTTCAGCTTTTCGACCCTGCTACTCAGGATGTCAGCCGAAGCTCGACGCCAGTTCCCACACGAGGCAGGAGACGCCGGAATGCGGGTAACGCAGACGAGGGAGCCCAGGTTGCCTTCACATCAAGCTTCAATGGGGACGGGAACTCGGAGGCAGAGAACGAAGCTCCCAAGACTAGGAGACGACGTGGTCCTCGTGCCAGCAATGTGGGCCCCGGCACTGCTGAGGAATTTTTTACACCACGCAGCTCAGACAACCTTGCGCAGGAAGAAACTGGCAGGTCAGGTCGCCGCCGAGGCAGACAACCTGTTAGATATGACGAGACGTATTCCGAGTTCATGGACGAAGACTCTCAGCCTGAGCCGAAACAACGGAAGCGGCATATGCTGACGCTGAAAATACCCAGATCCAAGAACTTCAGCGAGCCTTCTTCGGCCATTACCGACAATGGCGATTCAAGGCCGTCAACTGCATCATCAGAGTCGTCATCTCATACAGCCGAGTCGTCGTATTCCTTCCGGCCCAAGCGTCAGAAGCGGTTCCGTGACGACCCTGATGAAACAGACGAAGCAGCCCAGGCACCACCTCGCAAGCGAGGCAAGCGAAGTGTGCCCCAGCCCTTTGGTGGTATTGAGTCGTCATTTGCTCTCGATCAGCCAGTTCAAGATGCCCAACCCGGCGCCGGAGTCCGCAAGGTTGCAAAGATCAAGGTTGTGCGACCTGCTGGCGACGCCCGCAACGGCACCCCATCCTCACAACCGGGCGATGATAAGCCAAAGGACTACAAGAACATGACCAAGTCTGAAAAGATGTCGGCATCCATGAAGAGTAAGCATTGCATGATTTATCTCATCAGTATACTCAACAGACAAGCTTGATGTTAACCATGTATTTAGGTCGCTGGGCAAATGGAAACATGGCTGGCGCTGTGGAAAAGCGAAAGGCGACTCTTGCGGCGAAGAAAGCAGCTCAAGCCGCCGCTGAGCAGAAGCTCGGTGTCATTGCACCCAAACCAAAGGTCAAGCCAAGCAAGAAGGAACCTCCTCCTCCAGGACAGTCACAGGGAGGCTATGTGCCAGCTATGCCAGGAATCAACTACCCGTTCCCCTCGAACCAGTGAGATGATGAGTTGCATCTCAACTCTACTCTCTCTCAAGTCGGAGCAGAGTAGTTGAATAATTCCGCGCTCAACCAATACCGGGTCTGGACTGACCCTCGCTGGTACAATTTCGAGTCGTTGCCTTGGCGAATTACATCCGAATAGGTGGATTGACATCCGTATGCAACATGTATCATTACATGTACCGTTGGGACAGCGCGAATCAGCGCGCTCAGTTCTGATCCCGCGCCCTCTGGTGCAGGGAAAATAATGCGCTAAAATAGGTACATAATCTTTCTACTGTGGAGGAATAACGGGTTTCGGATTTTTGTTTTGCCTTTTCTTCATTTCGCGCACTCCACATTGCTCTTTTTGCATTTCTACTCGTCCAGAGGGAAAATTGGCATTGGAAGACCAGGCGTCTTACACAGCCGTTGAGGCCTAAGAATCGACCCTGATGAACTTCCGAATATGGCGTTTGGCGCGTTGCCCTGTTCCCTGCCACACACCATGAGGGACGGGGCGGGTAATCTTTGGTCATTGGCATTTTGTACAGATACATCTGACAGGTATTTATTTGTGAATGGAGCGATATTCCATCAAAGGTCTGCGTTTTGTGTGTCATGGTGTCATGTGTCATATCGTGTCATTGCCGTGATGTCTGTGGTAGTACGCACACTGGGGTGTGTTGCAGTGGTGCGATCCTTGAGTCATGACAATCCGCTGCTGGTGCGTACATGACATGAGCCAGGCAGTAAACGAGTGCCTTGTACTTGCTATCCAGGTTGACCAAAAGTAAACTGGTAATGATTTAACTTTATTACTGCTTCTATTGAAGAAAGGATCAACTGATTTATTTACTATCACTTTACGCTACCGCTGTCGTAACTTTGTAAGTGACAAACACCATGGTATAGGGTAGTATTTTGACGTTGGGATGCCGAGACCCACAAGCGCACAATTTGGGGTCCGTATGCCCAAGCTGGGTGCACATTGGCATCAAGACAGAAGCCAACGAAATGCCGGAATCACTGATTGAATTCGACTGGCGAGCCGGGCCCATGCACCCCTGGGACAATACTCCCGATGCAACCTGATAAGAAACCACAGCAATAGGCTGCCCAAGAAGCACCCGCGAAGAACAGGCGCTAGTTTCCTCCCATCGCATCGACCCCGTGTCGAGAAACGATGCATGATACTCACAAAACACATAATCACAAGGGCACATTGACAGTTGCTCAATTTTTTTTTTTGCTTGTCCATGATGCAATACCTGGTATGAATCATCCTTACACGCCCGCAACCAAAAAAAATGCAGAGCCTGCCTAATCCAGCGACTATCATGCTTTCCCCGGTGCTCCGTCGTTGTTCCTCTTCGTTTTCCATCCCCAAAAAGTACCAAGAGGACGGTCATGGTTGCTTCTATAGATCGCATAGGTGGGACATGACCGTTGCTGATTTTTTTCTTCTCTCTCGTTCCCATTCCCGTTTTCTAATCACTCCCGTTGGACCACTTTACATGACGACACCAGAGTTGGAGGCGATACGCTAGGCAGAGTCAGCTTTGGCCGGTGAAGGAGATTTTGCGTGGAGGAACTTACGGGCCACAGCTCAGCGGCTTCCTTGCCGACGGGGCCGGTGATGGCGGAGCCCTTCATCTCGCCCTTGGGGTTGACGATCTGCGACCATGTTAGCAGTTGCGTGGTTTTATATTTTGGCGGTGCGCAAGATTTTTCGAGTTCTCCCGAGTCCATCCCCAGCTGGCAATTCGTGGAAAAAGCCAAGTGTCCCGTTTGGAAAACCCTCAAGTCTCGTGTGCCGCCTCGGAAGCAGGATGATGAACACGTACCACACCGGCGTTGTCCTCAAAGTACAGGAAGACACCGTCGAATCGCTTCCAGGGCTTGGACTGTCTGACGATGACGGCGGGGTGGACCTTCTTTCTCAGCTCGGGCTTTCCCTTCTTGACGGTGGCCATGACCATGTCACCGACACCACCGGCGGGGAGACGGTTCAGGCGGGCGCCGATACCCTTGACCGAGATGATGTACAGGTTTCGGGCGCCCGAGTTGTCGGCGCAGTTCATGACGGCACCGCTGCGGAGCCGTGTTAGTTTCTTTTCTCCCTTTGCTTTTCGGGGCGCATCTTGGGTGCTCGGGGCAGGAGGTCGCGCGTGTCGGCGGAGGGGTCAAGGGACGTACACAGGGAGACCCAGGGTCATCTTAAGCTTGCCACCAGGGGCACCACGTCTGTACAGAACCAGTCAGTCGCGATTAATTCATCATGGGACCTGTTGTGTGCCCGCCTGTTGAGTCTCGGGTATCTCGAATGGGCAGACGTCGAAAAAGTGCGAGTTTCAGGTATCAATTTTGCCGCCGAAAATTCGTACGCGTCGAAATGCGCCGCAAGAGAATCTCTTGATTGCGAGTTTCCACCCCATCATTACCGCCCATAAATTCGTAAAAAAAAAAATCTGGTTGTCGATGGTTGTTCAAGGTCGTCTTCGGTTTGGTTTCCCAGTTTGTCCCTTCTCTTGCACGTCGCCAATTTGGATACTCGAGAATCACAGGCATTTTGCATAATTACTTACGAGATCTTGGCCATTGTGTCGGTTTGGTTGTGGCGTTAATTCGTGAGAAAATCTGCCGAGTCTCGGGTTGCCGTCGTGAGCTGGAGTCTCGGGTGAAAAAAAATCCAAGCAATCTGTGGGGTGAGAAACCCTATGGGAAGCGAGTGATGTCTCACGTGACGATAGGGACTTTATCAGTGCGCGGTGGGTGTTTCGTCATGCCCGGCCCCACCTCTAGCGTTTTTCTCTTTTGAGAGACTGGGTTGGTCCTTGACTCTTCCTTCCCTAGTTTCTCTTCGCAGCAGCTTCTCGTGTAAGTGAATGAAATCAGGAAAATGGCTGCAATTTAAGAAAGAGGCCTTGTTCACATTATTTTCTTTCCATATAAGTACGGAGTGCAATCTGCCCAATATATTGGAAAACTCAGGCATGCGAATTTGATGTGATTTTTGCCTCACGGTTTTTTCGTCTCATGAACCGAAGCCGTTCCCCCTTCCTGATTCTCGACCTTCTTGGTTGATCCCACGTCGACCCACGACCCTTCCGCAGCTGTCCCTCCTGAAGCGCCGGGTGCTTGCACATCCACCCAATCACCGTCGGTCTTCCCTTTGCCCGTTTTGTCCTCTGCCTGATGTGCTGGGGCGTCCTCTGCGACTTTTGCCGTGGACGTGTCTTGCGTGGAACCCGCGACTTTCAACATCCTGTCGGCCAATTCCTCCTCCTCGAGGAACCGATCAATGTTATGCCTGCGTCTCATTATTAAATCTGGGTAGATTATTCCGCTCGAGAGGATATTAACTAACCTTGGTCTGGAGCCAGACATGGTGAGATGGCAGGCAGCCTACTGTTTGAAAAAGATGTGTTGTGTTGAGAAACTTTTCGTAAACCATCTGACGCCATCGCGACCATCGCTTAAATTTACGTGAGGCCAGAGTGCGTCCAAGATTATTAGCATTGATGCGGCTCTGGTTGAATAGCGAAATGGCTGCAGATGTTCATGTATCCAGTCGGCACTCCCTCCGACAGACGATATTTGTCGGTACCCGCCACCAGTCCATCTATACTTGACGGCCGCCCTGGTGACTGACACTCGGCTTGTTCCTTGAAAGATGGCGCGGGATTTGGACGGCAAAAAAATTAAGCCAAAGAAGGACCATGATGCATGGTTTCACACACGTTGTCGCGACGCTAATGCGGAAACCTTCCAGTTTGTATATCGCTCCGCCAACCACGCTTCCCCATATTGGCCAATCACCAAATGTGGTGGAATGCGACACAGCAGATTCTGCCAGTCAAGTCGAGCAGATCCATGCACGATTGCGAAATCCTGTCGCAAGAACTGTAAGTTATGAGGGAATGAGGTGAAGATGAAGACGATGATGCCGGGTATGGAGATCTAGAGCTGGTGTCATTGTCGAAAGTATATCTTGACGCTGGAGGTTTCTTGTTATATGGACTCATATGGGCTGCCCCTGGCTGCCCTCCTTACCAGCACTTGAATCATGAACTTGTAAATTATATCGAGGGTCATTTACACCGGAAGCATGCCGGGCCAAGGACGGACTGCCGGTGGGGCCCTATCCGATGCGGCTTGTCTCCCACCGACAGGACAGAGCGGTCGGTTAGAGAATGAGTGCAAACGGAAACAAAGAGGATCATTTGATAGACACTATTAGGGGCCAAAATGTGTGAAACAAGAATAATAATTCCGAGTATAAGGCGGAGTGGGATGGTAGATGCTCTGGTAGACGGCGCGCAGCGCATCTTGGAACGGACAGCTATGAAGAACTTCACTTCAATTAAAATACATCAATTCGATAATACGGATCTATAAAGGAGAATAACGACGCTCATCCGCAACAAAGCACCACCAACGTGAGTTGGCCCGGTTAGCTCAATCGGTAGAGCGTGAGACTCTTACGAGTACACGAAATCTCAAGGTTGCGGGTTCGACCCCCGCATCGGGCTTTTCCTATAGTTCCATTCTTCGATTGGCAATTAATTTTTTGTCCCTTTTGGGGGACATTACTTTTTTGCAATTAATATTGCTCTCGACTGTGCTGGTTGGTGCATGCCTGTCTGTGTGTACTTGCTTGTATTATATCGCCTATATCGAAGTACTTTTTTCCCTTTAAAGTTGATTGCCTTGGGCTCTTCACATTCCGGCTTATGATTAGGCCAGTGATACGTTGTGCCAAGAGAGATTTCCAGAGCGTCAATGATGTGAAGCGCGAAACGGAATTGCAGCACAATACGGAGTACAGAACATGAAATTTGCTACGTATAATGATGCATGAGAACGTGTACAAATGACTCATACCAAATCATCAATCTAAATTTTTTCCCTTCAGCATTAATACGGCTCCAACAGGCAGCTACAGACGTCCCGATCATGGTCGGCCAAGGCCCTGATAGACTCGGAAGCCAAGCACCGTCGCTGGACGTGTTGGATCTGCAGCACTAGACTCCACGTCGATTGATCCGTTCTGATTCTCCGTTGATGGGCGGCATGGCTTTGAGCCCACATGGTTACAGAGGTCGAAATCACATTTTTGGAAAGCCTTCAAAATGTTGGTTTTGATGGCAAGTTCGCAATGGCAGTGGCGGACTACCCCCATGCTGCCACATGCTAGTCGGTGCCACAAGGTCCCATTGATGCACACGGCACGAGAAAGATGCTGGTGTAGAAGACGGCGTGTTTAAGGTTTCCAAGGTTTCAAAAACGGATGGACGGACTGTGGTGACATGGTAGAGAGGAGAGCAGATACGTATCGCAGTCAAGAGCGGTACCGTCACCATCATCATCATCAGTGTGCAAAACCGTGGATGTGTTGGGCCGCAGTATCATGTAAACCATGGATTGATGCTCTCAGTAAGGCGCAAGGACAAGAACAGCATTCGTTGGGTGGAGGACAGAACATTGAACTTGACGCCACATTCTGGAGCCCAGTGCTGGCTATCAATTGATGGCCCCAGTTCTCGTCGCTGTTTAGCGCGCAATAAGGTACGGAGTTGCCAGCCCTAAATCCTAATTCCATCCATGTCACATCAATTCTTCCATGTCAGCGTGTCCGGTCGATGGTACGGAGTACTACTCAGTACTACCAGTATTGCTGTAACCCCCGCTCTGAGCCGCCCCGAAGAAAAAGGCTCAGTGGATCAGTGGGACCTTGGACGATTGACCCAACATTTGGAGATCAGATCAGCGTGCACAGGTGATTTTGACCTTGTCAAGATTCTATTCATCAGCGGGTCAAGTCCAGCAATAGGGACGGACACGGTTGAATCACTTGAGTGACTTTGGGCCGACATGGAGCTTGTGGGAGCGCTCGAGGTTTGACGACCGGCTCCATGTCTCGACCAGACGTTACTCGTCGATTTGTAACATGACTACTCCGTATCCTCATTCCCATGCCGCGATGCACGAGCACATGCATGTCAATGTTGGGCCCGGCTTGTGGTGCCAGACGCGGCGAATTCCTCCCCGTGCTTCTCTGAGAAAAGTCCCACAACCCTCGCCTCTCACATCTGGACGGTTTTGTTCATGTCAAGTCAAGCCTTGCCACTCCCCCACACGTATTCTCTCCTTGACTGCGTGAGCACCCAGTGAGTCTTGGCCTTGACGTTTCACCGTTGGACGTCGTCGCCAGCCAACTCTGGCCATCCATCTTCACAGACGCTCCTTCTCAGCCCTTGGACACCCAAGTCGGTCGCCGAAGGCATCGCCGATGTCGCCCTAGACGACAGCTCGCCGCACCCGCCCTCACGGCGAATCGCCAGATGCTCTCTGTTGTCTGGTCCCTGTACCTGGCCGCGCGGGAATCACAAAACTCGCCATGACAAACTCATTCAACTTCAATAACATTGGCCAGCGTCAGGACGGCGTCGACAACACCAATATGCCCTCGCCGACCTCGCCGACCCAAGACGCCGGACAAGCGTCGTCCTCGTCTCATCACCAGTCGGGAAATGTCACCGTGTATCCCACCACAGGCCCCGATTCGTATACCAGCCCGATACTGGCCCCGGGGAGCTCTGGGCAGCCTGCCTTGAATCCCAGATCATGTGTCACCTGTCGCCGGCGCAAGGTTCGTTGCGACAAGCAGATGCCCTGCTCCAACTGTCGCCGCGCACAGATTCCATGCGTCTTCCCTGCGCCGGGGCGTGCGCCTCGCCAGCCTCGACCCAAGGACCCCAATGCACCGCCCAAGACGTCGAGCCACCGGGAGGCCGAGCTGGTCAAGAGACTGAGGAAGCTCGAGGGCATCGTGGAAGAGCTGAGCGGCCAGATTGACGAGCCTGCTGCCCGGGGCCCCTCGACCACAGCCTCGCCGGACATGCAGTCTGGCATGGAGGGCTTGTCGCTGCGTCACATGCCGGGCACCTTGGATCACATCGCTGGCCAGGAAGGCAGCCCGAGAGGGACCGACTCGTCGGCTGGCCACAGTGGTGAAGCCGGCCGGAAAGAGAAGCAGCCAAATTTTGGTCGTTTGGTGTCGGATGACCAACGAGGCACGTCTCGATATGTGAGCAGCGGATTCTGGTCAAAGCTCAATGATGAGGTATGTCGCCCAAGCCAAATCCATCTCCTTCCATGTCTGTACCATGGGAGCTGACTTCTGATGCTTTTGCTTTTCAGCTGGACGCTATTCGTGAGGAAACTCAACTCCTCACAGGCGAAGAAGACGCTGAAGATTCAGACTTTGAGGGAACGCCAACGGACTCGCCATCCACAGGCTTTGGCAACATCACGGATCACCAGGGATTCATCCTGGGCTACCGATCGGCGGATGTGGATTTGCAAAAATGCCACCCGCTACCATCTCATGCCAGCTTCTTGTGGTCAGTGTACCAGGAGAATGTTGAGCCTCTCATTAAACTGCTGCACGTCCCGTCCGTCGAGCTCATCATCAGCGATGCGAGGAGGAACCACGGCAAGCTTACGCCCGGTAATGAGGCGCTGGTATTTGCCATCTACTTTGCAGCCATCACCTCACTTGAGCCGGATGAGGTGAGAATTCTCACATCCTCCTCACTTCCCTCACTAGAGCCTTCACTGGTTGCTAACCGTCGCGCTCCAGGTTCAAGCCAACTTTGACGCAAACAAAGATGACATGCTCGCTCAATATCGCTTTGCCGTGGAGCAATCCCTAGCCAAAGCCAACTTCCTCGATACGTCAGATCTTGCGGTCCTTCAATCATTCACCCTCTTTCTCATAGTCGTAAGACGCCACGATGAGAGCCGTTTCTCTTGGGCATTGACTGGACTGGTAATCCGCATTGCACAGGGGATGGGTCTACACAGAGATGGCACTCATTTGAGGTTGTCTCCGTTCGAGACAGAGATTCGAAGACGTATTTGGTGGGCAATTTTAGTCTTGGACCTCCGATCTGCTGAGGAACTAGGAACAGACATGACCATTAGCGAGCGATCTTACGACACTTTGAAGCCGAGCAACATCAACGACTCAGATATCAGCCCCGGCAGTACCGAATTCCCCGTTCCTCGAGAAGGGAGATCAGACTGCGCCGTTTCTATCGTTAGATGCGAGATTTGTGGGCTCTCTAGACGTCTCGTCGCCGCTGCCTCGGCCATGTCATCTCTTTGTCCTGGCGTCGACCAAAGCAGCATAGCTGAGCGAGAGCGCATGTTGATCGAGGTGTATCAGCGTGTGGAACACAAGTTTCTCCAGCACGTTCTGGACGAGACAGATCCGCTGTATTGGGTAGCAGCCATGATTGCCCGCGTCATCGTGGCCAAGATGTGCCTTGTCATCTACCATCCTATGCTCTTCCCCGGCTCCGAGTACGAACTCACAGACGAGATCCGTCAGCGAATTTATGTGGCTGCTATTGAGGTTATCGAGTACGGCCACAAGCTCAACACGGATCCTCGATGCAAGCAGTACCGGTGGTTGTTCAAGACGTACACAAACTGGCACGCCATCGCCTACACCTTGATTGAAACATGTCGACGCCCATGGACAGCCCTTGTTGAACGTGGTTGGGACGCCATCAATGGCTACGACATCGATCCTCTTGAACTAGCCAAAAGGGCAGATCACGCCGCAGTCTTTCTCCCGCTACGAAAGCTATTCGCCAAAGCCCGCAAACACCGTGAATCAGAACTCGCTCGCCTCAAAGCAAACCAAGACGAAGCCCGTCGGCTCGATTTTGCAGAGCGCATGAACCCAGCACAAGCACGTTTTGGTCCCGTCCCTGGCGCTGAAAACGTCATGGAACAAATGCGCGAGAAGTGGTGGTCTCTCGTTCGCCCAGACGGTTCCAGTCCCATGCCGTCATATTCCATCGCCCGCCAACCCCCTCCCCCTCAGGAGCCCGCGTCTGCGACAGCTGCCTCTGGCAACGATACACTGAAACCACCGGGCAACATCCCTGTACAGCTTAACCTGTCTAGCGCGGCAATGGAATATATGAACGAACTCATGGCACAGCCAAACCCAAATGTGGCTGAATTCTGGCGGATAGACAACATTGCAAACAATGGCGGCAATCTGGGCTCATCGGGGTCGGCTCCGTCTGCCCCTATGCCCCTTCAGAATGAGATGAGCGAGGATATTCTTCGACAGCAGGCACTCATGTTGCAGGCGCAGCCATCCAAGGATGATGGTCTGACGCCATATTTGTGGAGTGATCCGTTTACTGTGATGAATACACAGTTTGATGTGACGGAGGATGCGGATATGCTGGGGGATGATTTCGATTGGCAGGATTGGAGTCAAAGCATCAGGGGGTTGGAGATGGGGAGTACGCAGAAACATGAGGGTTGGTGAAGCAAAAGGAAAATCAACAGGACCGACTGATGGGGCCGTGGTGTTTGGGTGTATTGTTCCTTGGGGGCGTTTGCTGCTGTGCATGTACGATAAATTTGAGGGAATTCGGTGGGATATGAGTTTTGGTGTTTTGGCATTGATGAGAAAACCTATACCACTTACTTAGTATGAATTTAAAGTTCGCGTCACCATAAACTTAGATGGTCGCTTTGCGAATTTACGGTGATAAAAATCTTCCAGGGAAAAAAATCTAGATGGTCTCGAGAGGGAGATTTGAGAATGTCTTCTCCTGGTCGTGTATAGTGTAGGGGAATGTACAAGACATGATCCACATCTTGATCAACCGAGGTACCTTGGAGGCTTGGACGTGGTAGACTAGGATCGGATAACGCGTTTATTCGAATATTTTTCGGCGTCGTGGAATGCGTGAAAACGATCATTAGGCCCTATTGATGTACAACCTGCCACTCTGTTAATTGATGCCTGATGCTCTTAAAGTCTCGGAGAAATGAAATCGTCATTCTGGCCCACTTTTATTTTCGATCTCAGCTGGCAACTGCGAGACCCATCCCGACCTTTGTTTACTTGCTGTATGCATCATTCTCCAACCTTTTTGCGAAACAAGGTCGACGATAACAGAAACGAAGAACTTTTCAAGTGCTGCAATGGATCCTGGTCGCCGGGTAATGATTGACGACCGGAGGCCTCCCAGTCGCCGTGATGCAACATCTGCCCGCGCCGACGCGTACAACCGAATCTCGAAATCCACAAAACCCGGGCCTTCCAAGACGGCTCAAAATGCAGCCAAGTATCTCACAGAAGAAGAGCAGTCGAGGAAGTTCGTAGCGGATGAAGATAAATTTGTGCTGAAACAGTCCAAGAAGAAGGCAGACATCCGGGTTCGTGAGGGACGAGCAAAACCAATCGACCGGCTCGCCTTCAATCTGCGCTATATTGACGAGGAACGAGATGTTTTCGATGACGATGAGGGCGATATGGATATCCAGCTCGATGCACCGGAAGTGATTGTCCAGGGGTTGACCTTGGCTCAACTCAAGGAACTCGAATCGGATATTTCTTCCTATCACATACTTGAGACGGACAGACGAAATCGACAATACTGGGAAGCTTTGCGTGCAATCTGCGTGGACCTGAAGTCGAAAGTCGATACGAATACTCGAGATGGGCGTGTGGTGAATAGCGTCGTGGACGATATTGATCGCATTCTAAGCCCAAAATCGTATGATCAATTAGAGGCCCTGGAGAAGCAAATCAAGACCAAGTTGCAGACTGATGAAAATATCGACACCGATTACTGGGAACAGTTGTTGCGCCATCTTTTGGTTTGGAAGTCCAAGGCTACCTTGACGCGAATTTACAATGAGATCAAAGAGAAGCGGGCTGAGATGCTGAAAACACGAGGGCCAGTAGCACGACCGAAACAAGACGCAAAAGCAATTTCAAATGCAGCCGTCCCTTCTGAACCGCAACCTTCTCCTCAGCCGGTGGCGAATGAAGATGCCTCCAACGTCACCAACGCCCTCTACGACCGAGAAGCCGCGAGAGGTGTCTCCGAGAATGAAGAGATTTTTAATGCGGAAGAACAAGTACCTACTGGCTCGAAACCTCAATGGGCAGACACATACACAGCACGCAAGCCGAGATACTTCAACAGAGTCCAGATGGGGTACGAATGGAATAAATACAACCAAACCCATTACGACCACGACAATCCGCCCCCAAAAGTCGTTCAGGGATACAAGTTTAATATATTTTATCCTGATCTTATTGATAAAACGAAAGCACCCACTTTCAAGATCATCCGCGAGCATGGAAGGCGGAAAGGGGAGTCGTTTGCAGCGGCTGGTGAAGCCGATACATGCCTTATTCGATTCATAGCGGGACCGCCTTATGAGGATATTGCCTTTCGAATTGTGGACAGAGAATGGGATTATAGTGCAAAGAGGGAGCGTGGATTCAAGAGTTCGTTTGAAAAGGTATGGCTAAATCTAGCAATTCTTTGACTAGGCTCGATTCTCAATGCAGGATTTGTCACGTACTAATTTCTGTCAAGGGCATCTTGCAACTGCATTTTCAGTTCAAAAAGGTAAGCGCTCGCAGGCCCCCCCAAAGTTGTTCTGGAAAGGCGGCTAATCTGAGCCCTGCAGATATTCTACCGCAAGTAGACTGGGAAGATGTTTGCAGGCTTGCATGGTTTCCTCAGCCGCACAGTCGTTTGCCGAGGCGCGGCCGCTTGAATGACATCCGATTGAGTAGCGGAGTGGCCGGGGGGGAGCGACTCACTGATCGTCTCTGCAGGACCATCTTACTTACATGGTGTTGACGTGCTGCTATTTACTTGGGATGAAAACCACAATATGCAGGCTCTGGGCAACGCAATTTGTCCAAATAGATCACCAAGGCTCTGCTTATCGGTTGTTGACTTCCCGTCGATCCTTTGTGCCACGCTGCTGGCGTGCAGCCGTGCCTCATGTTCATCCCTGATTCTTTATTACTTGCATTCGCTGTCCCCACCATGTATCAGACAGATACCGGCGTCGTCGTCATTTGACAACGCAGGTATGGGCCGTACCTACTTTCTTTTGACCAGCGTGTCGGTGTAAGGGGCCGCACTGCCCACCCACGCCCATGACCATGAGATGGATCCCACGGAATTCTTTACTTTTTTTTTCTTCGGCACTGTTCGTTAGATGCACTACTGGTGGCTGAATTCTCAGACGCAGGGGGGATGTCACATATTGGACACTGTCTGGATTGGTGCGGTGTCGCCTGGTGGAATCTGCTGTTTGGCAACCAAGGTCCTCTCTATCACAAGAGCTGGGATCGAGGCGTAATACATGACCAAACTAAGTACCTGCAGCCGAATCTTACATGCATCCCTGATCTACTCTTCGGGGGTTTTCCCGCCAACTCGAGCTGCTCGACAAGGATCACGGCCCAGCCTGCTGAGGCGGGTTGAGGGTTCGTGGACAAGGAGCCTGATTCTAGAAACTCGTCGTCTTCCCTGCATGCTGCATCTCTGGAAAACTTTGGAGCACCATGCTATTGGGTTCCAGCCCTCCGGGTTGCGGCTAACGCTGGATGTTGATCTGAGATGGCCTGCATGGACGGTTTCCTGGCGACCATCAAGATGCGAAGGTGTACAACTTCTGCCGCGCGCAGGCCTCAATGACTTCAGAGATGGGAAGACGGAGCCTTACGCTCCCCAAGTGCAGTCATTTCCAACGACTTGGCCTCCCCCAGTGTCTCCCAATGCCCTCCTGGTTACACAAGCCTTCGTTTGGTGAAATCGTCCAGGCTCATTTACAGCTTTGCCCTGTCTCACAGCCCTCTGGTCGAAATCCTTGCTTGATTGCCCACCCCGGACACACCTCACCAGGCCCAACCGCCACACGCCCCTACGAAGGGTCTGTGTCTGTGTCTGTGAGGACGAGGGCGAACCGCACACCTCACCTCTTGGTCTCGCGGGCCCATCCGAAAGGACGACTTGCTCGAGATGCATGCCGAACGTTAGACGTTGAGGTTTTGTGCCAATTTTTGGGCAGGAGAGGAAGGGCCATGGCCATCAGCCGGCCCGTCTACGGTGCCATGCCCCGAATACCAGGTTTACCTTGTCCGTGCTCAGCGCATCCAGATGTGCGCACAAATGGAGGTACACACGTGCGTGCGTGCATACTGAATACCTACGACACAGAAACATGGGTCGACTGGTGTTTTTTCTCGAGTGTACTACATTGGTGAATGCTTGTATCAGGCTACTCAGGCTCAAGCCCCTTTGCCATGGTGCACGCCCTCCCCAGAACGGCCGGCTTGGTGCCCGCCAACAGACTTGGATGGATAGGACAACGCCCAGGCAAGAAGTTGTCGGCGAGAGCCATGGCTTCAAGGCTAGTTGAGGCAGTTGATTCCTATTATAACGACTTCTCAGTCCATTTGAAAGAACCCGGCCACCTTCCTGTATTTTTTTTCATTCCTAGATACCGCGGGTCGAGACGATTTATATGCGCCTTTGTTGCGGCTGGCAAAGCACCCCTTTCTCGTTATATCCCTACATTGCTGTTCTTGATCTCAACGGGTCCTCTTATACAACTGAGTCAACTTGTGCAGTGTGTTACCGCTGCATGTGACGACCATCGACACCTATCAAGCGCTCCGACGTGCATCTCCAATCCACATATACACATCTACGCGCAGAATAGCACCACTTCATTTGTCTAGCCAAGGCGGACATATACGGAGGACGCTCTGCCTTTGGACGGGAAGACCGGACGGGAAGTACAGCCGTGTGAGCTTCGGCCTTGGTTGACCTCCAAAGACAGATGGGTCCACCATTCTCTGACAAGAGATATCCCGTGAGCTACACGAACTCTTTGGAAGTTGTTAGGGTTGAGCAGCAGAAGCCAGTCACCATGGCAGAGTTTGCTGCGACTCAACTCATGTATAAGAATTCCTGTGCCTTTTCGCAAACCACTTCTTCTTGCGAGACATCCCATCTCAACGAGGTTGGCAACATGACTGTACAGAAAACGACACCTTCATCCTCTGGTTATAAAAGCAACGTCATGACTTCTGGCCTTTCAATTTCAAAGGGTTGTGTGGTTTGGCCATCGCCACCTCTGGCTCCGACTGATGTTGACACCAGCTACTACGTTCAGGACTTGACCATACCGTGTAACTGTTTGGCAGCAGAATGCAATTCAACAGCATCCCCCCATGGTGGGTGGTGTGCTTCGGTGCCTACTATGGACCAACCTTCGGAACAGTATCAAGTTCAAGGAATGTCCAGCAATGTCCAGGATCTCCCCAACATCTCCACGCCGAGTCCGTCAACCGATCTTGGTCTGGATAGCACGGACGGATTTCTTCTTGCCCTCAACTGTGATAATGCAGACCCAAGCAGCCACCTGTGGGGAGTTGATATCACGCCATCGATGAACACATTTGGGAACAGTCCAGCGTCTCAATCTGACTCCGCGGTCGACTCGCCAGCGTCAATGGACACACCCAAGGACACAACAACTACGAATCGTCAAAAGCCTCGATCGATCCCTTCTTCTTTTGCTTCTCCGCCATCGGACTCGACCGAATCTGGGGAAACAGAGAAACCTGACGAGCCATATGCGAAGCTGATCTACAAAGCATTCATGACTCGCCCAAACTATTCCATGACATTGCAGGAAATCTACCAGTGGTTCCGAGAACATACCACCAAGGCAGTCACGGAGACTGGTGGTTGGCAAAACAGCATTCGGCACAACCTGAGCATGAACGCAGTGAGGACAATCCCCTTTGGTCTCCATCTAATTTTGCATCACAGTCTTGTGGAATGTCTTGGAACTAACAGATTATATTTTTTACTCTATAGGCGTTTAGAAAACGTGACAAGGTAGTCTCCAAGGCTTCACGGAATCTGTCGAGCGCAACTGAGGCGTCAAAACGGGTAAACGAATGGGTGCTGGAGGACTGGGCTGTTCGCGATGGAGTACAGAGCACCACAAGATACCGACAAAAAACCTATGCGAAACGAGCCGGGTCCGCAGGACGAAATGGCGTCGAGACATGGGCCGTTGGGCACTCGGTCAAGCGAGCACTATCCGGCCGGAAGGGAGGATGCGCTACGAGAGCCGCCCGAGTGGGAAGAACAAGCCCGTACGGGCAGCTGATGCAATTTCCTCACCACTCCCAGCAAGTGCTTGACTTCCGACCAGTTTCGCCCACCTATGCCTCAGTGGCCGACATCTATGACATGAGACCTGCTCTGCCTGGTCAGTATACTGCCATGCCTCAGTATACGTCACTTGACGCCTACCGAGAAGCAATAATGGGCAGGTGTGGAGGTAATGCCACTTCTGAGCCACAGCAGCTGAGACCAGCGGATTCCAACTCGCAGCAGGCAATGGCCAACGGCGGCAGCGCGCGCCTCGCCAATCACGCCTCGCCTTGCGACGAGCATACGGCACAGAGTAGCAGAATGCCGGCTCTGGACATGGCATTTGGTCCCGGCGAAGTCCAGCGACATGCAAGCGTCAAGTATGAAGACGCCGAGGCTTGTGTGTCTACGTTGCCGACTTGTCGTCCCTATCAGCCCCTGCAGGGGAGCTCATACCTCTGGTGGAATCAAACTGGCCAGTAGCGGGACATGGTGCTAGGCGAGACAGTCGGCGACCTTGCAACGGCTCTGGCCACCTAATATTTCCCGGCCGATCGGTTGCATGGGCGGGAGGGTCTCTTCTGCACGTTGGAGCCCTGGGACATGGGGTGATCATTTGTCATTTTTTGCGAACTGGGGCCGGGCACAGCAGGGGTCAGGGGGTGCCTCTGCTTGGGAATTGGAGATTTGCATGGCTCAACGTCAGTCAATCCCTACAGCAAGATGTGGGAATTGTGGCACATCTGTTGTAGGTGAAGCGGCAAGTTGGGGGGGAGGGGAGGATTTGTGTTTCTTTGCGTGGCAAGGGGACTCTGGCCTACAAGACACGCGGCAACCCTGGTTTTGACAGCTCTTGGCAAAGGCATGCCAGCAACCAAACACAGGCCGAACTTGATGGAGAGCTTGGATAACACACAATCCTTTGCGTTACCCAATGACCCGGGTGGGGGCCTTGTGCAACGGCCAAGCGGCCGTGGTTGGATGGGATAGGGCCGAGAGAAGTCCCAATGATCTGGGTCTCATCGTCTGAGAGCCCGGCACGATCGATGAGTTGCCACCTGTTGTTGCCTTTGCTCTTGGCTGCCGGACATGCGGAGCGTGGGGAAGAGCATATGAGTAATGCTGATGCTGATATCGAAACTACATGGCACGAGAGTATGATGATGGTCGTTGGAGTCGTTGAGAATGCAGCATTCGTGGCATTCTGTGTTCTTTGTCTTTGAAGTTTTTTTTTTAAAAAAAAAACAACAAAAAAACAAAGGCGGACTTCCTCATGCCCAAGAGAATGTTGACGAGCAACTATTCACGTCATTGCTTGGTCCGGGGACCAATCTCGCAGCACCTGAGCACGCTGTTGTGCAACCCCAGCCAGAGTGGCAGACCAGAAGGAACCGGCTGGGCCTTGACGACTGTCGATTCTGCATTCGCCATGATACTCCAGCTCTTTGATCCTTTTTTCTCTCTCTTTTTCTTTTCAATCGGCCTGCAGATGAGGGGCATGGGCGATGCGTAGCGTCCATTGTAATGTGATGATAAGTTTTGTTTTATTTGTTCGCCTTTTTTTCCGTTTTCTTTTGTGGCTGTTTTATTGGCATTGCTTCTCTCTCGTGTATGCATTTTTACGCTGTTTCTTTCATTCTTACACTACCTGGGGAGAATCCATTACCGCATATGAGTTTCTTGGCAGAAGACGGCGCCGGCAACGGCAACTTGACCTTGCAGGACGCGACGGTGGTTAGATGCAGTACGCATATGAAACATACTTGGAGTGATACCACGCAATACACATTTTGTTTCTTGCCATTTCGCAAAATTACAAATTATTTGACAATGCAACTACAACTTCGGGCTCTTGAGCAAAGTTTACACCCTATGTCTATGTTTGCGCCATGTTGCCGGCATGGCTGCGAGTTGCTGCCGCCTCGGAGAATAAAAAACGCACAGCCCGCAGCAGGATCACGTCTCCAGCCGTAAAAGCACGTGAAAGGGGGAAAAAGTAGCGACAGACCCAACCAGAAGCCCAGTGTGAGACATGTCAACGGCCTTTTTCCCCCCTAACGATGGCACGCGCAGTGTCGGATCCGAAGCTTGGGCCGGGCCCGGCCATCGCGGGCAGACTGAGCCCCCTACCCCCCTGGTATTTGCAAAGCTGGACGTGCGTTTTTACTCCGGTTTTATTTCCTTTTCTGTGTTTTTTTTACTTCCCCAATGATGGAACTATGCATGTATGTTCAAGGCTGGTGCGAGACATTTGGGGTACTGTTTCGGTGCATGAGCCGGCACTAGACGACTTGTTTTGGCCAACGGCTTTTTTTCTTTCCTGCGGGGGGGTGTGAGAGTATCTTCCTTCATTTTCAGTTCATTCTCGACACACAAAGGCCGTGGACGCCACGGCGAGAGAGGCCGTTTCTTATTGTTGTAGTAGTTTGTGCAAAAACCTGAAATAACCCGCTGGGAAAGGGCCGACTGCGCAGTGTATATATATACCGTTATATATAAAGTGCCGCGGTCTGATGCAAACATTTGATTTTCCCCCTCTGGCTGGACATTGGTTCCCAACGGGCAGCTCTTGCGTTTCACACTACGTCCGCAAAGGGACCAAAACATTTGCATGTGTGTGTGTGTTTTTTTTGTTCAGACATGGAGAATTCCGCAACGACGGCTGGGTCAGGCCCCCCTCTTCCCCCTTCTTTCTCTGGTAAACGACCCCAGGGAAGAGGAGAAAGGCGGGCACACGGATCGCGGGATTGTTATCATCTCCATTGGAGGCGTCTTGGGGTTTGATGGCTGCGTACGGAGTCCATGGGCACACGAGCACTAGCCAGGATGAATGGTCCGGGGATCATGGGTCCTTCCCGCGTCCTGGTGTCACCGGCTTGGGACTACCTCAGATCTCCTTTTGAGCATGGTTTGAAGGGGATCAGAGGGTGCCTGTGCGACCTCATCTTGTCCCGCGTTGCGTGGTCTGGCGTACCAGGGCTCCTGGCGGGCATCGGTACGGGGTACGGAGTACGTGTTGCGCAGATATTCTTCTGACAAGCTGTGGGAAGTGGGAGGAGTCTTTTTCGGTGTTCCCCTCCTCTTGCTTCCCTTTGGCCCCGTGCGCGTTCAATGGTGTTTCTATATATTTTTTGGCTTCTAGGCTCGTCTTGTTTCCGCAACAACCAACTGCCGTCGTGTGGACAAGGAGTTTGCGTGGCTGCAACTGGCATGGCGCCGGTATGCGTTTGGCTTCCTATCTGTTGAATATCCAGCGGCCGTATGAGGCTAAAAAGGTAAGTGGTCTTACTGGCATAGTATCAAGCCACTGTGTTGACAGAAAGACACATGTGCATCAACATAGTATGACATGAGTGTGGTTCCGTGCCCCCCTCCCCTTTCACTGAGTCGTGCGACAGTATCTGCTCTGTACTTTGGATGAGGTTGCATGAGAAAAGGCCTTGACATGTCTTAGATTGCGCATGTTGCGACATGCCCGAACCGTTGTCCTCCACAGACATCTCAACACCGAGCTGCGTACCGAGGACTGCGTGCCCACCAAGCAGGCTGCTCCTGTTGCAGCTCTGTGCACGTGTACAAATCAAATCACTCTTGCTTCATGTCGTGTCTTCTTCAATATGTGCCCCTATTTCCTTATCACGGACAAGAAGCTGACGGTGTGTTGGCCTTGTAGGACTGGGCTGCTTGAAAGTAGTGGGAATGGAACTGATCAGGATGAAGTCCTGTTCAATTCGCGCCATGCCCGAAGCCTTACGTCACATGTGTGCAACGTGAGGCACTCTGCGCAAATCTTGGCAAGAGTACCAGCCGAGTTGAATATGCACCCCCTTGGAGATGCGGCCGATGCTGATTTCCAGCCCAGCAGCCAGTATACAAAAGTCGTCGTGGGTGTCTCTGTCGCACATTTCAGGAAGAATCAACATTATCCTTGAAAATAAGTGCTAGAGGAATTTTTCATTATCTTGTTCAAATTTTATGAATGCCAATAATGGGAATGCCCATTGAATTAAGAGATGCTTCAGGGTTGGTTTGTAGCCCCTCAATCATGTGTGTGGTCGGAGCCGTACAATGCGCATCGTATAACACTCACCGAACGAACACGAACCCGTTGGTCCATCCGGTCTAATTTGTTTTTTCTAGGAATATGCATCAAATCGGCCATGGCGGCAACTCTCCAGGCTGTGTCATAGGGCGTTTTTATACCCCCCTGCCATTCCCACATTATTGCGTCTGCGCCTATGCGCCTCACGTCTTCTGAACACCAGAGGTCCAAGCCAACTACAACCAGATTCGTCCATCGTCCATTATACCGGTTACGTATACGTTGGACAGTCCACGATGTGTGGCTTGGTGAGGTTGAGCTGAGCTGCAACAAGATATTCGCATATTCGCAACTGCAAGTGTGCGAAACCTGACCAGCAGCGGGGGCCAATTTCCAGGAGTTAATTTAGACCCTGCTCCCGTTTTTTTGGGAATAAGGCTGCCGTCGTCTAAACTTGGCCAATTTAAACCAATATTGGTCGAGTGGATTGGCGGCTCGTCGATGGTACTCGGCAATGTGAAGGGCTCCCCTTCGGCGCTCATGCCGAGGACGTGAAATTCAGGGCGAATGAAGGAATGAGTAGGCCTTGTCGAATCCACGATTGAGAATCTCATGTGTCAGTACAATGGCGGTCCGGCCAGCATCTAAACTACCGGGTCAAGAAAACGCGTCCTCTGAGTTTCCATTCGCGTGGCTCGGTTTTTTGGGAGGTCCTATTCGCCAATGCACATCTCGGTAGTTCGTGGAAGGAACTCAGCCTCGTGTCGATCGCATGGAATCAACGGCTCCGTTTCGTGTCGCTTTCGACTCTAGAACGCTCTATGCATGAACTCGGTGACGCCGGTCCAAGCTTCCGTCCAAGCCGGAGCATCATCCAAGGCATTCTAGCTTTGTTCTCTCTTCAGCCCAGTTCGCCCCATCACTGTTGTCGTAATTGCGCGGTCGACGCCAGAGTAGACGTTTGAAACACGACGAAAGTTGGTCGAATTATCCATAGAAGGGGCAGGTTGGAAGGAAAGGGGAGCAGAAACATGAGCGCATGGCTGGGATACTCCGTAGTTATAATGTAATCTGCCCGTCGTGCCCCCTTGCCACAGCATTTCTGCACTCCCACACTAGCGAATGAATTGGTCCGTCTTGAATGCAGGATAAGCAGCCATCTCTGTTTGTGACATTGTGCAGAATACCTGTCCCTGATCGCGCTACAAGATCTAGGACTGGCAAGGATGTGAAGACAGCGGGGCGTCAGATCCCAGTAGTAGTAGTTCTGGACTCCTGATGCCACTTGAGTTGTGGCGGCCGCTGCCACAGAGGCTTTCATGATGAGGATTGAACTACTACTACTCCGTAGTAGAACGTCTTTCGACAGCCCCATGCAAAATGTGTGATGGCTTGCTCTTTCGTCGTCCGGGCACGTGGACTCGGCTGGCTGCCTGATTGTCCTGCTCCCATGTTCCGCTGATGTCGGGGATCCATACGCGTCGCAAGTCTTCGCGTTCAATGTAACAGGTGGTGTGCTTCGAGACGATTGTCGTTGAAGCAAAACCCAAGGAGAGAAGGGGAAAAGAAAACCTGGATTCACCATTACTCCTCCGCTTTGCAGAATGCAGTAGATGGTAAGCAGCAAAAAGGGCATATCGTGACACCGCCGGTCCCTCCATCTTTATATTGCACAGCGGTAATGCTGGAGTCGCTCTTCTGCATCTCATCTCGCCAGGACGGATGTTTCAATTTTGACGGATGAAAATGCTCAACAGCGCCCCTGGCTGCTAGGAAAGAGGTGTGATTCGGGTATCTGATAACCACGAGGCGACCTTACCTTGACTGACATCAAAGTACCCTGAAGCAGGGTGACCCTTGATGTTTCTGTGTGTAGCCCTTCGTACATATATCAGAAACATAAAAGTGGGATGGTTGTGCCTTACAAGATACCCGCATTACATCAAATTTCGACTATAGCTGTGTCTCTAGCCAAAGATGATCGACCTCTTTGTTGGCAAGCTTGAATACATTAGCATCTCTGAATTTGAAACCATAACCAAGATGCATACGGAACGATCAGTCCTGTAAATACAGTGTATAAACCCAATGAGAATATCCAATCTTATTGTGCATATGTGATACTTCCCATCCGGATTGCCAGACCACTGTTCATCGCCTAATTGCAGCAGCATGTGGCCATGGGGCCCGAAGTACTCATAACATAACTCTCGTTATACGACAAGAGTCAAGTTCTCCCACTAGAATCGTCTTTTTTTCTTTGCTGGACCAGCCGCAGCTTTTCTCTCTAGTTCGCGTTTGAGCTCCTCTCTTTTGCGATCTGCTCGTTCCTCTGACGTTTCTCGTGGCTTTTCATCTTTGGGAGAGTTTGCTCTGCGAGTTGCCAGCCGACCACGTTCTGTATCCTCATCTTGCCTTTCTACCTTGGATTTCTTGCCACCAATCGTGCCAAGCTTCCTAGGTCCTGTGTCCCTGGCTACGGGAGGTGGACTTGCCTCTGGCCTACTCGCGCTGTCCAGAGGGTGTGTATTCATTGCTCCTCCACCAATTCTGCCAAGGCCCGCTGTCTTGCTAGGACGTTGAACGGGTGATGGAATAGGCGATGAGGCAGGCACTGAAGCCGTGGCATCATCATCTGATGCCTCAGATGCCGTCTCTTCATCGTCCACCGGCGGATTTGCGGTCTTACGTCTTGGCGGCGGTGACGGGGCCCGAGGTGGTGCCGGCTGCTTCTTGCCTCCAATAGCTCCTAGCCGGGAGCCTCCAGGCCTAGAAGTTTCAGGTTGTCGCGTACGGTCAGACAGAGCGGGTGGCGGATTGCTATCTAGAATGGAGTCTTCTTCCCCATCCGTAGAGGCGTCATCTGCTGGTAGTACATTACTCACGGTTGCACTCTTCTTTGCTGACCGCAAGTGTGGAGGAGTAGACTGAACCTGAAAGTCATCGTCATCATCGCAGTTTGATGGTTGTTGTGGAGGTGTGACGGCCTGCCTCTTTGAAGCTGAACCCTTGGGTTCCTTTCGTTGGAATCTTTGGCTTGTCGGCAGGAAATCATGCCACCATTTGTCTAGTTCAGGAGACTTGTCCACCTCTAGTGTAGAACGAAACTCTAATCCAGTATCACCGAACACGTGCTGTATAAGGTCATTCACAGAACTTGGGCCGACATCATCTGAGTCAAGCTCCTTCTTCCACCGCTGCTCGTTGAACGGCGCCAGACCTTTGACCCGATCCTCAGCGGCAGCACGTGTAACCTTTTTTCGGCCAGATAACGCCGTAAACACATGCTCCAGTCCAGTTCCCATTGCTTCCAGCTTGTCCGACAGCTTGGTGACCACCGCATCCTTTTCTGCAATCCTCTGGATTAATGACTGTATCTCGTGTTTCGTACCAAACTGTGCTTGAATCAGCGGTAAGACCAGATTGGTTGCGACTGCGGATGGCGATTGTTTCTTTAGATGTATTGGCCACTTCAATGCATGGAATCCTGGGAGCGGACAAGTTATCTTCAACGTGATACCATCGTCTGCGGCACCCGAATTGTCTTCTGGAGCTAATGTAAGGCTCGTCTCGTCATGTCCAGCCTGCTTAGAATCTAGTGCCTTCCTCAGACACGACAGGAATGTAGTCATGTTCTCAGCGGTGTCACTGGGATCGATGCTCGTGTCCTCGCTCCAACCTCTCATGCAAATGGCTTTCCTATCCAAGCTTTCCATCCATATATTTGCCATGTCACTGACACGGATCACATATGAAGACGGGCCTGTCTCAAAGGACACCAAAAGCACGGGAATGCTGGATGATACCGGTAGGGGCAGAAATCGCCACGTCCCTAGCGTCCCTGAAGCCATAACGGTACCTAATAACCGGTTCTTTTGGTTCAGATGATTGAATATGGCAGCACCTCACGCACTCATGACGGAAGTATAGGCTTCGAGACCACCCCTGGGTTGAGATCTATAGCGAGGTAAGACTGGAATAGTCCATGAGGCCGAGCCTCGGCGAATACAAGCCGGAATTCAAAGTGAGACTTACAAGGGAAAAGCGTATATTACACAGAACGAAAGGGTGTAGGGGCGTGTTTGGCGAAAACTCGAAAGGCCTGTTACAGACGGGGAGCAGGGTCCGGACCAGAAGCCGACAAGCACAAAGGCAAAGGCAAAGGCAAACCCGGGCAGTTCAAAGAGCAATGGTGTTTGTATCACTTTGATGGAGTTGATACAAGCCACGGGCCCGGTTCACCATGCGCAGGAAGGCACCTGTATCGCTGGACTGTGTCTCGGCTCTCAAAGAGAGGAGGCAAGTGGTGTTTCTCAAATTTGGGTTTCGGGAATCCGTTGGTGAGTGGCTAGACGCTGCTCGCAAGACTCAGACTGAAAGCTCGGGATTAATATATATCCATGGATTTGTGGAACGCGTCACGGCAGCAGTCTTGAGATGAAGCCGCACCTTGTTGTTCTCGAAGCGAAAGCGAGCGCATTGTCCCAGGTCCATGTGTGCAAAATCCCCAGCCATGCTATGTTAGGCTCCAGGGCCAGTTGTGCAACCAGGGAACGTCTCCATACCATGTTTTCCTCGAGCTCCCTGATTGGGCAGCTGGTAGCAGCTGCCAACATTAGCTAACAGCTGTCATAACCAAAAAGGATTTTAAACCTTGAAGTGACTTAGCAAACATGCTTGTATTGGGAGCAGTTAATTGAGCGACCGTGGGAAAATACCAGTTGGCATGTGCAGTCATCGAAACAATAGGCTATTCTTGATTGATTTGGACAGGTTATTTTCATGGAGGTAAGTCGGCAGAGAGCATGTGAGCTGAGTGACCGACATCTCCAAGAAGAGAAACGACGTTCCGAAGCAGGAAGAAATATGCGCGCCGTCATACAAGACTCTTAAACCCCTTTATTTGATTGATCTGATTCATGTAGATCCAATTCCAACACAAGCTCCACGATACAGGGTAGGGTATTCCTAGACATTTCGATCGGCAGATGGAAAGATGCAAGCTGCAAACCCGATCTTCGGAAACCTTTCGATGCGCTCCACATCGGCCGACTCCCACGCCATGCCATCATCGACGCGATCGAGCCTTAGAAGGAGTCGTTTTGCCATATGGACTGTGTGATCCCCTGAGCAGTTTCATCCTGCTGCCATGACATTTTCTACTTTAATCTACGTCATTTCATGCTCCGCGCAGATGTAATCAACAACCTAGATGAGACCAACATCACTTGTGTCGAGCTTTGAGTTTTGCCAAAGATCAATTCCTGCGTGTCTTTATCCTACAGACCTGAGTACCGCATCCTTCCATCTCCGTATTCGCCGCCGTAACAATTTCGCTACCATGGCTCGAAAATCATCGAAACGCAAGCCGTCAAGTCCTGACCACACCAACGGCAATAGTGCTAAAAGGTCGAGGAATGCCAATGGCCTCCGCGAACCACATCCCTTAGCTGCGGAAGCTGAAAGGCATGGCATCGTGCTTCGCAAATACTATCCACCAGAGATGAGCAATGCGCGAGCTCGCGCATACAATAATAACGAGATTCCACGTCCCATGGAGGACCTCGTCACTGCTCTGTATAATACCACAGAGCAACGCCAGAGGGTGGAAGCCAAGGATTCTGTAATCCATTGGTTCAAAACAGATTTGCGGTGTAACGACAACAGAGCCCTTGCCCTGGCCAGCGAAAAGGCAAAGGAGGCCGCTGTGCCCCTGATTTGCATGTACATTGTCAGCCCACAAGACTTTGAAGCGCACCTGACCTCGCCTGTGCGTGTCGACTTTATTCTGCGAACTCTTGAAATTGTAAAGAGGGATCTGGCAAAATTGGATATCCCCCTCTATATCGAAACGGTGGAGAGGAGGAAGCAGATCCCTGATAGAATATTGGAGTTGATGGAGCAGTGGGGAAGCCGACACTTGTTTGCAAACATGGAATATGAGGTGGATGAGCTTCGCCGGGAAGCAAACATGGTTCACGACCTTGCAGAGAACGGCAAATCGTTTGAAGTCGTTCACGACACCTGCGTTGTGCCGCCTGGGCAGTTGCAAAGTGGCTCTGGGAATCAATATGCTGTCTATTCGCCATGGTATCGATCATGGGTTGCTCATATCCATGCCGATTTGGACTTGCTTGAATTATTTGATCCCCCAAATAAAAACCCCGGAACGGCGAGAAAACGGTTCAAAGACCTGTTTGATTGCGCTGTTCCAGAGGCACCATCAAACAAGCAGCTCACAAAGGAGGAAAAACGGAGATTCCATTCCCTGTGGCCTGCTGGTGAGAATGCTGCAAAGGAGAGACTGGACAAATTTTGTGAAGAAAAGATTGGTGGCTATAGCGACAACAGAAACATTCCTGCACAAGATGGAACGTCCTCTCTGTCGGTACACCTGGCTAGCGGAACTATCAGCAGTCGTACGTGCGTACGCACAGCTAGGGACAGAAATAAGACGAAGAAACTAGACGGTGGCAATGAAGGTATTCGAGTTTGGATAAGCGAAGTCGCTTGGCGTGACTTTTACAAACATGTTCTCGTCCATTGGCCCTACATATGGTAAGTATACCACATCAAACCACAAGTTGACATTGCAGTCCTAACAATCATTAGCATGAATAAGCCATACAAGCCAGAATACTCCAACATTGCCTGGTCTTACAACGAAGAGCACTTCAAAGCTTGGTGTGAGGGTCGCACTGGGTTTCCCATTGTCGATGCTGCAATGCGACAGCTCAACCACAATGGCTACATGCATAATCGCTGTCGAATGATCGTTGCCTCATTCTTATCAAAAGATTTGCTCATTGATTGGCGCAAGGGCGAGCGATATTTCATGGAGCATCTCATTGATGGCGACCTTGCCAGCAACAACGGCGGCTGGGGATTCAGTGCTAGCGTCGGCGTTGACCCTCAGCCATACTTTCGAATCTTTAACCCGCTTCTCCAGAGCGAGAAGTTTGATCCGGAAGGGGTGTATATCCGTAAATGGGTACCAGAACTGCAAGATTTAGACAGCAAGGAAATCCATGATCCATATGGCCGAGGAGCAGGCGCCAAGGCAAAGAAGGCGGGATACCCGAAGCCAATTGTCAATCACAAAGATTGTAGAGACAGGGCCTTGAACGCATACAAGGAGGGAATCGCCAATGGCATGTAGAGTACGATGCGAGTTGGGACTTTGATCATTCTATGTATATTAATCATTACCTGAGTTAAGATTTGCGTTCCTTTCAAGGCTCGTTAAAATGACATTGTCACATTGTTTGCGCATGTCTGACCCGTATCTGTACTTTGGCGCGAAGCTTTGTCACCACAGCTTTTTGAAGGCCAGAGTTTTATCTGCGGCACGGAGACTATCGAGGTAGCCCCAGAATCCTCGGCCAAGAAGATTGGCGACAAGGCGCCAGCCTGAGGAGACTTTACTAGCCGGGTTTGGTGCGTAAAACATAAGAAATTTCATCGTCACATGTAGAAATCACGTCGGGACATCCAAAATCGAACAGGTAGGTAGGTGTTTTGTGAATTTTAGCTTGTCTCGGAATCGAGCCCAAACGCCTTTTTGAATTGGATGTGCTAAATGCAGCCAACTCTAAGATCCACAACGCAAAAATTCCTCCATGCCCGGCCCAATGCCCTGGAGAATGCCAATTAGAATCGTCATGTTGCCATAAGATTTTTGTCTCGTCTCCTCGTTTCAACCCTCTCCCGCTCGCGCCGCTCGACTCGAAATAAGAACAGTGGTGTTGTCGGTTTTTATTTTCTTTGTCGTTCCAAGCGTGTTTATCGCTGAGCGCTCCAGACGTTCTTCAACAGACCGTCACGCTGAGCAAGACGGTTCATGGAGTCGTCGGACTCGCCCATGGCGCGGACGAAACCGCAGAGGGCATAGACGTGGCTCTCGCCGCTGATGGCACGGCCGTTCTCATCAACCTTGGCGATGCTAATCTGGACGGAGCCGTGGTCCTTGGCCTTGATGATGCGGTTGGTGGCAGAGCACTTGCGGGGGACGTAGCTATAAGACCAAGTTAGTTTATTCGTATTCTATCGAGAGCGATTATGATAATAACTGGTCGAAGATGACGTACAGGTCCACGATCTCGCCACGGTCGTTCTCCATTTTGTCGGTTGTGTGGTGACGGGGGTGTCTTGGGGTTGAGTTGAGCAGTTGTCCGACGTCGATGTGGTCGCCAAAAAAACGCTTGGAGTTGGCCAGACAAATTTGACATTGCTCAATAATTTCGTGGAGCGGGGAGGGCTTTCTGTGCGTCATGTGATAGGTCACCTGATAACGCGGTGCTTTCGTGGAGTCCTGCCCCTCGTCAGAGGCTAAGATCTTTGGTTCCGTATCCACCTCCAATTTACGCGTTGCAGGATCACCCGATGCTGGCAGGAGAGCTTTCCTCACATCGTATCTATCGCATAATCGCCCGACAACATTCTGCTGCTCCGCAGGGTCTTGAGACGCGCTTTGCGCTCTCAGACCCATGTCTCTGGGGCAATGACATCTCCCGATGTGTTCTTGTCTCCCTCGCGGGGGTCGAGGCGACACGTAAATATGATTCCGACCTCATCGCCAGATTTGCCCACCGTGCAAGATATATTGCTTCAGAAGCAAAAGCGACCCACCATGCGAAGCGGTAGCGAGTCTGCGCCTATTCCTAACGATGCGGATTCGACCTTTGCGAATGCGCGAGAGTTATGGCAGTCTGCACGGTGCGCCGAGGTCAATCAGTTGAGCCCGTCTACCACACCTAAGAAAGTGATTATAGTGGATGACATTGATACCCCCGTATGCATACTAGAACATGAACCAGAAGCAGAATCACCGCGACGAAAGTCCCATGTACCGAAAGGAAGTGCCAATCTATCCAGCCCAGGGGTATTCGAGTTGGTTGACGAGGAGGTAACTTCACGCCGACCCTGGAAGAAATACAAGCCCAAGACTCCGGAAAAATATGCCAGTCCACGCGGCGCCTCTGTGGAGAAGGAAAGTCTCTATCTAGTCTCAAATCAGACGACATCAGAGAGAAGAAGCCGCGAGACAACTCCGTCGCGAGATCCACCAATGTTGGAACAAATGGAAACCACAAAATGTAATACGGAAGAGCCATTGCTGTTAGAGCCTGCAATGATTCGGAGAAAGGATTGGACGCCTCCTACGGAGAAATCAGCCGTTATTCTTGATTCTGACACGTCACCATTACAAGACGATCTACATGCGACTGACGAGAATGATCCTAATAAGTCGTTTGGTAACATTGTTTCTGCTTACATGTGTATCAACGCTACTACTCAAGAAATTGAAACACATCAGGGTGATGAATCTAATGCGCAGAAGATCAAGACTACATTTCCAGAAGCCGAGTCAACTCCTGGCCCTCCGATTACCAGGAAGTCCGTCACCAGACCAAAGGCGATGCGGAAAAAGGCCAGAACCATTACCGCCATCGCTACAGCCGCCTACAGACAACCATCTGAAGCTGAGCCTACAAATGGAATACGAGATGTATCTCCTCTTACAAAACCTAAGCCGTTAGCTAAAACGACGAAAAACACCAAGCCTCGTAAAAGACCGTCAAAAACGAAGAAAAAGCAGGAACCGCCAAAGCCGGTGCTGTTCTCTCCTGAAACGGCACTAAGGCAAGTTGCCAAGCAGGACTTTGTATTTGGAACCTCTAGCCAGTTAGCTACAGAACGGTCACCGACGTTTCTGAGAGACCTGCACCTTACGATGAAGAACTCAAACCAGCTCGACTATGTCGATTTCACAACTCCATTGAATAGCGACGCTATTGAGCCACCCGAAGGTCGGTCACGGCTTTGGAATGCTGCAGCCAGAGATGCAGACGGTGATCTGTTCGACGTGGAAGTGGTCAATCTCACTGAAGCCAGCCCGGAATTTCCAAAGACGCCGGGTGCCGTAGACCCCTTTGGATATTTTAAGGGCGACGACGCACTAACTCCATCTCATGCTTCTGGGTCTACGATAAGTAGCGATAAGGGGAAAGAGTCAGTTGCCGATTTGCCGGCTATCCTATCTACCGCAGGATCGCGAGCGACATATACTGCAACGAATAGTTCAAATGCTCTCAGTGGCATGGGGCCAAGCGTACAGCAGACGGGAAAGCTATCAGTCACCCTAGAAGTCACAAGCTCGCCGGAACTTGCAAGCAAAGAGAATACGGCACCAAGAACTGCAAAACATCATTCACAACCGACGTTCGAGCATTTAACCGACGCGCAACTGTCAAAAGAGATATCTCGGTACGGCTTCAAGCCAGTAAAGCGCCGTTCGGCCATGATAGCTCTTTTAGACCAGTGCTGGCAGCAGACCGGCGATGCCAGCCAGGGGATCCGAATGCTTTCCACGGCTGCTGCCATTTCCCCGACGAAACGACCGCGCGGCCGACCAAGGAAAGATTCGGTAGAAGTCAGCCGGACACAAGAGCCCCCTCCATCTGCGCAAGCTCCTGAGACACCAAAAAAGCCTAGAGGAAGACCAAGGAAAGATTCACAGACGACACCGGGCAAGCAAGCGGTGTCCAAACGCACTACCACGCCAACAAAAAAGCGAACAGCCGGTAGCAACGCCACTCCTAAGAAGGCGAAGGCCGTAAAGGTGGTTGAGATACCGGATTCGGAGTCTGAGCTAGCAGATCCTTTGGAATCATCACCACATTCATCATCCAGCTCAACACTTTTTTCCCCGCGTCGGGACGACCTGGCCATGTCGGTTGACAATGATACAGAGCTCTCGCTTACAATGACGCCTACAGATGTACAAGGCTGTTTGTTTACGCATATCACCAAGGCTGTCACGACTGCACCACGTACTACCAACCCTGCTAATCCATCTTGGCACGAAAAGATTCTACTATATGATCCAATCGTGCTGGAGGACTTGGCGTCTTGGCTCAACAGCGGACAGCTCAGTCGCGTTGGATACGATGAAGAAGTTAACCCTGTTGAGTTGAAGAAGTGGTGTGAGTCAAAAAGCATTTGCTGCTTGTGGAAGGTGAATTTGAGGGGGCGAGAGAGGAAGAGATATTGATTGTCTTGGCGCATGGACGAAGAAACAAGATTTTGTTTAGGTATTGGATAGAGAGACGGCTTGTTATTATATGCTCTGGAGTATGGAGTAGATGCCGTCAACTGGTGAACGATAGACCAATTTGAACAATAATATTCGAGGCTGGTTTTGGTACCTGCATGTGCCTCAACTTACGGCCCTTGTTGGCGCAGCTGGAGAAGCAGCTGGGGTTCTGGTCCCCACGGTTCCCACGTGCAGACTCTTTGCAGACAAGCGTGGATATTCGGGGCTCCGTTCTAGTTTGCGTGGAGTAAAAAACCACCGTCAACCGATCAACAACCCCAGACTTTTGGCTACACATCCCAAGCGGACCTCGGCTCAATTGAGGCCCCCGCCATCTTGGTCGCCCTCATATCAGATGCCTTGACTCGACTTTATCGGGTATATATGGCCTGTTTACTACATCCCATGTGGAGGCGACTGGCAGCGCATCAGACCATCCAAAGCCATTCAATACCCTTCACACGCTGCAGCGCCATCTTATTAACCTCTTCACCATTGGCTCTCAAGCCCTCACCACTTCGCACAATGGCCTCTCAGACGCGTGACGCCAGCTCCAAACCAGGCGTGCAAGAGCCCCGTCCCAGCTCGTCTGTTCTTCTGCTCTCGCCAACAAATGAGATATTGCTGCTGCATCGAGTAAAGACCTCGACGTCATTTGCATCGGCGCATGTCTTCCCAGGCGGGAACCTAGATCCACTCCACGATGTCGACGACGGTGATATTCCCGGCCCCGAGAGCGCCGAGAGACACCGGGACGGCCCAGCCTACAGAATGGGCGCTATAAGAGAGACGTTTGAAGAGACGGGGATCCTGCTGGCGACCAAAAACGGCGCGTTGGTGAACCTGTCCGCCGAACAGAGGGACGAGGCGAGGAAGAATATCCACGGAAACAAAGTCAAGTTTGGCGACTTTCTGAAGTCGATTGGCGCCGTGGCCGACACAGGTTCGTCTCCCGCCACCGGCCGCCGTTTCCCATGACGGAACAGCCCATGCTAATGAGAGAAACTCCAGCCGGCCTGATCCCCTTCACGCGCTGGATCACGCCGACCAATGTGCCCAAGCGCTTCACCACGCAAATGTACCTCTACCTGCTCCCCATATCCAAGAGATCGGTGCCGTCGGAGATTCTGCTGCCCACTCCGGACGGCGGCGTCGAGCACACGGCCGCACAGTTCGCGCCGTCGCAGTCGTGGCTGGACAAGGCCGCCGACGGTTCCATCATCCTCTTCCCGCCGCAGGTGTACCTCATGAAGATACTCACTCGGTTCCTGACGGGGTCGACGTCTGCCCTGGAAGAAGGCCCGCTGCACTACACGGCGCAGCGGAAGAAGCTGGTTTCGTTCCTGAGGAGGAGGGTGACTGCGGAGACGGACAGGGGCAAGCAGCATCCCACGGCGACGATTTCATGGGCCGACAAAGTGATAAGCCCGTATCACTTGCTGTTCAGAGAGGAGGACGGTCGCGTGGTGCTGGCGCTGGATAAGCCCGGCCCCGAGCTGGAGGGCAGTGATAGGGGCGGTGATTGGGAGAGGGTTGCGTTGGTCAAGTTTGGGCGAGGAGGCCCCTCCGAGGTCGAGATTAGAATGAGGGAGGAGGTGTTGGCGGAGCAGAGGGCGAAGCCGGATACCAGGTTATAGAGTCTTTTGTAGTCGGCGGATACATGGCGTTCTGGTGTGCGGCCTGTAGAGGCATTTTGGTTTGTACGCACAGCATATAAATGTACAGGTGGGAAGCAAGAGTCCGGGTCGTTGGTAGGCAGCGATGCCGGTGTGTCGTGCAGTATATTTTAGATATTGTACTATACTACTTAAGTAGTCTACACGGCTGGTAGATGGCCTTTTTTTAGCAAGCATTGCGGCATATACTTCCAGGTTGTGTCACGCCCGATCAACGGTCATCCTCCAGACGGAAACCTACCCGGTACCTCTGTTGATGGATTTGAACAAGCCCAAAGCAACCTAACCGACTTGCTTCGTAACTCTGAACAACTGAAAATAACTTGCCGTGCTTGGCCAACGATCCTCGTTCATAAATGACACACCTCACGGCCTGCAACCGTGATACCAACAAGTGTCGTCATCATGTTGCGCAAGGACCAAATACAAGCAGTCACATACACCGACCATCAGCCACTCCAAACAATCACCATCCCCCAATCCCAGCCTCAAACCATGCCTTGAACTAGATCATCCAATCCCCATCCGCGCGGCAATCAGAAAAATGCATCTCGCCAAAGAAAACAAGTTCCTTCTCATATGTACATACCCAGCTGCGGGGAGACCAGAGCCCGTCGCACTGCACAAGGCCCTTCCCATCATCTGCGTGCATTTGAGCAAGTTTTCTTTCCGCAAGCGCTCAGATCTGCCCTTTTCCCAGCCGCATTCCACTAGCCTTGACTCGCCAATTCCAGGGACCTCCCAGAAAAAAAAAGGACGCAAAGGAGCGTCAACTGCTTCAGCGTACTTGAGCAGGTACTTGTAGTTCCCGTGCCAATAGAAGATGGATTCAACAAAGGTTCCAGCCAAGAGATTTATTTCCACGTGTATGTAGATCCGGGATCCAACGACCGCAAACTCAACAATGGGCCAGGTACCCCGTTAAAAAAAAGGACAAAACAAGGCACATCTGAGTGAGAGCCGATTCAAGCTTAACCACATCTCCAGTCCGCCACAACGCCACATTCTAAACCAACCCGAATCCAGCAAACGCGGGCCTAGACCCCAGTCCACATCTTCACTTCCATGACATCGGCTCACGTCCCCGCGGAAGGTCTGACAGGAAAGCCCAGCAAATCCAATACTTATCGTGGCTTTCATTTTTAATTTCACACATGTACTAATATATGTAAAACCAGGCAAAAAAAAAAAAAACTTGCGCGCCCCTCCCCGCGTCTTGGTTCCATTTGAGCACGTCACAGGTATAAGTCACACCGTCCCCCCTCCTCGTAGACATCTCCCCTCCGCCAGAACAATTCAGTTCCCCTTCACCTCCCCTAGCTTCCCTCCCTCGCAATCATTCAACGAGACAAGATGCTGTCCACGCTCGTCCTGGCGCTGGCCGCTGTCCACGGCGCAACAGCCCACTTTGGCCTGACGTACCCGCCGTGGCGAGCAGACACGCTCGCCGCCGAGAATGAAGCCAAATACAGCCAATGGAGCTACCCATGTACGCAACCCAGCGCCGCACCTGCTGCTGCTCAACACCCCAGAATGATTCGACATCAGATGTAACTGACAATACCAGGTGCTGGCGTCGACTACAAGGCCGGCAACGTGACAGACTGGCCCATCGGGGGAGGACTCCTCGCCCTCGACCTGCACCACCCCTGGACCTACGTCTTTGTCAACCTCGGGCTGGGCGAGAACGCGACCAACTTCAACGTCTCGCTCACCCCTCAGTTCTGGAACGTCACCGGCAAGGGCACCCTGTGCGTCGACAAGCTCCCCGTGCCCGTCGACGTGCAGGACGGCGCCCTGGCGTCGCTGCAGGTCGTCACGTCGGGCGCGAGCGGCTCCGCCCTGTACAACTGCGCCGACATCCGGTTCAAGAAGGACGCCAAGACGCCCGGCAACTGCACCACCTCCAAGGGCATCACCGTGCAGAACGTGACGGGGCAGTCGTCCGCCGGCAACGCCTCGGGGAACGGTACTTCTGACGGCAAGCAGAGCGCCGGTGTCGCGGCGGGAGCCAACGTCGTGGCCTTGGTAACCGTGGCTGCCTTGGCTTCTGGGTTTGCAATGGGCCTGTGAGGGTTTGTGGGAAAGCAGGACACGAAATTAGATGACAGGAACCATGACGAAATGACGATGCTTCTATTGTCTATGGGCACCGGCGGTGCCATGAGATGCTATCATGTATGTACATAGACGAGCCAAGAATGCAAAGATATGATATATATGCAAAAGAAATATGTCAAGGGTATATAAGAGTGGAAATTCGCCACCAACATTGCAACATCCTAAACATCTGTTAGCCGAGTTATGCTTGTTTCAACAAGACCAGCGCGACTTGACTTACCCATCATTACTCGTGTACATGAAACCCCAGTCAACCCCCAATGCCCACATACCCAGTCGTAGTCATGAAGCTTAGGCGACACTACCCAAAAGAAAAACAAGAACGAAAACTACGCCCACAAAAGGGGTTAATAAAGAATAGGAAAAATACCTGCTGAAATCAAACCAATTCAAAACCCCAGATACACATCAACCAGCCTTTGCTGGAATACCAATCAACAACTCCTGCAAGACTCTGTTCATGTTGATGCGGTTATTTGGGTTTGGCGTCAGCATATCCTTTACCAGGCGCTCTAGATGGTCCCCGGGATTGAGATGTTTTCTTGCTTCGAATATTTCTCCCAGCCATGTGCGCATCTGATGTACAGCAGGCTGGCCATTACCATATTTGTGCGGCATGTTGGGATTGTTGATGGCTGCGATTTGCCAATACAGTGGCTTTGCAAGGTGTCGCCCCCCTCTGCTGTCAGGGAACGAGATCTTGCGCAAAAGGTACAGCATGGTGATGCCCAAAGCCCAGACATCGGAAGCAGGACCGCGCATTTTTGTTCCAATGAACTCGGGGGGCACATAATATGGTGTGCCTCCGCCCGACGGGGGATTGGCGGCCGGAGTTGAAAGACCAAAGTCACAAAGCACGGCACCTCGCTCGGGCGAATACAAAATGTTGCCTGGTTTGATGTCATTGTGAACCAGTTGCCTGCCGTGAATATAACCAAGGGCGCCGGCAATGCCACGCAAAATTCGCATCGCGTCAGTTCGAGTTCCCATGAACAAATTCGTCTGTTTGTTCCTCCATCGGGGTATGCCTGCGAGATCTTGGGCATCAACGTTCTCCATATATAGCGACAAATATCGTGCGTCTCCTCCATAGTATCGAACAATGGACTCATGCTGCAAGCCCTCTTGGCTCTGGCTTTCGCGCAACCACATGTCTGCCTGACGAATGACGTTCCGTTCGTGGCCGTACGGCTTATCGTTCCCGTTGGCCATCCTCGTCTTGAGGACCTTTACAGTCAGAATGTTATCGGGGACTTTTGAGTGATCTGCAGTAAAGACATCGGACTGGGCGGTGGAGGCGATTGGGTCTCGCTTAGTTAGACAATACTCGTCAAGCTCACATACGCCCGGCACAGCAATAGTTTCGCCTTTCTCGGCATCCAAGAGGGCATGAGCTGTTGTGGCAGACAGCTCTCTGCTTTCTTTCCCGTTGGGCAGAGGAAACACCAGCGGATCCGCGGCAGGACGGAGAAACATGATGACTCCGTCATCTGCCGGATTGGAGTCATCTGAAATGCGACGCTTGGCTCTCCTCTCACTTTCATCGGGACTCAAAGCTCTCTTCATACTGGAAGTGCTGGCAAGACTGGTGAGCGACGATGACTGATGAGGCAGCGCAGGTCGGGCCTGGTACAACGCAATGGGTCGCTTTTCCAGAACGCGAAAATCCAAGACGGCAATGTCGCGAACTTTTATGCGCCATGTACCGGGTTGCAATGCATTGATGAGGCCCGGGTCGATGGCGTAGATCTCGCTTGGAGGCAGGCTCCTCAGAGTGGTTTGCGACAATTTGTGCAACGAAATGGGAACGTCGGACCGGTTCAGAAAAATGACCCTGTCACTGGCAGGATCGTAGTACAGCTCGCACCACAAAGGTGGGCGCGGAGCGTCGTCTTGGCTCTCTCCTGGGATGCGGACGGAAAACTTTATATCTTTGGAAGTCTGAGTCACAGCCAGCACCTTGTGCTCAGGCTGGTCAGACGAAGAAACTTCGGCACGAAGCGCAAGCCAGCGGCAGTTATCGCTTCCCGGGCTCACGGATCGCGTACCGTTCAACTTTGTGAGAGGCCGCACGAGGATGCGGATGCCCTGTTTGTGATGGTCCTCATCGACGTGCAAGTCATCTAATGAGACATTCTCGTCGTTGGGACCGGCGCTCGCCTCCTCGACGCCGAAGCGGTTGAAGCGGGCATCGATTTCCGACTGAGAAAAGGGCTCGGTGCGCTCCTCCGAGACCTCCTCTGAGGCGGTCTCGGGCCTGTGCTCGGCCGCCATGAGAAGAGGTTGTTGGCGATGCCTAAGAGAGACGGCCCATGTAGCGTTGGGAAAATGACGATTTATGAAGGCAGCAACGGGGCTGCGGGTGAGACGACTCAAACGAGCCATGGATTGGAGGGATTCGAGGTTGGCGGGTGCGGACATGGAAGGACCGTCCTGGGAGACGGGACGCCCAGCAGCCGCACCAGTGGCACCGGCGGGGGAGGGGCGGGAAGCTTCCAGCGGCTCCAGTGTGGGCGAGCCGGCGGCCTCGTAGGGCCTCGTAGGGCCTGGCCAGGCAGAAAAGCACGTCAGGGCCTGGAGGCCAGAGCAGCAGACGCACGCTTGACGCGCAGATGGATGTCGTTTCGCGGTGACTAATATGTAGGCTGTGGGCGTCAGCGGTGCGGGCCAGTTGAGCTGATTGGCGGCCAGATGGCGGATTGACGAGGGTGCCACGATGGATGGATGTGTTGGCAGACACAATGCCAGAATACAGAGTACAACGTGAGAAGTGAAAAAGGAATCACGTCAAGTAAACACCAAAAAAACATGGCCGGCCGTTCATGGGCATAAATGCAGGAACAGGAAGGTTGAATGAGGTAATGGGGCAGCCTTTTGATGACCTTGGGATGGTCTCGAGCGGCGCAGAAGACCATGGCAACAATCACCGACGTGGGAACGTGAGGTGACCAGGTGAAGAGGCCTATCGAGATGGAGGCCTGCTGACAGGGCTCCAGCCCGAATCTGCCCATTCTCATAGGCTACCGGAGTACAGCCTCAGCCTCAGGAGGCAGAGTCATCGACCCTCCGAGGCGACGACATCGGCTCGTGCTTTCCTGGCGTTGCGCCTCCGCCGACACCACGAGACGTCAGTCTTTGCCCGAAGCCATCGTCAAAGCACCCGAGGACATATATTCAGCGTGGCACCTGGAGCGGCATGTGCTGATTACCCTTCATAATGTTTCTTCGTCGTGCTTGAGGCTCTCCAAGACGGAGAAGCTTTTCCGGCCATCGTTGATGCCAAACAACGGGCAACCACGGTGCGGAGGACGCCCTGTAGCAGGCGGATCTTCAGGGCTCAAGATGGACGGATGGATCCACGAGCGAAAAGACTGGCATTTTAGAAGAAGCTCGTACCACAAATAATCCCATCAAGCCAGACTGCAAACGACAAGGCTTAATCCATCTCGACAACAAAGGCCGTGGCAACGACGTAAGGTCAGCTACAAACTCGGGACACAAAATACTGCTGCTTCTTGCTGGTCATGTGTGATGATATACTGCACAAGAATTTTATGCGGACCAGACCTCTCCTACATTTGCACCTCTCGTGCCGGGAACGCTGACAAGTCGCACCGCCACTTTGGGCACGACTTGCTCGTAGTCCGAGACGTGCACACCTGCTGACATTCCCCAACAACGTATGATGAGGCGACCATAGACATCGTGAGTATTCAAGAATACAGCATTTTACACGTATGATGAAACTCTACGGAAAATATCGCAAGCCAAGGGAGCTCATCTGGTGGCCAGTGTACTGCGGATGTTGGTGCAGAGACCACTCACTGTACGGAGCGCTCCGTACTCGCAACATTACTCCGAAGAGTTCAAAGCTGTTAGGCAAAGGAGAATCAGTGAAGTGACTTGGTTGTTCCATTTCCTTGCTTTAGCCACAGCACTTCACAGCCACAAGTCTAGAACAGTGTGCGTACATTGTCAGCTCACTGTTCGTGCATATCGGAGGGTTGCAATGTGGCACCGCTTGGCCCTATTGCTCCCGAGTACCCATCGACTAGCAGCCTATTGGCGCATTTCTGAATCAACCATTGTATCATTGGTCCAACAAAGTAGCGGTCCTATGCATCTTTGGCATGGCGTCCAATGAAATGGCGTGGTCTCCACTTGCCTTAGGCCCCCATGCACGCCACTGCACACGCTTCCGCTTTCGTGAATCTGGCCTCGAGACAAGTTGCTAGTACGCGGTCCCCCAGATGGATGCTCGAGTGTTTTCGTCACGGTGCCCAGGGAGACCCATACTGGAAATCTCCCAACACTCTCCCTTTCTCCACGATACACAATCACTAACAATCACAACTCGCCCGCTCTGTATACTGCAAACTATCGCAAACATTTGTTCGCCATGGATTTGAGCACTGGTCCCAAGATCTAAATGTGCCTTTGTGCCGATTGCACACTGGGCCTCAACCTACTGCTGCTTTGACGGGGCTCGCCCTTTCTTGTGCCGACTCCTTCCTCGACGACGACGACCAGTTGTCTTCCCGCACACCGCCCGTGATGGAAGATCCGACTTGGGCCTGGCCGGCCTGGAAGTTTGGCATGAAGAGAGATGACCTCTTTACTACCCTCCACGACCAGTACAACACCTTCTCCTTTACTCTCCAAGACCCCGAGGCTTTCCACCACGATGTCTACGAGATTTCTCGAGACGCTGAGTCTACCGCCGAGTTTCACCGGATGATGGCTGATAGGCGGCAAATGCGACTCCGTGAGCTGAACGAGTCTCTGGAGACGCTGGCCGTCGAAATCATTGCCAACCCGACGCTTATGGGCACCGACCAGTGGCAGTACGCTTTGCAACTGTTTCGAACTAAGTCGTACGACTCTATTCTTCGCTACTTTGCTAGCTATCTACCCGAAGACTATCTCGATCGTCACGATACACACTCTACTTCGTCGGCTTCCTTTTCGGAAACCGACACTATTAGCACCGTTGCCAGCAGTGTCAATGATGCTCCCTCCCCCTTTATGACCGACGATGATTTGTTTCCAAACGGTCCCGTCATAACCGCCGAACCTGACGCGATCAAAGAGAAACCTCACCACAGCTCTCATCCTCAGGGACCCTTGTCAGCCCCACATTCAGAGGATGCGCAATCGGAACCATCGGTATCATCACCGCCATCAGACGCAGAATCGAACGACTACTTGACGAACCCACCCTCGCGATCCATGTCGTTTTCTGGGTCCGAGTCCGGACACCTTGTATCCGAACTCATTCGACGACGATGCCTCGAAGAGGATCTCAACGAGAAGTCTCGATCAGATGAGAGTGAGACGGCTTTCACATTTGTTTGTGACTCGTTTGAGCCTATTGATGTAATCGAAGGCCAGTCGCACACCCCTGGTGGTGTTGTTGATTTTGCCGATGAAGATGAGGATATTCCCACTGCGCAATACCCCGACGACGTATTCAACAGCCTTGATCTCACCTTTTCCTTGACTCACCCACCATCCGCGCACGATACCCTAGATTCTGATACCCCTACCCCCCGACCAGAAGCGGCTGCTGCATCTTACATGGAGTTTCGGTCCGTTCTTTCACATTCAAGAAAAGCGCCGTCATATCAGCGTTCCCCATCACCTAAGTGTTGCTTGGCAAATCGAGGAGCTGGATCTCCAGTACGCGAAGTGCGGAGGAGTCCAGAGGAGTCGTTGAGTAAGATCCAGAAATCTGTACAGGACTTCTCTAGAAGACACCCGAAGACGAGAAGAAGGATGGACTAGCACCAGGAGGCCAACCTGATGTATATATGTGAAACTTGCTGTACATATCCTGTATCTTATGACACTAACGACCCGTGTTTCCTCGAACTATACTACACACACGTGTGTTCCGTTTGACGCCGTTTCTTGCTCTTTTGTGACGTCATACTGCATGACCTTTTTTTTTCGCACCTACCCGCTGTTGTCTTCGCAAAAGGGGTCTCAGATTTATTATCAGCAGAAACAAAATACGAGGCCGAAGACTTGTTTTTAGACAGGAGGTGAGTATGATTTCCTTTGAAATTATACTTGGTTGTACAACATGACCTCGGCGAATGGCCGCGGCGAGTATCACGACGCCACACTGGTCAGGTGGTCTCGCAGTGTGGTGACGCGACTGGGCTCGAATGCAGGTCACGCCCGGATATTGACGCGCACGCTTCCGCTCATTTGACGATTTTCTCACTGGTCATTTATACCGGACTCATGATTGTGTTTAATTTGCCCATCTTGTAAGTGTCGTCATCGATTTTGGCCCTTGCAGTGGCGCGCACTTGGCGTGAGCCGCAACCCGTCTTGTTATCCTGATGGTTGCAGTGTGGCGTGAGCCTTATTTTGCGGTCCCTTTCTTTGTATTGCATTTCCCCGTCCTTTTACGCAATCTAACAATGTCGATGCGTTATATTCTATGTTTACTTTGCGCAGGGTAGTGATTTTGGCCCATGACTTATGACTCTACGACTCGACGACTGTATATTATTATTCATGAGCATGAATTACTCTGTCCGCTGATCTCCCTTCTGAATGCACGGCGGATACTTGCGCGACCCCTTGGTAATACAATTCTACTTACTGAAGCGGTTGGCTGCGCTAAAAAAATTAAACCTGTGGGTGTCGTGTATAAAGGTTCAACCATCTCACTTGGACTGTACCTTGGATTTTGGGTCTGGCGCCACATTTACCACGCTACGGGTACTCGCACTTTGAGCTTCATTTTATACCAGACTGCTTTTGAGCATCTTGGTTCCGCTGCTTGTGAGTGCCTTTTGCAGACGAGTACAGCGATTGCTATGCGAACTGCTATGACGAGGGCTTAGAGCAGAGCTGCATTGACACGACAATGTTCTAGATATGTATATCAACGGTAGCATCTAGCGAATAGAAAAGAGAATCGAGATAATGAGGCAAGCATGATGTAGGAGCACCACCACGTTGGCGGCGTCTGGTTGCTTGACAAAGAGCTGCAGACCAACCCAGCACACAACGTTTCTTCGTCGCGCGGACCTCCATTCTATTTTGCATAACATGTCGGTAAAGCAGACCTGTTGAATGCAGGAATGCAATTCCGAGCACACACTGTCGTTTGGCAGGACAGATTAATGTGTAAAGGCAAAACGCGAGGCACGAGGGCTGTTGTTCCGCGGCTTGTAGATACAAAACTCGAACCAGAAGGTACTCTTTTTTCTCACCAGTGACTTCATCCTTTTCTCCCGGAGCCGACCATGGCAAAGACAGCCGAGTGTCCTAGTCACCTAGTGTAGTGAGCCAAGGCCCCTTAGCCCCCGTCTAGTCTTGCAAAAGATGAATAAAAAGGCCGACCCAGCCTCGCATCTTGTTTTCCCCCGTAAGCCCTGGTTTTGAATCGGGCAAGAATTCTCACATCCCAGCTCGACCACAGATTGCGTCTCCTTGCCGCCCACTATACTCTCTATATCCGGACAACTCCTACGCGAAGCGAAGTCGCGCCATGTCGCACCTCAAGCGGCTCCTTGCCATCTTGGCCATCGTCAGCACGGGGGGTGCCCGACGAGGGCGCGTGGCTCGGGCGAGTATCGACGAAGGCCAGATAGGGCTTCAGGTGTGCTGCCCAGAAGCGTAGGTGCCCGAACCGATACGACGACGGGCGAATATGTGCTAATCGTCGGTTCTGAAGGCGTGGCGTGCCCGTGTTGAAGGTGTGCGAAGTCGGCTGCGTGTGCAGCCCGCTTGCTGTCATGACATGTCCCGTACCCGAGGGCGAGAAGTTAAGGTACATCAGATGTGCGGAACCGAATTGTGTGTGTACGGAGTACTGCGCCAGGTCGTGGTGAGCGCTGCGTGTGGCCGGCCTGGCTGGCGGCGACGGGGGGATGGCGTTTAGGGGGGAAAGGGCTCGACGTTTTGCGTGCGGCTTTTACTTGTCCGCCGTGTTGGAGTGCATATGGCACCTGGGATTCAATGTTGGGGCAGGAGGAGCATATGCTGGCTATTTAGTGACGGTCCTTGGGACCGGCTGCTTAAAGGTCAACTGGTCTTTGGGTGCAATCGGTGTAGTAGTTGATTTTGTCGTGGATCTTGGGACTGAGCGGATATTCGGGGGCCTGATTTCCTAGCGGGTATATGAAATCGTTTAAGTCTTTAAAAATACACCTTCATGATCGCTCTGTGGAAGCCTTTGTCTTGGATTCGTAGCTACGTAGTTGGACTGTTGGGACCCTGGCAGTCTTTCGCTGGAGGACGTCTGGTAGTCTCGGCGTGAAGTGTAGTTGGGCATTGTGACACGCACTCGTGTCGCTTGATGATGAGAGAATATCTTTTTTGGGAAATTGCAAGGTCATGATGCTTCACGCAGCTATACGCTTGGTCCGGGTGGTAATCTGGATGAAATCCCTCTGTTCCAAGCTGTCTAACGGCCAGGCGACAGACAACCAGCACATTGACACCACAAGTTGGGACACCCACTGTCTACCCACCTAGCTACTTGTATGTATATACAGTAAGATACGGTGATAATGTTGGCATGCTGCCCTGTTTGAAAGGCCACCTGCGACGCAACCCCTGCCGCTGTCAACCGGACTCGCCAGCCCCCGAAGCCAAGTCGTTTCTGAAAGGGATTTGCAAAACGATTGCCCGCACCACATAATGTTGATTGTGGCCTAGAACTGTTTTATATCCGTAGATGAGATGGGGTTTCGAATTTTAAAAGGGGAAGCAAGCCTGAAACGGCCGAGGCGCAGCAGCGTACTATGGTTAGAGACGCGATAATTGATACTAACCTTGATAGATTTCTTAATTAAGAATACATTAACCTAAAGTTAAAATTGAATAACGTAGAGTGGACAAGTATTTCTTCTCCCTCTGTGATAAAAATACGACTAAATTTCTAGAATTCTAGTTGCACACCACCAATACGGATCATGCGTCCAATAGAAAGGCGACGACCTCAAGGCGCTAGTCTATAATGAATTGAGCCTGGTGCCGTTATTGAAACGCCGTCATCATGCCCGCAGTGACGAACTTGCTGTCCCGCAGTGACACGAACCTGAGGGCCTCTCCACATGCCGCCGTCTCACCCATGTCGCAGCCTGCGCCACGGCCCCCGGTCCAGGACGGCCGGCTTCCGCCGAGAAGAACGGCAGTTGGCCTGATTTCCGGTGGATCATTATTCCCCGCGTTGAACATGTAAATCCGTCCTTTACCCTGGCAGACGGCATGATCCACTTTCAACGGCGTCCACTCAATTTCACACCATCACAAGGGGCATATTAATAACAAGAGGATAAGAGGTTTTGCCACTTACACTGCAAACACACTGCATAGTGTAGATGGCTCCTAGTAGTTTAATGGCTCTATCGCTACATACCATCACAAATCACAAATCACAAACCACAATCTACCACCGCGATGGAGCACGCCAGAGTAATTAAAACGAAATCAATTAGACAAGATGGAAATCACTACAAACAGCTAAATACGTTCCAAGCAACACCCAAACTAGAAATGGATACCAGATCGCAGTTTCCCTTGTTTCCTGGTTTTTCGATACTGCACTGCAGTTTCATTATATTACGTGCCCTGTCGGTTTGTACATGTTGTTGTTGTTGTTGTTGTCGCTCGAGCTTCTTATGCGGTGAACTCGACGGCGCGCGTCTTCTCGTCGATGCGCTTGACAAAGGCGCCGGTGTCGATGCTGCGCTTGTCGTTCTCCTCCTCGTCGTCGTCGTCGGCGGCGGCGTTGTTGTTGTTGTTGTTGTTGTTCTTGTTGCCCTTGGCGGCGCCCTTCTTGGCAGCATTGCCGGCGCCGGCAGCGTTGCCAGCGTTGCCAGTCTTTCCGGTGTTGGTGCCAGCGTTGGTGCCAGCGTTGGTGCCAGCAGCAGCGTTGGGAGCAGCAGCATTGGGAGAAGCAGCATTGGGAGAAGCAGCATTGGGAGCAGCGGCATTAGGAGCAGTGCCGTTGTTGGCACCAGCCTCCTGGACCATCTGAACCGGCACGACGCCGCCAAAGGGACCAGCACGAGCCGGGTTCTGGCACCGGACCAGGCAGACGTTCTCCTGGCCAGCGACCTGACCCGTGCACTCCTGGCCGGCGGGAATGGCCGCGGTGAGCGGGTGGTCGGAGGCGCTGCCGGCGTTGTTGCGGCCGCGCTGGTTGCCCTCGACGTTCTCGGTGACCTGGACGTTCTTCCAGTTCTGGCCGGTGCCGTCCGAGTTGATCATGCAGGTGTAGGGCCCGGCGCCGTCGCCGTTGACCTGGTGCAGCGTCATCTGGAGGTTGCCGCCGGGCGTGACCTGCGGGAGCTGGCCGCCCATCTCGGACATGATGGCCTGCGTGCCCGACTCGACGTCGTTGCTGCCGGCGCCCACCGTCTCGCCCACCGTCTTGGCCGACGCGCCGCGGAACCGCGTGGCGTCCTGCTGGAAGGGGTTGCGGCGCGTGCCGTCACGGGGGGTCGACGAGTCGATGCCCAGCGCCCTGCCGACGCCGCCTGCGTTGCCGACGGCGTTGGTGATGGCTGCGTGGCCCGAGACGAGCTGGGCCGCGAGGAGGGTCGAGGTGGCGAAGATGGCCTTGAAGGACATGTTGTCGGGAGGTTGTTGTCTTGGGTTGTTGGGGGGGAAGTATTAAAAGTGAATTTTTTGCAAAGAGAGCTGACCGGCAGGAGGTGTCGAAAGATTAGTAGTAGGGTTGAAGAGAAGAGAGAACAAGGAGGATTAGAGAGAAGCTTATAAGTGTTTGGATGGTTGTGAGAGTGATGAGGAGA